GCAGAGGCTCCAATACTTTGGCCACCTCATGAGAAGAGACGACTCCCTGGAAAAGACCCTGATGTTGGGAAAGATGGAGGGCACAAGGAGAAGGGGACGACAGAGGATGAGATGGTTGGACAGTGTTCTCGAAGCTACCAACATGAGTCTGACAAAGCTGCAGGAGGCAGTGGAAGACAGGAGTGCCTGACGTGCTCTGGTCCATGGGGTCACGAAGAGTCGGACACGACTAAACAACAACAATGAGATTGAATTGTTAATAAGATCAAGCACATTCCTTGTGGCAAACATGTCATTGGGCATTCCAGTGACTGTTGGCATCCTCCTTGATGAGCAAATAGAAATGATTAGAGCCGAGTTTAATGAAATGGGGAATGAAAGTGGACTAGAGAAGGATGAAATGCTACATTTTTGTATGTATATTTTGTACAGATTGCTCTTGGAATGGCACACAAGAGATGAACAGGTCAAATCTGTAATGATACACTGAGCAAAGGACTTGGGGCACAACATTCAGATTGCAGGTTGGGAAAAGTTATGGAAAACAGATTTGAAATTTAGGGCTGAAAGAAAACTATATGAAAATGATGTACCGGTGGTCGTTGACTACTAGTAAGCTAGCAACAATGTATTGTTCAGTTTCTGTTAATTGGTTCTCGTGGGAAACTTGCAGATTCTAGCTTCGCACAATTAACTCAGGGCTGTGTCAATTTACTCTTGGCAGAAAGCCCAGGTCAGCTTGACCTAGAAACTGCTTACTCTGATTGGTTAACGAGCAGCACTCTGTTCTGTTATCTAGGGATTGCTAGCACAGTTTGATGTGAGGTGTTGTTAGGAGTAGAAGTGCTGTGTATGGTTATGAGAGAGAGAGAGAGAGAAAGGAAGGATTTATTTTGCTTTTATTTGTATGCAGAAACTCTGCTGGTTTTATTTTTCCTTTTTAATAAATCCTGTAAATAGTTCTTCTGAGTCTAGCTGACTAGTCATTATCGCCGCAACTAGCTTCTTCGCTGTGCAGGAAAACTCTGCTACGTTTGGGCTAAAGCCAATAGGGCTATGCCTGACACTTCAAAGTTCCATGAGGTTATGGGCATTGTGCTGCCAGCCTGAGTTGCGGTGGTGTCAGCATCAACGGCGTTGGTTCCAGTAGTTCCAGAAGTTGTTGTTCCTGTTGGTGCAGCAGATGGACTCTGGCTGGTTCCTGACCGTGGTGAGCTGGTGACGCAGCGGATACAAGGACAACAGCTGCAGCGTGTGAGTGCTGGGTGCTGTGGTTCCTGTTTTCTCTCTTGGTGGTCGTGAGTAGCTGGTTCCGGGTTCCAGGGACATTGCTCTCAAGATGGCCTCACAACCAGGTCAGATGGCTTTTGAGCGTCTGAATGACTCCAATTACTTGCTGTGGTCGGAACGCATGCAGGCAGTGCTGCAGAGGGATCGTCTCTGGCAAGTGGTGAGTAAGTTTCCTGCGAAGCCTGATGATGAAGACCTCGATAAAGACCAAAGAGCAAGGGCCACAATTGTCTTGGGGCTGGAAGATTCCCAGTTGCCGTATGTGAGGGAATCAAGACAGCTAGAGGTGTGTGGCAAGCACTTAAAGAACTCCATGTGCGTGAGACAGCGGTTTCCAAGCTGTTCATTCGCAAGGCATTGTACAAGGCAATGTTACAGCCTGGGGTTACAATGCAGGAACACCTACACAGTTTACAGTTAAAGTTTGCTGCGCTACAGGAAAGAGACTGTGCGTTAGACCAGCAGGAGAAGGTGGCTATTATTTTGAGTTCTCTCCCGGAAAGCTGGGATAATTTAGTTTTGTCTCTAGAAGGCATGCAGGAGCGTGATTTATCAGTCAGTTACGTTACTGGGCGTTTGATTGAAGAATGGCAGAAGAGGCAAGAAAGGTCGTTGGCTGCAGAGGCTTCTACAGGTGGGCGGTTTGGAAGGAGTTCTCATGCCGTGCCAGAGGTGAAGCAAAAGCAGCGTACCGATGAGGAGTCAGCGTTTGCTGTTAGGCGTTGTTTCCGATGTGGGTCTTCAGCGCATCTAAAACGACAATGTCCGGAGTTGGTCAAGTCTCAGTTGCCGGTGCAGGAGCAGAGACGAGATCAGCAGCAGCAGCGTAAAAAGAAATTCTTCAAACGAAAACAGTCGGCTCAGCTGGTGACCGGCGAGGTCAAGATTGCTGATGAGAAACAAGCGGTCTGGGTGGTCGATTCGGGAGCATCTCGCCACATCGTGAATTCAGATGAATTGTTTGTTTCCAAGAACTCAGCACAGCGCAGCCAGGTGGCTCTAGCAGACGGAAGTACTTCCGAAGTGATTTCGGGGGGTGCAGTTTTTGTTCCTTGTCTTCGTGAATGCCTGCAAAATGTACTTTGTGTGCCTTCATTAAGGAGCAATCTGATGTCTGTAGATTGTTTGCTAAAAGCTGGGTTTAAAGTGTATTTTGAAGGAGACAGTTGCATTATTAAGAAGGCTGGTGAGATTTTAGGCACTGCTAAGTCAGAGGGAGGCTTGTTTTGGCTTAAAGCAGGATCTCAAGTTGCAGCAGTAGTCAGTAAATCTCAGCCTGCAGTGAATAACAAAGCTATACATGACAACTGTGTGCACTTATTGCATAGGAAAATGGGGCATGCTTGCTGGAAAAGTGTACTAAAAATGTCTGAATTGGCTGATGGGGGTGATTTAAAGAGTTGTAACAAGTACCTTGATTGTAATGTTTGTAAAAAGGTTAAAACCCACAGAGTCTCTTACCCCAGAAGTGACAGAGTTAGTGAGTCACCACTACAGCTGGTTCACATGGACGTAATTGGTCCATTTGCTGTAAGCAGGGGTGGATCGCGCTTTTCACTAACAATTGTGGATGACGCCACGCGTTATTCTTGGGTTTTCCCCATGAAAAATAAGGGTGACGTGTTCACTAAGTTTAAAGGCTGGGTGGCATCTGTGGAAAGATTTCTGTCCATTAAACTCAAAAGGATTCAGACGGACAGAGGTGGCGAATTTATGTCAAATGCCTTTAAAGATTGGTTACAAAAGCGTGGCATTGGGCATAGAAAAACGAACGTTTTTCCCCCAGAGGAGAATGGCGTTGCAGAGCGAAAAAACAGATCTTTACAAGATATGATGTTTGCCATGCTTGATGATGCTGATTTGCCCATGTCTTATTGGGGGGAGAGCATGCTCACCGCGTGTTATCTCCAAAACAGGCTCTTTCATCAAACAATAGGTACAACCCCGTACTTTAAATTGTTTCAGAAAAAACCCAAAATTGACCATTTGCATGTGTTTGGATCAAAAGCCTGGGTATTAATTCCGAAACAAATGAGGAAGAAGGGAGATCCTAAGACCAAACAGTTAGTGTTTGTGGGTTACCAGGAGCTGGAAAAAGGTTTCCGCTTTGCTGAAGGGACAAATGGCATTGTGATCTCCAGGAATGCCAGTTTTTGTGAACATAGTGGCTGGGAGAGACTACATGCCAATACTGAGGTTTGGTTTGAACCTTCCCAGGAGCTCCATGACTCTGAAGGTAGACACAGAGAATCAGAGTCTGAGGGGGGAGGAAAGTTCAGATAAGAGCTCTCAAGAAAGTGGAGTTAGCCAAAGACCAGTTGCTAAGCAACAAAAGAGAGGTCGTAGTTCTGAGGAGGAAAGTGGGTCAGAAGAAAAATTTTCTCCCAGAAGATCTAAAAGACAAAACAAAGGAGTGCCTCCAGTGCGTTTTCCTCCAGATTCTGCAAATGTGTTTAGTGTAATTGCAGAACCCAAGAGTTTTCAGGAGGTGTTAAAGTTACCAAAAGAGGAGGCAGAGCTCTGGAAACAGGCAATGGAGGAAGAGATGTCCTCTCTGAATGAGCACAAGGTTTTTACACCAGTGGCAGCGCCTGAGGGGGCAAAGATTGTAGGCTGCAGGTGGGTGTACAAACTTAAACCTCTGGTGACAGGAAAGTACAAATACAAAGCTCGTTTAGTTGCTCAAGGATACTCTCAGAGGCCTGGAAAAGATTATGACGAAACTTTTTCCCCTACTGCTAAGGGGGACAGTGTAAGGCTGATTCTAACGCTTGGAGCAAAGAGAAAACTCCTGTTGAACCATTTTGATATCCAGACTGCATATTTACATGCATCAATATCAGAAGACCTGTATCTAGCCAAACCGCCTGGTTATGAGACAGGTTCCAATAGAGTGTTAAAATTAAACAAAGCTCTATATGGTCTCAAACAGGCTGCAAGATCTTGGAACAAATGTTTCCATGAGGCCGTAGTGTCATTTGGTTTCAAGCAGAGTACAGCTGACAATTGTGTTTATGTACGTGGTACAGGCAGTGATCAAGAGTTTTGTCTGATTTATGTAGATGATGTTTTGTATGCTTGCAAAACAGATAAACAAACTAAAAGATTTGCCAAGCAATTGTCCAGTAAGTTCAAAGTGAAAGACTTAGGCCCGGTTAGGACATATCTAGGGTTGGAAGTGTGCTGGGCCCAAGATGGCAGCTGCCTAATTAGTCAGCAGAACAAAGTTAAACAACTACTGACTACATACAGGATGCAGGATTGCAAAGGGGCAGTGGTGCCTATGGATCCAGGTTTCATAAAAACACTTCACATAGATGAGAGTCCTGAATTTGAACATCCTGATGTATATCACTCTGTAATTGGAAGTTTATTGTATCTAGCACAGTGGTCCAGACCTGATATTAGCTACGCAGTAGGCATATTAAGTAGATTGGACTCAAAACCCACACTAAATGCCTGGAAAGGGGTAAAACAAGTTCTGAGATATCTCAAACAGACAATTGGCTATATGTTACAATTAAATTCTTCAGAGGATGAAATGTTGAGTTGCTACTGTGATAGTGATTGGGGAAATTTGCCGGATAGAAAATCTGTCACAGGACTGGTCATAATGGTCGGTGGAGCTTTAATCAGCTGGCGGTCACGCAAGCAAGACGTTGTAAGTGTGTCATCAACGGAATCAGAGTACGCCGCATTGAGTGAATTGTGCAATGAGGTGATTTATTTCAAGCATTTGTTAGCAGATATAAATGTAAATTGTGGAGAACCAGTACAAGTTTACATTGATAATCAAGCTTGTATAACCTTAAGTAAAACAGAGGGTTTCAAATCGCGTTCCAAACATATCTCTGTAAAATACCAAAATGTACGTTGCTGTGTACAAGACAATGTAATCACCTGTACTTATGTGTCAAGTGAAGAAAATGTAGCAGATGTGTTAAGTAAACCATTGGCAAAGATAAAGAACAAGCGAATGTGCAAGGGTTTAGGTTTGCTGGAAAAATGATCTCCTACATAGGTGTATTTGGTGTTAATTGTTCAGCAGAATCTGTGAGGGGGTGTTCAGTTTCTGTTAATTGGTTCTCGTGGGAAACTTGCAGATTCTAGCTTCGCACAATTAACTCAGGGCTGTGTCAATTTACTCTTGGCAGAAAGCCCAGGTCAGCTTGACCTAGAAACTGCTTACTCTGATTGGTTAACGAGCAGCACTCTGTTCTGTTATCTAGGGATTGCTAGCACAGTTTGATGTGAGGTGTTGTTAGGAGTAGAAGTGCTGTGTATGGTTATGAGAGAGAGAGAGAGAGAAAGGAAGGATTTATTTTGCTTTTATTTGTATGCAGAAACTCTGCTGGTTTTATTTTTCCTTTTAATAAATCCTGTAAATAGTTCTTCTGAGTCTAGCTGACTAGTCATTATCGCCGCAACTAGCTTCTTCGCTGTGCAGGAAAACTCTGCTACGTTTGGGCTAAAGCCAATAGGGCTATGCCTGACACTTCAAAGTTCCATGATGTATAGAACCAGTACAAATACCTGCTGGAAATGTAAAGAGAAAGAAGGTACCTTTTATCATATGTGGTGGCTGTGCGAGGTAATAAAAGCTTTCTGGGAGATGATATATAATGAATTGGAAAAAATGTTTAAAATAACTTTTGTATATATAAAAAAACCAGCAGCTTTTTTATAAGGAGGAAAACCTTTTATGCATGTGACAAGAGCCACATGGATGCTACTAGCCTAGAGGTGGAACGAAGACAAAATCCCGCCCAGAGAAGAATGGTAAATCAAGCTGTTGGACTATGCCAAAATGGCAAAACTGACTGGAAAGTTCAGGAACCAAGAAGACAAAAAGTTCAAGAAAGAATGGGGAAAATTTATAATTTATTTAGGAGACTACCGTAAGCAAATGAAAACATTAGCAGGATTTTAATCTCACTTGTAATGTAACAAATTCGATGGATAATATGGATAGATATAAAATATAGATTTGATAATAATAAGCAGTTGAAAATGCAGACATTAGGACCCATGGAGGGGATGGGGGTGTCTCAAGATTCGGAGAAAACTCTGTATATGGAAATGTATTTGGTTTTGTTGTAAATCTGTATTTGAAAAATCAAATAAGAACTGAGAGAGAGAGAGAGAGAGAGAGAGAGAGAGAAGGATGAAATGGAAAATGGAAACAAAGAGGACACAGAGACTTCAGGGAGCAATTTCGATAAAGGGTTGCCAGAAAATGGAAAAGCTCTTCGCAGAGGTGTTTAGAGGAATTAAAAAGTAGAATTGTTGTGATGTCGGAGGAGTGGAATGAAGCCATGGATGGAGAAATGAAGAGAGACCCTGAGCCAACAGAGACAGAGTTGAGAGAGAAAGGTCTCTGTCTACAATCTGGAAATTCAGTTAATGAATACACAATAAAAAAAGGATTGTGGCGTACTATTTTAATATATAAATAAAATAAACTCTTGTGTGGACAAAGATGGAAAGATATTTTAACATTTAATATGGAGGAATGGTTGAAGTTAATAGAGGTAAAGTTCATATGTTTGTTTAGAGGAAAATGATTGCTGAAATTTATTAATAGCAATAATTAGAGAACCCCTTTTGGACTTTTTGTTTATAAAGGAATATGAATTAATCAGATACATTTGGGATAGAAGACTAGGAAAATATTACCTAACAGAAAGTAGATCTGTTGGATGTCATTCTAGGGTGAATATTTTTAATAATTTATTTTATGTAACAGATGGGAGAATCAGAAGTCGTTTTCTCTTTTCTTTTCTTCTATATTGTTGTGTTCCTTTGGTATTTTCTCTTATCCGTCTCTCTTTGTTTCTGTTTTTTATTTAGATTTGTTTCTTTTATCTTATTGTATTACTAAAAATCTGTAACAAAATCTTATTTAAATAACATTTCCCGCACTCCCAACATTTATATGCTTTCTATTCTTTATGGAGTCTCTGGTGTTTTTTAAGGTTTCTCTGTGAGAAACATTTCCCACACACTACACACCGGTAAGGCCTCTCTCCTGTGTGGACTCTCTTGGGTATAAGAAGCTCCAACTTTTCAGAAAAACATTTTTCACACTCCAAGCATTTGTAGGGCTTGTCTCCTGTATTGATTGTCCAAGGGATTATGAGATATGCTTTCTAGGGTTCCGATTTATTATGATTTCTCTCATGCCTACGAAGGTTCTTACTCTTGGTAAATAATTGTCCACATTCTGTGCATTTGTAAGGTTTGTCTCCTGCATGGGTCTTCTGATGGATCATAAGCCGCCATTCGCTAGCAAAACATTCCTCACACTCTGTGCATTTATAGACTATCTTTCCTGTGTGGATTCGCTGATGTTTCAGAAGACCGTCTCTTCTCGAAAAGAATTTCCCACACTCTGAGCATTTGTAGGGCTTCTCCCCTGTGTGGGTTCTCTGATGAAGCACAAGGCAGTGTTTCCTAGAAAAACATTTCCCACATTCCAAGCATTTATGGCATCTATTTACTGTATGCTTTTTCTGGTGCCCCTTAAGGGTATGTGAATGAGAAAATATCATTCCACAGTCCAAACATATATATGGCTTTCTTGGGTGAATTCTCTTATGTCTCATAAGATGTGCTGAAACAGAAAAACATTTCCCACAATCTTCACATTTATAAGGCCCCTCTCCTATGTGCACTCTCTGGTGTTCATCAAGGTCTGCTAGGCTGGCAAAGTGTTTTCGACATTCCACGCATTTGTAGAGTTCCGAATGAGTATGATTTCTCTCGTGTCTACGAAGGTTCTTACTCTTGGTAAAGACTTTTCCACATTCCGTGCATTTGTTGGGTTTCTTTCCTGCATGGCTTTTCTGATGGATGATAAACTGTGATTCGCTGGTAAAACATTCCTCACACTCTGTGCATTTATAGGATATCTCACCTGGGTGGACTCTCCGATGTTTTACAAGACTCTCTCTCCTTGAAAAGCATTTCCCACACACTGAGCATTTGTAGGGCTTCTCCCCTGTGTGGATTCTCTGATGAATCACAAGACCGTCTCTCCTAGAAAAACATTTCCCACATTCCAAGCATTCATGGCATCTATTTACTGTATGCTTTTTCTGGTGCCCCTTAAGGGTATGTGAATGAGAAAATATCATTCCACATTCCAAACATATATATGGCTTCCCTGGGTGGGCTTTCTTATGTCTATTAAGATGTGATGAAGTAGAAAAACATTTCCCACAATCTCTACATTCATAAGGCCCCTTTATTGTGTGCACTCTCTGGTGTTCATCAAGGTCTGCTAGGCCGGCAAAGCATTTTCCACATTTCCTGCATTTGTAGGGTTTCTCTCCTGTGTGGATTCCCTGATGGATTTCAAGTTCTGACGGCGAAACAAACCTTTCCCCACACTCCACACACTTATGGGGCCTCTCTCCACTGTGAACCGCCTGATGGCTCCAAAGGGCAGATTTATCAAGAAAACATTTCCCACACTCTGTGCATTGATAGGGTTTCTTTCCTGGGTGGATTATCTGGTGTTGAACAAGATCTGATTTTGTGGGGAAGCGTTTCCCACACTCCAAGCACATATGAGGCTTTTCTCCTGAATGGGTTCGCTGATGAATAACAAGTTGTGGCCTACAAGAGAAGGATGACTCACAATCACTGCATTTGTGGCATTTCTGTCCCGTGGGGATTTTCTGGTGTACAAGAAGCTGTGATCTCCAGAGAAAACTTTTCCCGCACCCATCACATCTGTGGGGCCCTGTGTGGATTCTCTGATGTTTCACAAAAACTGATCGGCTAGGGAAATTTCCCCCACACTCCAAGCATTTATATGGTTTCTTTCCCGAGTGGCCCCTCCGATGGATGACAAGAACAGTGTGCTGAGCAAACGATTTGCCACATTTCATGCACTTATAGGGTTTACCCCCCTTATAGATCTGCTGACGTCTCACCAGTTGCCGCCGTCTAGAAAAGCTCGTCTCAGACTGTAAGTATTTGTGTTGTTTATTTCCTGTGTGGACTCTCTGGTGTTCACAAAGCTGCAATTCCTGAGGGAAACATTTCCCACACTCCAAGCATTTGTACGGTTTTATTCTTGCGTGGGCTCTGAGATGCTTCACAAAATCCGAGAGTCGGGAATGTTTCTCTCCACACTTCCGGCAGTTGTAGGAGTTGTCTGCTGCATGGACCTTCCGATGGAGCTGAAGGACGGATCGATGAGAAAACGTTTCCCCACACTCTGCACACTTATGGGGTTTTTCTCTTTGGCGGGTACTTTGGTGGCTCAAAAGCCCTGAACTCTGACCAAAACATTCCCCACTCTCACTGCCGTTCTGGGGCTTCTCTCCTGTGTGGATTCTCTGGTGTCTGGCAAGAGCCAACGTGGAGGCAAAGCACTCGCCACAGATTGGGCAGGTATATTTTCTGCTGGTGTCATCTGCTTAGAGAGAGAGAAGGGTGGAAAGTTAGTCTGAGTCTGGAAGAGAAGGAACCACACAATTCAGTTTGTAAACTGAATAATGGTTGTGCTATGATATGCAAGATATGAAGCCTGAAACTGTGAAAGCTCTCACAACCCCCCACAATTTACATTAAGTGTAGCCAGGGGTAGGCCCACAGCCCCTCTGTTCTCCAGCCAAAGTGGCCTCACTTTAGTCATCATCATCACTTTTAATTCGTAAACCGTCTTTCTATCTTACGATACCCAAGGCGGTTTACAAGCTGAAGAAACAAAGAACGTACACCTTATAACAATCTAATGTGTTAGTAAAACATAACTTTAAAATAAGCAACCTACATCAAATAAATTAGCATTCAACAATCATTAGAATAGTATAGAATAATATTAATTATCAGCATATAAAAATTAAACAGAAACCCACTCTTAACAATTACAATAAATAGCGTCCAAGCTACAATCATTAACACAACAGCAAGCCACAGTGCATAACATAGTAGATAAAAAAAATTGAGAAGCAGAGACTGGAGGATGGGACAAGGCAGGTGGAAGAAGGCCTTGCCTGATGAAGTCTCTCCCTCTCAGAAGTGGCTTTTCAGGATGTGCATGTGAGTGTGCAAGGCTGCCAGCCAGATCACCTTATCATTGGGGTCAGGATCCCAGCAGCATTTTTGATGTTTCTTGCTGGCATTCCACGAAGGTGACTAAACTTCCAAACTTTTCCAAACACAGCTTTTTTCGGCTGTGGCCCCGATCTGGTGGAATGCTCTGTCACAAGAGACTAGGGCCCTGCAGGACTTGACATCTTTCCGCAAGACAGAGCGGTTCCACCAGGCCTTTGGCCAAGGCACAGCCTGACCCCTCCTTTGGTAGTCCTCACAGAACTCTGGCCCAATGCTTGCCATTAATTTGATTTTGAATTGATTTTAGAATGCTGTGTTACTTTTATTGTTGTTAGCTGCTCTGAGCCCGGCTTTGGCTGGGGAGGGTGGGATATAAATAAATTATTATTATTATTATTATTATTATTATTATTATTATTATACTTTGTCAGGAGGTAGTGGTAGGTTGTTACAATCGCACCCCCACCCCACCTTGAAAGCTACATTGAGCTGCACAAGGAAGGTGTGAGGGCTTTGAAATTTCAACACCACCCTGTGAAACACCAAAATTCGGTGCCCCAAACAACTCTCCCCTTCCAATGTTCCTCATTGTTGTGGTGCCCCCAGCAGCTCCCTCTTGGCTTGGTGTTCCCCTTAACCTGCCTTTGGTGAGTGTGACACTCTCCTCTGGCATAGTCTGTGGCATAATGTCACTGTCTGCATAAATTGCTCCTTATTTCTCCATTCCAGAAGATTCCCCGATGCACAATGACCTCTGGATTCCTCTTTAACAACAACAACAACAACTTTATTACTTATACGCTGCCCAACAGGATGGGTTTCCCCAGCCACTCTGGGCGGCTCCCAACAGAAGACTAAAAACAGAATAAACCTTCAAACATTAAAAACTTCCCTAAACAGGGCTGCCTTCAGATGTCTTCTAAAAGAAGATGGGAAGGTGTTCCACAGGGCATACGCATGTGAAAACCATTTAGTCGCTGACCTACCTGGACTGGCTGGGCGACAGTAGGAGTGTTCCAGCAATAACATCGCTCCCAGGGAAAGGCGCTTCTGCATCATTCTCCTTGGTTTTCAACTGACGGCTTGGCGGAGGATCACGACGGATGTGGGACCGCCTCTTTTTACCACCCTGTATGAAAATAGAACTTTTAGCATTGGCCTCTCATTCGCCTATGGGATTAATAATAATAATAATAATAATAATAATAATAATAATAATTTACTTATACCCCACCCATCTGGCTGGATTTCCCCAGCCACTCTGGGTGGCTCCCAACAGAATTAAAAGCACAAGAAAATATCAAACATTGAAAACTTCCCTAAACAGGGCTACCTTCAGATGTGTTCTAAAAGTCAGATAGTTCTTTATTTCCTTGACATCTGATGGGAGGGCAGCCGCCCAACATTTTGAATTGAACCAACACTTTGAATTGTGCTCGGAAACCTACTGGCATTTGACTGACCAGCAAGAAGACCTTGGGGTCATAGTGAACAGCTCAAAGGTTTTGGTCCAGTGTGTGTATGGAGTCTGTGAAAAAGGCAAATTCTCCATACAATATCATAGTGCCATTATACAAATCTATGGTGCAGCTGCATTTGGAATAATACAGGTCGCCTCACGTCAAAAAGCATTTGGGGCTTTTCAGAAAAGCAAAGTGAGAGGTGACACGATAGAAATTTATAAAATTATGCATGGCATAATTTTAGTGGAAGGGGTGAAGTTTAGTGGAAAGGGTGAAGTTTCTCCTCCTCTTTCAAAACACTCTTGTTTCAACTTCACACTTGTCAGTGTGTCTCACTGATCCTTAGGGTTGCCATATTTCAAAAAGTGAAAATCCGGACACAAGTTTTCGAGCTTTTTCCCCCCCATGGAAATTCACTAAATTCTACACTTCTGACATGGGTTTCTGTACATCTGGGTTTTTCCGGACATTACAGCAATTTCCGCCCAGACACCATTTCCGACAGCTGAATCCTGGCTATTTCCAGGAAGTTCCGGGTGCATGGCAACCCAACAATCCTGTCTGCCAATCTACCCACCACAACCAGAAGCTTCTTATGGGAAGTCTATGTCCTGAAAATCCCTATTGTTTTCCTGCCCCCACCAGCGCAGGATTGAACTCTGTGGAGGCCCCTAGGCAGTCGAAATCTCGGGGGCCCTCTTGTAAATGGTATGCTAATAAGTTTTTGATTTTACCAACCAGCAATTTAAATAAGCCAATTTTGATACACCACCAATTATTTCCAGTGATACTGCTGCAGACTGCATCCACCAATTTTAGAAACAATATCTGAGGGGGCTTCACATCCCCCTTTTCTCTCACATACACACCTCACTTTCCATGAAGGTTTTCAAGCAGAGGTTGTAATGTAATGTATGATTTAGCTGAATTTGGCATTACAATCAGAATTCTATGGCAAAAGAAAATACAAAATAGGACACAAACAAAAAACCCCCAAAAATACAATCATCTGACTTCGGGAGGGTGGAGCGAGGGCTCTGGGATGATGCCAGAGCCCTGGCAACGCCTTATCTATCTATCTGTCTATCTATCTATCTATCTATCTATCTATCTACACACACAATTATTTGTGCCGTTTTCATTACAAGTTTTCATATTCCATTGATTTACTCACACAGTCATGGTCATCGACTTCCCTTCCTCCCTTCCATAGTTCCGTACTCTCCAATTCTACCTATCCCTGCTCTTTCCCTCACACATCCGCTTAGGAAAGCATGTGTCTGAGCAGTTTCTGCCTTGCCCCACTCCTTTCCAGAGGAAAACTTGCTCTTTAGGATAGGTTGGATCAAAGGCCAATATAAGAAGCAAAAGAAACAGCAGAATTACAATTATCTGGCTTCGGGGATGGCAGAGCAAGGGCTCTGGTATGGTGCCAGAGCCCTGGCACTGCATTCTCTTAATATATATATTCTCTTAATATATATATATTTATGCTTTTATTCCATTACAAGTTTTCATATTCCATTCAATTTACTCACACAATCATAGTCATCAACTCCCCCCACCCTTCCATGGTTCTAGATATCTACCCATTACAACTGCATATTCCAATGGCTCCTTTGCAGGGGGTTGGACTAGATGCCCCTCAGATCTCCTTCCAACTCTACAATTCTTTTGATTCTACTATTCAGCCTCTCCCCACTCTTTCCCTCACACATCTGCTTAAGAAAGCACATGTCTGGGCAGTTTCCCCCTTGCTCCGCTGCTTTTCAAGGGAAAAACTTGCACTTTAGGGATAGGCTGGATCAAAGGTCAATCTGGGGGAAATCTGAATTGCTGCTTGCTCCTCTAACTGAGCACGAAAGAGCAGTTTTGGTGGTGGGCTGGGGGATTCAAGAGAAAGTGTGGATAAGCCCTTAGACCCATATCTCCCCTCTCCTGCTTCTCACTCACATTCACCCGTTACAAGAGTAATCTGCAGCTTCTCTTCTGTGATAAACTCCCACAGGAAACCCTGAAAGTGACCTCTGTCTTTCTCCAATGTGCTTTTCCTTATCACAACAATCCTGTTCTGTCTCTTCCCCTTCCTGCCAAGAAGAGTACCTGAGGGCTGATGGGAGAAAGCAAAAGTGCATTGCACTGTGGGGCTTCTCAAGCCTACTTTCTTATCAGACCCAAAGCCTTCTGGGAGATGAAGTTTCTTCCAGTGTTTCTCAAATTTGGGTACCCACCCTACAAAGTCTCATCATTCCTGACCACTGGTCCTGCAAGCAAAGGATTATGGGAGTTGTAGTCCAACAACAACTGGGGACTCAAGTTTGATATACAGTACAATATGATATAAGGAGATTCCAACTAGACTTACGAAAGAACTTTCTGATAATAAGAGCTGTTCAACCGTGGGAACGGTCTCCCTCGGGAGGTTGCAGAATCTCCTTCCTTGGAAGTTTTTAAGCAGAGATTGGATGGCCATCTGTCATGGATGCGTTAGCTGAGTTTCTTGCATTGCAGGGGGTTGGACTAGATGACCCTCGGGAACCCTTCCAGCCCCAAGATTCTATGACTCTATTAAACAAAAGACGCAAAAGAAATATAATTATCTGGCTAAAGGAAGGCGGAGTGAGGGGCTCTGGGATGCTACCTGAGCCCTTGCACCACTCATTCATTCATTCATTCATATATACATTATAAATAACATTACAAGAGTCGACTGCAGCTTCGTTTCCCAAAACTCCCTAAGGGCACCCTGCAAGCGACCCCCCCCCTGATGTGCTTTTCCTTATCACAACAATATTGTTCTGCCTCCTCTCCTTTCTTATCCAGACCCAAAGCCTTCTGGGAGATATAGTCTCTTCCAGTATTTATCATACTTAGGTACCCACCCAATCAATGTTAGACTACAAACTCCCATCATTCCTGACCACTGGTCTTGCTAGCTAGGGATGATGGGAGTTGTAGGGCAGAGCAAGGGCTCTGGTATGGTGCCAGAGCCCTGGCACTGCATTCTCTTAAAAATATATATATGCTTTTTTCCATTACAAGTTTTCATATTCCATTCAATTATCTCACACAATCATAGTCATCAACTTCCCTCCCCCCTTCCATGGTTCTAGATATCTACCCATTACAACTGCATATTCCACTGGCTCCATTGCAGGGGGTTAGACTAGATGACCCTCAGATCCCCTTCCAACTCTACAATTCTTTGCTTCTATGATTCAGCCTCTCCCTACTCTTTTCTTCACACATCCGCTTAGGAAAGCACATGTCTGGGCAGTTTCTCCCTTGCTCCTCTCCTGCAAGCATAGTTTCCCAAACTTGAGTCCCCTGGTGTTTTTGCACTACAACTACCAAAAACCTGCTCTTTATGGGTAAGCTGGATCAAAGGCCAATCTGGGGGACATCTGAATGGCTGCTTGCTCCTTTGAGCACGAAAGAGCAGTTTTTATGGGGGGGGGGGATTCAAGAGTAAGTGTGGATAAGCCCTTAGACCCGTGTCTTCCCTTTCCGGCTTCTCACCCACATTCACCTGTTACACAATTCAGCTGCAGCTTCTCTTCTGTGATGAGCTCCCAAAGGACACCTTTCAAGCGACTTCCATCCTGCCCCATGTGCAGCCTTCACAGAAAGGCTTTTCCCTCTAAAGTCCTATTGCAAACCCCTTGTTTTTCCTCCTCCACTTCCTGCCCTGATAAGGAGGACTCAGGGGAGAAAGCAAGAGCCCATTGCATTGTGGGGCTTCCCACGCCTGGCGTTCTTTCTTTTCCAGACCCAAAGCCTTCTGGGAGATGTAGTATCTTCCAGTGTTTCTCAATCTTGCTCCTGTTTTTTTGGACTACAATTCCCATAATCCCTGGTCCCTGGTCCTGCAAGCAAAGAATGATGGGAGTTGTAGTCCAACAACACCTGGGGACTAAAGTTTGATATACAGTACAATATGATATAAGGAGATTCCAACTAGACGTACGAAAGAACTTTCTGATAATAAGAGCTGTTTGACCGTGGGAACGGTCTCCCTCGGGAGGTTGCAGAATCTCCTTCCTTGGAGGTTTTTAAGCAGAGGTTGGATGGCCCTCTGTCATGGATGCGTTAGCTGAGATTCCTGCATTGCAGGGGGTTAGACTAGATGACCCTCAGGACCCCTTCCAGTCCAAAGATTCTATGATTCTATTAAACAAAAGAAGCACAATAAATATAATTATTTGGCTTAAGGAAGGCAGAGGGGCTCTAGGATGCTACCTGAGCCCTTGCACCACTCACTCATTCACATATATGTTATATATAACATTACACAAGTCAGCTGCAGCTTCTCTTCCCAAAACTCCCTAAGGACACCCTGCAAACACCCCCCTAATTTTCCTTATCACAACAATATTGTTCTGCGTCCTCCCCTTCCCACCAAGAAGATTCCTTGAGAAAGAGGGCTGAGGGGAGAAAACAAAATCCCATTGCATTCTGGGGCTGCCCAGTCCTTGTCTTCTTTCTTATCCAAACCCAAAGCCTTCTGGGAGATGCAGTCTCTTCCAGTATTTATCAAACTTAGGCACCCACCCAAACAATGCTAGACTACAAACTCCCATCATTCCTGACCATTGGTCTTGCTAGCTAGGGATGATGGGAGTTGTAGTCCAAAAACACCTCAAGTTTGAGAAACAATGCTTGCAGCTGAGCCCTATGTAAGCTGTCATTTATGGGATCTGGGAGGGTGTTTTTTTAAAAAAACAGAACTTAAAACTGTAGACTGTTGAAAAACAGATGCTGTATGTTTGTTCAGTTGCATTTTAATTACTTCTTTTATTTATTATTTTGAATCTTATTTTTATATTTCATTTTATTGCTATTACAATTGGAATTCCATGGCACAAGAAAAGACAATATAAGAGGCAAAAGAAAAACCAGAATTACAATTACAGTGGTACCTCTGGATGCGAACGGGATCCGTTCCGGAGCCCCATTCGCATCCTGAGTAGAACGTAACCCACGACTGTGCGTCTGAGCATGTGCGGGTCATATTTTGCCTCTTCCGCGCATTTGCGTGACGTCATTTTGAGCGTCTGCGCATGCAAGAGCGGCAAAACCCAGAAGTAATGCATTCCGTTACTTCCGGGTTGCTGGGGAGCGTAACCTGAAAACACTCAACCTGAAGCATATTTAACCCGAGGTATGACTATATCTGGCTTCGGGGAGGGCAGAGCAAGGGCTCTGGTTTGGTGCTAGAGCCCTGACACTGCATTCTCTTTTTCAATTTTTTTTAATGTGCTTTTTTCCATTACAAGTTTTCATATTCCATTCAATTTACTCACACAATCATAGTCATCAACTTCCCTCCCCCCCTTCCATGGTTCTAGATATCTACGCATTACCACTGCATATTCCAATGGCTCTATTGCAGGGGTTGGATTAGATGGCCCTCAGATCCCCTTCCAACTCTCAATTCTTTTGATTCTACAATTCAGCCTCTCCCCACTCTTTTCTTCACACATCTGCTTAGGAAAGTACATGTCTGGGCAGTTTTCCCCTTATCCCACTCCTTTCCAAGGGAAAAACCTGCTCTTTAGAGATAGGTTGGATTAAAGGCCAAACTGGGGAAAATCTGAATTGCTGCTTGCTCCTGTAACTGAGCACAATAGAGCCGTTTTGGGGGTGGGGTGGGGGATTCAAGTGTAAGTGTGGATAAACCCTTAGACCCGTATCTTCCCTCTCTTGCTTCTCACCCGCATTCATCTGTTACATGAGTCAGATGCAGCTTCTCTTCCGTGATGAGCTCCCAAAGCGACCTGCAGTGCGGGAAATGCTTCTACCAGAGAGCCTGTTGCATTGTGGGACTTCCCACGCCTAGCGGTCTTTCTTATCCAGACCCAAAGCCTTCTGGGGGATGTAGTATCTTCCAGTGTTTCTCAAACTTTCCCCTCCCTGGTTTTTTTGGGACTACAATTCCCACCATCCCTGACCACTGGACCTGCTAGCTAGGGATTATGGGAGTTGTAGTCTAACAACACCTGGACTCAAGTTTGATATACGGTACAATACAATATAAGGAGAGTCCAACTAGACTTACGAAAGAACTTTCTGATAAAAAGAGCTGTTCAACTGTGGGAATGGTCTCCTTTGGGAGGTTGCAGAATCTCCTTCCTTGGAAGTTTTTAAGCAGAAGTTTGAGTAAAAATGCTTCGTGTTGAGACCCAGGTAAGCTGCTGTTTATGAGGATCTAGAAGAGTGCTTTTTAAAAAACTACTTAAAACTGTACTGTTGAAAAACAATTCAAATCACCATAGCACTGGGCAACAAAAAGGAATTAAACCACTCCAGGATAAAATAAAACACAACAATAAATTGTGTAGATAGGTGGTGTGAGTGGGTGTCTGTGTGTGGGGTGAGGCTCAAGTACAAAACGTGTGTTTCGTGTTCAAATTAAGGCTTAAAACGGGAGGGCAAAGCTGTGACCACAACCCAGGCAGAAAACTTTGTTCCTGGTATCATCTGCTCACAGAGGAAGAGAAAGGGGAAGACAGGGTTTGTTTCTGAACCCGGCACTGTAGAAACCTCAGAACAAAGGAACATAGGAATCTGCCTTATCCCGATTCACACATTTGTGTCACTTGAAACCAGATCACATGAAAATTTCTGGTGGCCTTGGTGGACCACTTAATGCCTTTTCCATCTGTTGTAGCAACTGTAATGCACTGTGGTAGATGCTGCATGTTAGTTTAATTGCATTTTTATTTCTTCTTCTATTTCTTCTATTGAATCTTATTTCTCATATTACATTTTATTGGTAATACAATTGGAATTCCATGGCACAAGGAAAGACAAAGTAAGAAACAAAAGAAGAACTAGCTTCAGTAGGATGGAGGAAGGGCTCTAGTATGATGCCAGAGCCCTGGCACTGCATTCTCATTCTCTCTCTCTTTCCATTACAAGTTTTCATATTCCGTTCAATTTACTCACACAGTCATAGTCACTGACTTCCCTTCCCCCCTTTCATGGTTCTAGATATTAACGCATTACAACTGCATATTCTTATTACTCCATAATTTCCCCTCTCCCTCCGCATTACATCTTCATATACTTTAAACTGCTGAATTTACTCCAACCCTGCTTAACCTGTTTGACATGATTTTTCAGATATTCTGCAAACATTTTTCACTCCTCCTTAAATACTTCACCTTCCTGGTCTCTTCTTCTATAATTCATATTTGCTAATTCCACACGTTCCATCAATTTCATTTGCCATTCCTCCTTCGTTGGCGTTGTTCCCTCTGTCCATTTCCGAGCACATATCATCTGGGCTGCTGTGATTGCGTCAAGTAACAAATCATTTTGATCTTTGAGGACATCCTAATATTCCTAATAAGGAGATTTCTGGTCTTTTTATATAAGTCCTTTAAAACACCCCCCTCCATTTCATTATATATCATCTATATTGTTATAGATCATCTCCCATAAATCCTTTGCTGATTTACATGTCCACCACATATGATGAAATGTACCCTCCATTTCTTGATACACCAGAAATACAATTAAAATCAATATTTCATACAAACCACCACAGACCACAGTTTGGGAACCCTTGTACTAGAGTTTGGGGTCCGCCCGCAAAAATGGGCCTGTTTAAACAATATGCTCCTAAAGATCAATGGTGCTGTGATTTTCAAGTACAGTGGTGCCTCGCAAGACAAAATTAATTCATTCCGCGAGTTTTGTCGTCTTGCGATTTTTTTCGTCTTGCAAAGCACGGTGTCGGGAAAGTTTTGGAAAAGCTTCAAAAATCACCAAAGTCTTCAAAAACCTCAAAAAAGGCTACCACACCACGTGCTATGAGTTGCTCCTCGAAGTCAAGTCGCAACTGTATTAACGGTGTTAAGAAAAAGGAAACAAACTTGCAAGACGTTTCCGTCTTGCGAAGCAAGCCCATAGGGAAAATCGTCTTGCGAAGCAGCTCAAAAAACCAAAAACCCCTTTCGTCTTGTGAGTTTTCCGTCTTGCGAGGCATTCGTCTTGCGAGGTACCACTGTACTAAACTAAACTTGGTGCACATGCATTATGGACTTGAGACTGGAGGACAAAGCGGAACTCATAGAATCATAGAATCATAGAGTTGGAAGAGACCACAAGGGCCATCGAGTCCAACCCCCTGCCAAGCAGGAAACACCAGTCAGTCTGCTCAGAAATGTTTCCTCCTGGCATTATCTGTTGGGGGAGAGAGACAGAGAGAAGAGAAAGCAGGGTTTACTCCTGAACTTGGTGCAGAAGGAACCTCAGCAATACAGTCTGAACGGAGGCCAGGATTTGTTATCTGAAATAAGCTTTCTTCCTCGGGTGACAATAAAACGTTCTTGTTAAGCAGGGATGTTTTGCTTGGTGTCTGGGCAGCTGGTGAAAGAACTGAGGATTATTTATTGAGGTTTTAAATAATTTATAATGGCTCCTTTTCCTGATTTTATTCTCTTGTGCTGTATTCCACTTGAAGATGAGTTCCTTTTCCATAATTAAATTCTGGACATTTCCTTGAAGCTCATTTGAGATAATTTATTAAGGAACAAAATGCCATCGCACCAACCGGCTGTTAGAACAAACCAACCCAAAACTAAACATCACACACAAACAAACACAGGGCTGAGCGGAATACATCTTCAATTCATTACGGTGTCACTCACCCAGGCTTTCCCACAGTAGGGTAGGCATGTGTGTGTGTGTGTGTGTGTGTGAGAGAGAGAGAGAGAGAGAGAGAGAGAGAGAGAGAGAGATAGGATGGTGTAAGCCAGAGGTCAGCAACCTAAGGCCCATGGGTTCCAGCCCATGAGCTTCCTAGAACCGGCCCACAGCCGTTCCATGGATTGGCGTGGGGATTCCATGCTTTCCCCCCCCCCCCATGGCACCATTTTCTTTCTCGCTGCGGGGACTGACTTCTGGGTTGGAAGAGCGCCGGAAATAGCATGTGAGCATCATGCACGCGGGTGTTCCTCCGTCCTGGAAGTGCACCAGAAAAAGCGTGTGTGCACGCGTATGGGAGTGCCTGCACACTCTATTTCCGGCGCACTTCCGGGACAGAGGAACGCCCATGCGTATACGCGCACGCTATTTCCAGTGCTCTTCTGACCTGGAAGAGAACCGGAAATAGCTTGAACGTACGCACGAGCACGCTTTGGCCCACTGAGAGGTCTGCTGGGGAGTGGACCAGCCCCGCCTCAAAAAACGTTGCTGACCCCTGGTGTAAGCAGATGTCACCTGATGGAACAGCTTTTAGTTTTTGTAAGAATTGGAATATCTGTTCTCAGTGCTTTTTTTCTTTTAAAAAAAATGTATAGGGGTACTCTCATTTTGACTCAGGAAAACCACGATTTTATAGTTCAAATCGGGGGAAATGAATACAGTAAATGGGCAAAAGTACAAAGATTCACAAATTTTTTAGGGGTATGCATACCCCTGCGTCCCCCCAGAGAAAAAGGACTGTGTGTTCTTATCCAGAACCAAAGAACAACGCCGATTCAAAGGCAGAATTCAGAAGCACGGTACAGCTAATGAGGAAAAACAATGATATAGTGACAAAATCAGGACAACACGAATACAACAATCTGGGACAGGCTTCCCCCAACATTAAAAGAGGCAGGCCTAATCTGAGACAGTTACTGGGTGCCTTTAAGGGCTTCTCCAGATGTCCTTAAAGGACCTTCATGAGAAAGGACCTTTAGCTACAAAGGCCTTGTCCCTCCTCTGTTTCTGCTTGTCTAAGGAAAAGTTTGGATGAAGGCAGGAGGGAGAGGACCTCAACACCTGCGAATTAGGTGAAAAGGGAGGCATGGGGAATAACCGTTTTAAGCAAGCTGCTAGTGTCTGACCACAATTGTATATTTTTATGCATTGCAGTTGGAACTGTCTGCTTTGTAGCTTTTTGCGGCCCTGGTTTTGACAGCATTTTAAAATGCCGGCTGGTTTGCTTTTGATCCGCAGGGGAGACCCTCTGCCTGATTGATCACGTCCCTCCAACATAATCACCTTCCTTCGATCAACATGGGCTCTTGAACTTAACCCTAACCACAGCGTGGACTCGTTTCCTTCCGCAAATGTATTGGGGGAGAGGGGAGCGGACACAACCTGCTTTCAGTACTGCTCACACCTGAAAAAAGGCAAACTGCTTTGCTCCCATTTTGCACAGGCACCTAGAGCTTCCTGCTGAAATCCGGTAACTGTCGGGTGAGGGGTTGCCCTGCGTTGGTTCACCATAATGCAAAAGCTTGTGTCCCCAACCCCACACCAAGGTATCTGGTTGGCCACTGTGAAAACAGGATGCTGGACTAGATTTTGTGCAAATAAAGGATAACGGAAGAGGAGATTGTGGGAGAGATACCTGATGTGAGGGAGGGGGATGACAACAGCAGAAATACGTCTATACTTTACACATCCAACCTGCAAATGTCTACGTCCTAAGTGACATTTTACACTTATTTTCAGCTGCTTTTGGTTTTAATGTGAAAAGGAGTTCTGTCCCATGGGGAGGAATTCAAGGCGACATACAGCTCAAAGGGCCAGAGGGCCCCGAACTCAGCAGGGATAGCTCACTGTGTTTTGAAGTAAATTCACGTTCCCGTCTAAGAAATTGAGGAGGGATGTCTATGACGTCCGGAGGCCAAAGTTACTTCACGGCACCACTGAGGAAAAGCTGCCCCTTGTTCCAAGCTGCTTCAGAAAGGGCTCTTTTCTGTGTGGATTCTCCGATGTGTAAGAATGTTCTCCCAACCAACCAAGAGGATTTGAATGGCGACTGTCATCACCTCAATGCCTCAATTTCAGGAGTAGACAGCAGGCCTGGTTTGATCCAGCAAGACTCTGTTTCTCTCTTCTGTATTTATCCTTATATTTGGTAAGCCCCAAATTACAGCAGAAACCTTCTCCAACATCGGTCTCGAATAATATTTAAACGTGATGCATTTTGCCCAAAACTTATTACACTTTAGGAGCAGGGTTTTGTTTTTTTTAAAAAGAGGAAACATTCATAAGGTGTCAAGCCCTGCGTGGGTTTTCTGATGATGCATGAGCTTATCTTTCTGGGGGAAGGTTTTTTGGCACTCTGAGCATTCGTGCGGTTTTGATTCCGCATGGGTTCTCTGGTGTCTTACCAGCTTCTCCTTCTGGAAGAAGCTTTTCCCACACTCAGAACACGCGAATGGCTTCTCCCCCGTGTGGATCCGCTGGTGCCGGATCAACTGGGCACTCTGGCAGAAGCTTTTCCCGCACTCAGGGCACCCATAAGGCTTCTCTCCTGTGTGCATCCGCAGGTGAATGTCAAGGTATGACTTCCTGCTGAAGTTTTTCCCGCACTGAAGGCACTCGTAAGGCTTCTCTCCCGTGTGCATCCTCTGGTGCCGGATCAGCTGACCTCTCTGGCAGAAACATTTCCCACACTGTAGGCAAGCGTAGGGCTTCTCTCCTGTGTGGATTCTCTGGTGTCGGATCAGCTGCCCGCTCTGGCAGAAGCTCTTCCCGCACTGCGGACACTCGTAAGGCTTCTCGCCCGTGTGGATTCTCTGGTGGGTGACGAGCGAGGACTTGTTGCTGAAGCTCTTCGCACAGTGCAGACACTCGTACGGCTTCTCGCCCGTGTGGATTCTCTGGTGGGTGATAAGATGCGACCGCGTGCTGAAGCTCTTCCCGCACTGCGGGCACTCATAAGGCCTCTCCCCCAAGTGGATTCTCTGGTGTGCAAGAAGGTTCTCCCTCTGGCAGAAGCTCTTCCCGCACTCAAGGCACTCGTAGGGCCTCTCGGCCGTGTGGATCATCTGGTGCACGATGAGCCCCGATTGGTGCTCGAACGCCTGCCCGCATTTGCGGCACATGTGGCACTCCTCTCCTGCGCGGACCGCGCCGGCGTTATCAGCCACGGCGGTTTCCACCTCCTGAATGGAGATGCCCCACATCTTCACGGCCCGCTGCCACTGCTGCCTGTCGGACTTGTAGCCCTGATCGAAGGCTTCGGACTTCACAGAAACGTCCCTGAGGGAAACCCCCGGGAACCTCCTGTCAGAACTGGCTGACCTAGGGCCTTCTTGATGCGTCCTGTGCATCTCGCTCTCACTGGCAGTGCCGTCGCCTGAAGAGATTAGAGAGACAAGAAAACACAGGCCGAGATATCACTCCATCTGATAGGAGAGGAGGAAAACAGAAGGTACCATGGAGGCAGAACAATGGACTCCATCCTACCACTCCAAAACAAAGGTGGCAAGAGTTTTGAGGTGATAGGATGAAGACCATTGCGTCTGACTGGAATATTTCTTCTCAAACTCTGAGGTTTGGGTTGTGAGTGTTTCTGCTTTTTAAGACAAAACAGCACCATTTACACACAAGATATTAGGCTCAGGGGAACTGCAAGGTTTAGTGAGGTGTAGACACACAGAGAGAAAACTTTAGAAATAATAATAATTTATTTATACCCCACCCATCTGGCTGAGTTTCCCCAGCCACGCTGGGCGGCTCCCAATCGAGTGTTAAAAACAATACAGCATTAAATATTAAAAACTTCCCTAAACAGGGCTGCCTTCAGATGTCTTTTAAAGATAAGATAGCTACTTATTTCCTTCACATCTGAAGGGAGGGCGTTCCACAGGGCGGGTGCCACAGAAAAGGCCCTTTGTCTGGTTCCCTGTAACCTCGCTTCTCGCAGCGAGAGAACCGCCAGAAGGCCCTCGGCGCTGGATCTCAGTGTCCAGGCAGAATGATGGAAGTGGAGACGCTCCTTCAGGTATACTGGGCCGAGGCCGTATAGGGCTTTAAAGGTCAGCACCAACACTTTGAATTGTGCTCGGAAACGTACTGGGAGAAAAACAACCCAGAGGCGGCCCTAACCCAACAAACATCCCCTGAGCTGTGGCACTCCTTCCTTTTGAATACTTACTTTCACAGTACTCGGCTGCCAGGAAAATGTCATCCTGAGATCCCCCTGGGAAAACGTGGGGCGTGTCTTCCAGATGTGGGATCCCTTCTCCCGGAGGAGGTTCTTCTTTGATCTCATTTGCAGCTGTGACGCAGGGAAAGAGAAAGACCAGGAGGGAAATAGGAGTCCCTCTTTCAGAAAAGGGTTCTAGACTGCACACAACCTATACTGTAGTGGAAACACCAGAAAATATATTGTAACCCTGGTTGGATCTAGAGACATCAAAGAAGCGTTTCGGTTAAACGTATTATAAACTCACACAGGGAAATTGGGTTGGGAAAGTCGGGACTCCACAAAGTCATCTGGTGTCACAGTGTTATACTGCATATACAACACATATAAAAGGCATTTTTCTTTACCAATCCAGCTGAGTCCCCAGTGTTCCCCAAATGTGGATCTCCTGTTGTTTTGGACTACAACTCCCATCATCTCTAGCTAGCAGGTTCCATGGTCAGGGGTGATGGGAATTGTAGTCCAAAAACAACAGGAGATCCACATTTGGGAAACACTGTTGTAACCCAGGGAGGTGTCAGTGGCCTGGCACAACTGTTTCTGAAGGCAACCCTGTTTAGGGAAGTTTTTAATGTCTGATGTTTTATCGTGTTTTTAATATTCTGTTGGGAGCTGCCCAGAGTGGCTGGGGAAGCCCAGCCAGATGGGGTATAAATAATAAATTGTGATGATGATGATATCCACCATTGTGTGTGGCCTTTCACAGAAGCAGGCCTTCACTGCTCTCCTAAGCCTGGCAGTGGTTAACGCTGAATTGTGCTGACTGTCTGCTTTCCAAGCCTCAATTCCTAATTCATGGGATTGTTCCCTGTACATGGTACATTGTTCCCTGTACTGCAGTACACTGGGAGTATCCCAATATCCTGTTTGCCGGCCCAGATCATGAGATCCCTGGTGCCCGGTGCAGGTAATTTAGCAATTGCACCTCATGGATGTAAGCCCTAGCATTTGACCTAGAGAGTTGAGCTTTGGCGCAGGCCGGAAGGCTGCCATCAGATTTTCTGCGACCCATTGGCCAGCTTGAGGTCTCTCTGTCTCTTTGCAGCTGAAGGGAGGTGTCGCCATCAGCTCGCTTGGTACGTTGATACTCTTGCAAATGATTTGGCTGCTGTTTAATAAATCTTAAGACTTCTTCACCACTTACATCACGCATTTACTTCTGAACCCTTGGGGGGAAAAGAAACCCCTTGCCTTTGGCAAGACCTTCAAAGCACATTATTTCCCTCAAAATATGAGGGGTCAACTGCAGTACCCACAATTCTTAAAAGGAAATAATGTGCTTCTAATATGCTTCAAAAGGTCCAGCGCTGAGGGCCTTCTGGCGGCTCCCTCACTGCAAGAAGTGAGGTTACAGGGAACCAGGCAGAGGGCCTTCTCAGTGGTAGCACCTGCCCTGTGGGACGCCCTCCCATCAGATGTCAAGGAAATAAGCAACTATCTTACTTTTAAAAGGCATCTGAAGGCAGCCCTGTTTAGGAAAGTTTTTAATGTTTAATGCTGTATTGTGGTTTTAATATTTGGTTGGAAGCCGCCCAGAGTGGCTAGGGAAACCCAGCCAGGTGGGTGGAGTATAAATAATAAATTATTATTATTATTATTATTACCCCTCCAGACACTGCTGAACTGCAACTCCCATCAGCCCCAGCGAGCATGCTGAATGGCTGCGGTTGATGGGAGTTGTAGTTCAGCAACCTCTGAAAAGCCAGAGGTTTCCCTGGTCCAGTCCTCTTGTCAAAGCCATCCAGAGTCGGTGGCCATCATTGCCTCTTGTGGGAACAAATTGTTCCCTTTTGTATTATTATTATTCATTATTATCATTATTTATTATTATGCATACACAGCCCAGGGTCAAATGTAAAAACAATGAGTCTTGAGGGGATCATCTTCCGGCACTCTTTAGTACAGTGGTACCTTGGGTTACATACGCTTCAGGTTACATATGCTTCAGGTTACAGACTCCACTAACCCAGAAATATTGCTTCGGGTTAAGAACTTTGCTCCAGGACAAGAACAGAAATCGTGCTCCGGCAGTGCAGCAGCAGCAGCAGGCCCCATTAGCTAAAGTGGTGCTTCAGGTTAAGAACAGTTTCAGGTTAAGAACGGACCTCCAGAACAAATTAAGTATGTCAACTGAGCTACCACTGTATATGCATTTTTTTGTACACCTTACTTGGTCGGAGAACTCCACTGCAAAATTTGGGGAGGTGCAAATTTAGAAAGATATCTGTGTTTCAGTTTATGTATTGCTTCAGAAAGTACGAGTGAATATAATTTCTGCCTCATCCCTAGCTCTGTCACTGAACTACAGTGGATTCCTCAAAGGCCTAGGAACAGGGGAAGATACCCTATGTGGATTAGACCATTTGGCCATCCAGTTCAGTAATGCCAACTCTGACTGGCAGCAATCCAGTGTCGCAGGCAGAGGCCTTTTTCTAGTCCTGCTCTGTGGGATACTTTGAGTGGAGATGGACCTGCGGTACTCTGTATGCTTATCGTCACGGAGCTATGTCTCACTCACAGAACCAAAAGGGTACAGTCACTCCAATCACCTGGGCAGGAGTCCCAGACAACTCCTCAGTCTCCATTTGTTGCACTGAAAGATGTGCTTGGATTGTTTTGCTGATGGCAAATACAGTTCAGAGTGAGAACATCAATTCCAAAATCAGCCAAAACAATTTCTGAACTCTTTGGAATTATCAAATAACTCCTCAAACTGTTTGGGTGTGCCTTTGAAATATAAATATTATTTCGATTTATATATAGTGGACATGAGAATAAATTTTGACAACCTCACCAGCCCTTAAATGCAAAGGGACCCCTGACCATTAGGTCCAGTCATGCCCGACTCTGGGGTTGCGGCGCTCATCTTGCTTTACTGGCCGAGGGAGCCGGCATACAGCTTCCGGGTCACGTGGCCAGCATGACTAAGCCACTTCTGGCGAACCAGAGCAGCACACGGAAACGCCGTTTACCTTCCCGCCGGAGCGGTACCTATTTATCAACTTGCACTTTGATGTGCTTTTGAACTGCTAGGTTGGCAGGAGCAGGGACCAAGCAACGGGAGCTCACCCTGTCGCGGGGATTCGAACTGCCGACCTTTTGATCAGCAAGCCCTAGGCTCTGTGGTTTAGACTGCAGAGGGGGTTATAGATTTTTAAGGCATGAATGGTCCCATCACACAGGTGAGCAGTTACCTGCAAAACCTCCCTTTCCTGTTTCCTCAGGGTCTTGAGTGAATAAATCTTCCTTTCCTTCCGGCCAGGGAACGGCGTCTGGTTTGGGAATCAAAAGTCCTTTACAGAAGGGAAGAAAACACAGGAAGTTAAGGAGTGATTTCTGTCATCTCAAGTCATCTAAGTTAGAAAAACGTGCCCTTGACCTGCTACTTTTCTATCTACGGGGAAATATTTCCCTGTTTTTAAAAAAGATGAAGGAACACTTAAAAACATGCCACTGCAATTCCCAGAGTAGCTTAACAACCAGTCCCTCTCTACCAGGGAATTCTGGGACTTGTAGCTCTGTGAGGGGAATAATAATTTTATTCTTTATATGCAGCTCATCTGACTATATACCAAAACCCTCCAACGGTCTCCTATCTTTCAGTATATGTTGGAGGACAGAGTGGAAAGCTGAGCAGAAGGGGAAATCAAATGAGAGAAAAAAGGGTGCAGCCAGTCAGAATTCCAAACTGAAGTTGACTCTGCTGCAACATTTTATCGCAGGTTCCTCTTGTAAGCTAAGAAATGGAAGGGACATACAGTCGTACCTTGGTTTTCAAACAGCTTAGTTCTCGAGCGTTTTGGCTCCCAAACGCCGCAAACCTGGAAGTGAGTGTTCCGGTTTGCGAACTATTTTTAGAAGCCGAACGTCCGACGGGGCTTCCGCGGCTTCCAATTGGCTGCAGGAGCTTCCTGCAGCCAATCAAAAGCCGCGCTTTGTTTCCAAACATTTTGGAAGTCGAACCGACTTCTGGAACGGATTCCGTTCGACTTCCAATGTACGACTGTACTAGAGTCAATTGTATTTTTAAAGAGGAGACTATCCCTCATAAATGGTCGTGGTTGACATTCATGGAAGACACAAGCTGCTCTTTCCCTCCCCCTTGCTCCCTTACAGGCTACTTCAGAGGAGATTCTTACCCAATGAGGCCATATTCCCATAATTCTCCAACGTGACCTCCTTGTACAGAACTCTTTGGTCCGGATCCAGCAAGGCCCATTCTTCCTCTGCAAAGTAAACCGCCACCTCCTCAAAGGCCAACGGTCCCTGAAATAAGGAAAATGTTGCTTCCTCAACGCTTGCTGTCTATATTATTATTTATTGCCTTTATATCCCCCCAGGAGCTCAATCGGATGTAATTGGTTCACACTCCCCCCCCCAGCTCATTTCCTGTTGTTATCATATAATTATAGAGTTGGAAGGGGATCCCAAGGGTCATCTAGTCCAACCCCCGGCAATAGAGGGGGGTCATCACCTCAACAACCCTGTAAGGTGGGTTAGGCTAAGAGACAGTGACGGGCCCAAGGTCGCCCAGTGAGGTTCATGGCTGGGATTACCCAGATTCTAGTCCGTCACTCTAACCCAGGGGTCAGCAAACATTTTCAGCCACTGTCCCTCAGACCTTGTGGGGGGCCAGGCTATATTTTGAAAGGAAAAAAATGAACGAATTCCTATGCCCCACAAATAACCCGGAGATGCATTTTAAATACAGTGATACCTCGGGTTACAGACACTTTAGGTTACAGACTCTGCTAACCCAGAAATAGTACCTCGGGTTAAGAACTTTGCTTCAGGATGAGAACAGAAATCCTGTGGCGGTGGCAGTGGGAGGCCCTGTTAGCTAAAGTCGTACCTCAGGTTAAGAACAGTTTCAGGTTAAGAACGGACCTCCAGAACGAATTAAGTTCTTAACCAGAGGTCCCACTATAAAAGCACACATTCTACTCATGTAAAAACACCAGGCAGGCCCCACAAATAACCCAGAGATGCATTTTAAATAAAAGGGCGCATTCCACTCATGTAAAAACACGCTGATTCCTGGACCATCCGGGGGCTGGATTTAGAAGGTGATTGGGCCGGATCTGGCCCCCGGGCCTTAGTTTGCCTACCCATGCTCTAACCACTACACCACAACAACTTTCCCAGGAAGGATGCAAGAATTCTCCACGTTAGTTCACAAGAGAGATCTCCACCCACCCCTATCTCTCCCGCTTCCATTTTTTTTTTTGAATTTAAATTATTTTATTGGTTTTCACATATTACTTTGCAATACAGATATACCAAAGCTAACACCATTTCCTCCCCATCCCCCCATACATTTACATTTATATTTCCTCAATCCATCATATTCTTTTCACCTTCCTCCCACTTCCCTCCGCCCCCACTCGATTTCCTCCACATTATACAAATTACAATAATCTTTGCATTCTACAACCTTCTCAAATCATCTACATATTCTTATTATCTTTCCTTACTAATTATTCTTCCATCCAGTACTTCACATTTTAATCTAGGCATATTAGCATATCTTTTCTTCTTTTTTTTTAGCAATATTTTGCCATATATTCATCAAAACATTTCCACTCCTTTTTTAATTTTTGATTCGACTGATTTCTTATTATAGCAGTTAATTTTGCCAAAATTAAATATTCATTTACAAATCCATTCCTCCTTTGTGGGTATAGTTTTTTACTTCCACCTAGAAGTCTCTTCCACTTCCTTGTTAGTCATTCTCATCATCTCCTCCATAGGTGCTGCTATGTGCCTTTGAGCTCGTTGCTCTCCTACTTTTAAGGCTCACCGAGTTCTGGGAGATGGAGGTTCTGGGATGCTTTCTAATGACACCATGTCAGGATAGGGAGGCGGTCTCCACCGTTCCTCCTCTGCCCAGTCCCTGACAGGAGGCAGAGCATGGGCATCAGGGTTAGTAAGACGCTTTGAGATTTGTTTTACTGCAAAGTGATAAATAAATGCAATACAGGGGTACCTCTGGATGCAAACGGGATCCATTCTGGAGCCCCGTTCACATCCTGAAGCAAACGCAATCCACATCTGCGCGTGCACGGGTCGCGATTTGCTGCTTCCGCTCATGCGCGTGACATCATTTTGAGCGTCTGCGCATGTGCGAGCGGCGAAACCCGGAAGTAATGTGCTCCGTTACTTCTGGGTCGCCGTGGAGTGCAACCCAAAAATGCTTAACCTGAAGCTACTTCAACACAAGGTATGACTATAGAGCCATACCTTGGATCCCGAATGCCTTGGAACTCGGACGTTTTGGCTCCCGAACACTACAAATCCAGAAGTGAGTGTTCCGGTTTGCGAACGTACTTTGGAAGCCAAATGTCCAATGGGGCTTCCGGGGCTTCTGATTAGCTGTAGGAGCTTCCTGCAGCCAATCAGAAGCTGTAATTTGGTTTCCAAATGTTTTGGAAGTTGAACGGACTTCTGGAATGGATTCCGTTTGACTTCCAAGGTATGAACCAGAAAAAAGCGTGCGCATCCAACATCCAGCAAATTCTTAACCACATGGCAAACCACCTCAACCACATCTCTATTCCCTCTTCCTCGCCTTCCCTCCCCAACCTCCGCACCTCCCATGTTGAGGCCTCACCTGAGTTGGCTCCGGAGCAGGATGACGAGATGAGCCACAGGAAATCAGATGCTGCGCCCCACTGGCTACAAGGCAGGAAGGGATGGGAGAAGCAAAATGGGAGACAGGCCACCATTACGTTCATTTCATTTATTCAAAACATTCCTCAGGTCTCCACTCTTCTAATTCTACAATTATATTATTCTACTCTACAATACTATTGTTCTAAAGTTATCAGCTACAATATTTAAAAGGGACGCAGGTGGCGCTGTGGGTAAAACCACAGAGCCTAGGACTTGCCGATCAGAAGGTCGGCGATTCGAATCCCCGCGATGGGGTGAGCTCCCGCTGTTCAGTCCCTGCTCCTGCCAACCTAGCAGTTCGAAAGCACGTCAAAGTGCAAGTAGATAAATAGGTACCGCTCCGGCGGGAAGGTAAACGGCGTTTCCGTGCGCTGCTCTGGTTCGCCAGAAGCGGCTTAGTCATGCTGGCCACATGAACCGGAAGCTGTACGCTGGCTCCCTCGGCCAATAAAGCGAGATGAGCACCACAACCCCAGAGTCGGCCACGACTGGACCTAATGGTCAGGGGTTCCTTTACCTTTTTATTATTGTAAAACTACTCTGGGAATTGTGGCTCTGGGAACAGAATAGGGGTCTTCCCAGGATCCTTTGGGGGAAGCCGTGATGGTATGAATCAGCTTTAAATGTAGGTTGTTTATGTTTAATGTTATAAACATATATCTAGGTCTATCCCCCCTTGAATTCATGACTGAAGAAAACAAAACCGTTGTAAACAAGCCGCTTTTGTAAAGTCTCATCCATCCCATAACTCCTTACCAAGCAGACTGGCATCGTCATTCTCCTCCTCCTCCTCCTTGCATAAAGGTCCTGGCTGAACACCCAAAGGTGAGAGGAGACCCAGAGCAGTCTCCCTTTTTTCCTCCTCAGGTACCTGGAGCAACAGAGAGGACATAAGAGCATCAGAAGAGTATTTTGGATCAGACCAGTTGGCCCATCTAGTCCAGCATTCTGTTCTTACTAGATGCCTGTGGGGAAGGACCCCCTTGTTCAGGGCAGAGTGACAGAAGTTAGAAGGAGCACCAAAAGGAAACAGTGCTATTCTAGCCAAGGGTGGGGAAACCTACAAGCACCTCCGGATGTTGCTGGACTACAACTCCCATCATCCCAGACCACTGACCATGCTAGCCGCAAAGGCTGATGGGAGTTGGAGTCCAGCAACACCCAGAAGGCACCGGGCTGGCAAAGCTTGTTTTAGAGGAGTGGGGCGGGTTCTGTTGCCGTTGATAATAAATGGGCAGCCAGAAAATGTCATTGTATTGAGTGAGCAGGATCCCATTTAATGGGTTTTGATGTTTTGCTTGAATTGTTTAATTTGGCAGTTTGATGGCCTTTTGTATACAGTGGTACCTCGGGTTACAGATGCTTCAGGTTACAGACGCTTCAGGTTACAGACTCCGCTAACCCAGAAATAGTACCTCGGGTTAAGAACTTTGCTTCAGGATGAGAACAGAAATCGTGCTCCGGCGGCACGGCAGCAGCAGGAGGCCCCATTAGCTAAAGCGGTGCTTCAGGTTAAGAACAGTTTCAGTTTAAGAACAGACCTCCAGAACGAATTAAGTTCTTAACCTGAGGTACCACTGTACTGCTCTGCAAAAAAAAAAAAGAAATTTAAAAAATAAAGATACGTGCCCCTTCGGATATTTGGTGGCCTCACCTTCCGTTCCCATCTCTGAGGCTCATCCTCTTCCTGGCTCAGCAGGAAGTCCTCTGCCAGGGTCACCGCTTCAGCACAGCTCTCTGCGCCCCCTGCCTTGACCCAACCCTGCATTTCCTGAGGCAAGACGGCCAAGAACTGCTCCAGGACCAGCATCTCAACCATCTGCTCCTTGGTGTGCTTCTCCGGCTTCAGCCACTGACAACACAGCTCCCGGAGCCGCCTGCAAATCTCTCGGGGTCCCTCCATCTCCCGGTAGCAGAAATGTCTGAAGCGTTTACGCTGGATTTCGGCGCTAATGTCACCCGGGACAGTTCCCCTTTCCACCTTGGCATCTTCCCTCCCTCTGGCATGCAGGCTCTTTGGGGCTTCCGCGTTGAGATCTGGCGAGATTTGCGTCAACCTCTGCGCTCTAAGACACCGGTCACTTTGGGCTTCCTCTCCGATGGAGACCTTATCGCCCCATCGAAGCTGCGGATTATGCCATCCTGCTTGAGGCAGCTGCAGGCCCTTCAAAAAGTCATGCCACTGGATTTCCCAGTGTTGGGCCAAACCTTCCTCGGGTTCCTGTTTAATCTGTAGCAGTGGCGGACCTTTGGAAAAGCCTTGGGCCGTCCCAGCTTGCACAAAATGGCGGCCTTTGTCTCCTTGTTCTTCTCCAGTTGAATAATCTGCTGCTTCTGCCTCTTCCAGTTTAATTCCTGCAGGCAACTCGTGAGTGAATAAAGGCTGAAATTGGAAGCCTACAGTTGCCATCCCTGACCCTCCAGACATCGAAGAGGCCTCTTTCTCTTTCGCCTCAACAGAGCTGGATCTACAGATTTGCTCCGTGCCTCTTAACTAGAGGGAGGCTGCTTTGGCCCTGTAAAACGCAAAATCTTTAGGAAAGGCTGCAGGGCTAGATCTTTAGCGATCTTTAGAGGATAGAGACGGGTCACCCAGAAGGTGGATTCATTCTCAAGCCAGGGGACAGGCTTCTCCCTAAAGAAAAGAAGACAGAAGCATATTGAATGAAGAGTTCTGCTGGATCAGACCTGTCTTGTCCACCATCTTGGAAAATGCCACCTCCCTGGGCTGGATGTAACTAGGAAGGCAGGCAGGTTGAGTCAGTCAGAGGTTGGTGGGGCAGTGCCCCATTTGCCCTAGGGCCTCAAGAACCGTCCTCCATTGCTCTTTCTTCTATACAACTATTAAAGGGGCAGGACCCCTGCCCTCTTTTTCATCTGACTACCCCTCTTTAGAGAGACACGGGTGGCGCTGTGGGTTAAACCACAGAGCCTAGGACTTGCTGACGGGGTGAGTTCCCATTGCTTGGTCCCTGCTTCTGCCAACCTAGCAGTTCGAAAGCATGTCCAAGTGCAAGTAGATAAATAGGTACCACTCCAGTGGGAAGGTAAACGCGTTTCCGTGCGCTGCTCTGGCTCGCCAGAAGTGGCTTAGTCATGCTGGCCACATGACCCGGAAGCTGTACGCCGGCTCCCTCAGCCAATAACGCGAGATGAGCGCCGCAACCCCAGAGTCGGCCACAACTGGACTTAACGGTCAGGGGTCCCTTTACCTTTACTCCTTTTTAGACAGACTTACCTTCCATCAGGAGGCACCCCCCCCCCATTTATTTCATTTCAGAGAATCCCTGAAAGCAAAGTTGTGCAGAATTCTCTACAAGCTGCATTTGATGTTAAAATCAGAACCCACCTCCTCCTGGTTGCTTTAGTTAGAAGAGGCAGATGGCTAAATAAGCACGTGTGGCTTATTCCATTGTGTACACATTAGAGAAGACTCTTATTTTGCTCCTGCTGAAAGGATCCAAAACCTGGGATAGCTCAGTCGGTAGAGAACGAGACCCTTAATCTCAGGGTTGTGGGTTTGAGACCCATGTTGTGCAAAAAATTATAATCCTGCATTGCAGGGGGTTGGACAAGACAACACTTGAGGTTCCTTCTAATTTTATAATTCAGCAACTCAGACCCTTACAACTATCCCTGACAACACCCCCACAAAAAAATTCCTGCCAGAATTGTAGAAACACCATTAGGTCGCCACCTTCCTTACCTCTGTCACGTTCCTGTGTAGCCTGAGAGACACAGAAATTAAGCAAAGGGACATTTTTTCCTGACACCCTCCCCTAAATTTTGCCTCCTAATGTGCGTGAATATTATTGCTGCCACCTTTCCACCCCGTCTCACTCCTGTACCTATTACAGCAGCCAGAGACACCGAAAATAAACAAGGGGGACATTTGTTTCCTGACACCCCTTCCCCCAATTTTCCCACCTGAACTGCAGAATCAACATTAGTCGCCACCTTTCTGCATCTACCGTGCTCCTGTGTTCATTACAGCGGCCTGAGGCATGGAAAATAAACATTTTCTCCTGACATTCACAATCCGCACAGTTGCCACCTGTGTTGTGGGAACAACACTGAGTTGCCACATTTCCTCCCTGTGTCAAGCTCCTGTGCTTTTCCCCCCAGCAGCCTGAGACAACAAGAAATAAACAAGAAAATCTCCCTTGTCTTCAGGGTGGTGGTTTGTGTGGTTTGCCTGCTTTTTTTGACAAAAACGACAAAAGCAAACCGTAACCATAAATCTTTGCACCCCTGTGGAGTTTCTTCCACTCATTCTGTTTATTTCAGACGCAACTCCCTAAACGTGAGCGTTAGATGCAAACAATAGTATTAATAATGACTATATCCTTGCAACCTCAATCAAGGACCGGGGTGAGAGAGCATCATCCCTGCTCCTTACAGGTCCCTGTTCAGATGCCTTTTCTCCCTCTTTTTACTTCTCCATCCCTTGCAGATGAAATATTCCCTTTGTCCGAAAACAGCCACCCGCCTCCCCCCTTCTTGCAACTCACCCCTCCAGCACGCCCTGCAAGCAGCACCTCTGCCCCTTCCCAAAGATCCCTGGGTGCGTCTCTGAGCCAAGGAGGCCTCTGCAACCCCAGAAGGGAGGGAGAGAAGGAGGCTGAATAAGAAGAATAGCAGTAACAACACAGGAAGGTCCTTTTGGCATCCCTCCTTCTCGGCAGCCTTTCTAGGAAGCTGGGCTCCATCTTCTCCTTTTTCTTAACCCTTTCCAAAGGCAGAGTATATATGCAAAGGTGCGTATAGTTAAAGCTCTGGTTTTCCCAGTAGTGATATATGGAAGTGATCAGCCATAAAGAAGGCTGATCGCCGAAGAATTGATGCTTTTGAATTATGGTGCTGGAGGAGACTCTTGAGAGTCCCATGGACTGCAAGAAGATCAAACCGATCCATTCTTAAGGAGATCAGCCCTGAATGCTCACTGGAAGGACAGATCCTGAAGCTGAGGCTCCAAGACTTTGGCCACATAATGAGAAGAGAAGACTCCCTGGAAAAGACCCTGATGTTGGGAAAGATGGAGGGCACAAGGAGAAGGGGACGACAGAGGACAAGATGGTTGGACAGTGTTCTCGAAGCTACCAGCATGAGTTTGACCAAACTGCGGGAGGCAGTGGAAGACAGAAGTGCCTGGCGTGATCTGGTCCATGGGGCCACGAAGAGTCGGACACGACTAAACGACTGGACAACAACAACAAAGGCAGAGTAGGAGGCAAGCAGGGAACTGCCGCTGGAGGGAGAAGGAATTGATTTCACATCATGGTTCAAAACCTCACCAGGGACATTAGGAATCTACCCATATCTGTCAACGTTTCCCTTTTTTTAAAGGGAAATTCCCTTATTCTGAATAGGATTCCTCGCAAGAAAAGGGAAAAGTTGACAGCTATGAATCTACCTTAGGCCAAGTCGGACTGTTGGTCCATCGAGCTCAGGATGTCTGCACTGACTGGCAACAGCTCTCTAGGACAGGAGATTCTTTTAATCTCAGGGTTGTGGGTTCAAGCCCCAGGTTGGGCAAAATGATTCCTTCATTGCTGGGAGGGGGTAGGTCTAGATGACCCTCGGGTTCCCTTCTAGTTCTACAATTCTATTGTTATTTGTTCTTACCCTCCCAGGGCTATGGTTCCCACAGAGATTTAGTAAGGGGGAGCCATGACTGTTTAAAGTGGCATTATGGAATCAGAATTGCAGAGTTGGGAGGGAGCTCAGTGGTCCTGTAGTCCAACCCCTTGCGATGCAGGAATCTCAACGGAATCATACACGACAGGTGGCCCTCCAACCGCTGCTTAAAAACTTCCAAGAAAGGAGAGTCCACCAACTTCCGAGGGTGTCCGTTTCACCGTTGAACAGCTTTTACCGTCCAGTTCTGAGCACCACGATTTAAGGAGGATATACAAAATGAACTGGACTCCTTGGCAGGTTTTGAATAAACATACACAAATCTATTGGTTGATAACGTGATAGATAGACAATGCAAGGATATGTATAATTTTATAACATGCAGAGAATAATATGTGCAGAGAAATCAGAGAGAGGGGCTGAGGGAAGTCTGGGGGGGAGGGAGGGAGGAAAGCGGGGAAATAATGTATGTGATTATATGATTTGATAATTTGTTATGTTGAAATTGCTTAATAAAAATATTTTTTAAAAAAAATTAAGGAGGATATTGACAAGCCAAAACGGAGGACAGAGGAGGGCAACCAAGATGATCAGTGGTTTGGAAGCCAAGCCTTATGAGGCATGTTTGAAGGAGCTGGGTGTGTTTAGCCAGGAAAAGAGGAGACTGAGAGGAGATATGAGATCACAAGGGCTGTCATGTGGAAGAGGGAACATGCTTGTTTTCTCCTGCTCTGGATGGTGGGACTCGAACCCATGGCTTCAAGTTGCAAGAAAGGGGAATCCAAATAAACTTCAGGAAGAACTTTCTGGTGCAGATGAGGCCTAGCATGTAGTACAGGCTGAGAGTTAATGATTTCCTAGAAACTAGTGACTTTTCAGAATAAACACCATGGCTTTTAAATCAGGGACAAACTGGAAAACAGGGTAAACAAATGCACGTTTATCACTGAATCACAGAGCTGGAAGGGACCCAAGGGTCATCTAGTCCAACCCCCTGCAATGCAGGAATCTCAGAGAAAGCATCCCTGACACAGGGCCTTCCAACCTCTCCTTAAAAACCTTCAAGGAAGGAGAGTCCACAACCTCCAGAGGGAGACATTTCCACTGTCAGACAGCTCTTACCATGAGAAAATTTTCCCTGATGTTTAGTCGGAATCTCCTTTATTATAACTTGAAGCCATGGGTTCGAGTCCTACCCTCCAGAGCAGGAGGAAACAAGCATGTGCCCTCTTCCATGGGACAGCCCTTGAGATATTGGAAGACGGCTATCATCTCTTTAGTGCTGAAGGAAAAAATGAGTGACTCCATCTGTACATTAGCAGGGGAGTATGTATTGCTGTCATTTGCCCCCCCCAATTCCCCTCACAGAGCTACAATTTCCAGTTTCTTGGTAAGAGGGACTGATGGTTAAGCCACCCAAGGAATTATGAATCTGGGCAGGGAATAGGGCATCTCCCTAAGCTCTCTGCACCCTTAACAAATCATCATCATCAAACCTTTATTGGCATCATTTAGAAACATTCAGAATAAATAGGCCAATGCGATCTTGTCGCCATTTCAACAGTACAGTCATTTGCCAAAGGGAAAAAGAAACGAGCAATCTATTTCACCTCTGTGGGACTCCGGCAAGGGCAGGGTCCTGTAGCGTACTTTGGCAGCAGAAAATCAAATAGAGGAACTTGGCTACTGTCTTGGTGAGCTCCTGGTCTCTCCCCTGTAATAAGAAGCGTATAACCTCTGTCTCTGGTTTCCATATTGGGATACATAGGTGGTCTAAGCATTGTTGGTGGAGATCATCATATATTTTGCAATTAAGGGCCTTGTGAGCTAGAGTTTCCACCAGGTGGGCATCACATGGGCAGATCCTATCTCCTTCTGCCATACCCGCCAACCTACCCCAAAGGAGGTTAGAAGGATTGCAATTGAACCTAGCCAGTGAAAAAGCCCTTCTTTTTTGCGGGTTAAACAAAAATTGTAAATAATTAAGGTTAAATTCCTGCACCCCGGGGAGTCGAAAATAAAGAGGGGAACATGTTTTTTCCACAGCTGAGGTTAGTTCCTGGCGGTCTATGTCCCACAGCCTAGTTTTTAACATGGCCTTGGTGATTGGAAAAGCCACAGCACCCAGGAGATCCTCTGAAAGCCCAAATTGCCATAACTTTGTGCAAAACAGTTGTAGCCCTGGGGAAGGGAAGGGGTCTGACAGAACTTTACTAAGTGAAGTATATTTGTCTACTGAAAAACAAATGTTTAGCCAGCATAAAAGAAAACTCGTCCAGGTATCTGTCTCTACCCTTAACAAATGACAGCACCCAGAATTCTTTGAGGGAAACTGTGACTATATAAAATGGCAAAATGGTTTCATAGGTATGCCATACAGTCATACCTCATGTTACGGACACTTCAGGTTATGTGTTTTCGGGTTGCGGCCAGCGGGAAACTCGGAAGTACCAGAATGGGTTACTTCTGGGTTTTGCCGCTCACGCATGCGCAGAAGCACCAAATTGCGCCTGCGCAGACATGGCGCTTCAGGATGCGAACGCTGCGGGTTGCGGACGTGCCTCCGTCACGGATTACGTCCTCAACCTGAGGTTCCACTGTATATCAAAAAGTGAAAATCCATACACAAAATTTGTTGAGCATTTTTTTAAGTTTTGCCCAAAGTTGTGATTTTTGAGCAAAATCACAAATAAAGACCTTTTCGAGCTCTTTTTAAGAAAAATCGGCAAAAACGGCACTGCCGACGGGGGTTGCCTTACATCCGGATTTTCCCATTTTGACGATTTCCGCCCAGACACTGCTTCCGACTGCAGTATTCTGGGTATGTCCAGACGTACGGCAACCCTAGTTTCAAAATACGGTGTGAATGTGGCCGCAACCTGAGCCTTGGAAAGCACGTAGAGCTGAAAGAGGAAGTGGGAAAGAATGCCCGTCTTCAGACTTCCTTCTTCAACTCCATGTGCTTTTCAAGAGATAGAAGGGTAGCCACCCTCTCTCCCCACCTCATGACCAAGGGGGCAGAGGTGGACTTCATGGGTGCCGGAGGAAGACCTAAAGGGCAACATTGCACCCAGGGGACGAGCCTTAATTCTGCAGGACTCTCCTTATACGACACTGAAATCTTTGTTGGTATTATTATTTGAGAAACAGCTGTTGCAAGACACATGGAAGCTCTTGAGTAACAAAAGCGAAAAGACACAACGAGTTACTAGAACCGAGACTGCATTTCGCACTAACTTTTTATTTAAATAACGGATGAGAACACGACAGTTATTTTCTACTCGCAAAAACAAGGACGTGGGATATCGGTTTTGCTCAACAGAAAAAGCTTATTTATATAGAAAGAGGCTTAAAACAAACATAGCCATTCAAAGGTTCCAGAAGTGAGAAACTTTCTCCAATGTTATACAGTGGTACCTCAGGTTACATACGCTTCAGGTTACAGACTCCGCTAACCCAGAAATAGTGCTTCAGGTTAAGAACTTTGCTTCAGGATGAAAACAGAAATCGGGCTCCGGTGGCGCGGCAGCAGCAGGAGGCCCCATTAGCTAAAATGGTGCTTCAGGTTAAGAACAGTGTCAGGTTAAGAACAGACCTCTGGAACGAATTAAGTACTTAACCAGAGGTACCACTGTATATGAGTTAAAAACAGAATTATAGAGTAGGGTGGGCCATATGAGGTATGTGTCCCAGGGGGTTGCCAACACTATCAGGCCTCGTGGGCACATTTGGGATTTTTGTAGTGAGCATCACTCCCACTGGTCAACTCTATCTTCAACTTCCCTACCCCGCCACCCAAAATAGTCATCTGCTTTGCCTCACTTTGTCTCACTTTTCCAAGGGATCTGAGCAAAACTCTTGTCAAGGAGAAGTTATCTGAGCACAAAGAAATGAAAGAGGAACTGGGAAAGAGCGTCACTTTTCCAACTTTTTCAGAGGGTTTGTGGGCACAAGGGGATGACTTCAAGGGTGTCCTTGCGCCCACGAGCCCCTTGCTGGCAACCGCCAATGTATCCCACCCATGCTCAGTGGGGGATCTGCAATGCAAGATGCAGCTACAGCATTCCAGCCTCTGCTTACAAACCTGCAGCGCCTCCTGAGGCGGTGAGTTCCACTGGTGATCATCTCCCAGACTCAACCCCTGGCATCACCGGGGAGAGATGAGAAAGACCCCTGTCTGAAAGCAGAGCTTCTGTCAGCCAGCATGGACAATAGTAAACGTAAGGGATCCCTGACCATTAGGTCCAGTCGTGGCCGACTCTGGGGTTGCGGCGCTCACCTCGCTTTATTGGCTGAGGGAGCCGGCATACAGCTTCCGGGTCATGTGGCCAGCATGACTAAGCCGCTTCTGGCGAACCAGAGCAGCGCACAGAAACGCCGTTTACCTTCTCACCGGAGCGGTAACTATTTATCTACTTTGACATGCTTTCGAACTGCTAGGTTGGCAGGAGCAGGGACCGAGCAACGGGAGCTCACCCCGTCACGGGGATTCGAACTGCCGACCTTCTGATCGGCAAGTCCTAGGCTCTGTGGTTTAACCCACAGCGCCACCAGCATGGACAATACTGAGCTGGAAAAACCAATGGTATAGTCTTTTGCATGTATGGCAGATGTGCTGTCCCCTTCCCCAAACCTCTGGAGGGCAACATTTTTTAAGAACGCTCAATCAAAAGTATGTGTCTCTCTCATAAGAGCCAAAAGTAAAAGAGAAACCAGTTTGAACATGAAATAATAACAATCAGCATGGCTAATAATCTTCTGTACTAAACATGATTCTCTGTGATCCTTCCAGGTGTATCAAATAATCTAATGAGATCTTACTGTATGTTTCCTCTCAGACTATACGGAACAAATTTCCATATTTTTGTAACCATTAAAATAACACTGTCACTTTGGAGGCATCGCCGCCTGCGGTACTGAACTTGCCTTTCTGCTTAGAAAGCAGGTGGTTCTGCTTGTCTTTCTGCTTAGCAGAGAAACGGGGCTGCCCCAAAAATCTACTGATTTTTATTGATTTAATAACATGTGCATACCACTTAAGTTTAAGAAATAAAGGCAGTGGGGGTTCCCGGCCCCCACCCCCAGTACACCGTGCAAGCTTCCTAAGTGTGCAGAAGCACGTTGATTTGTAAGCTAAAAGAAAAAGGATATTAATAATAAAAACAAGAACCTGCGAGCTTCCAGGCCCCGTGGAATGTTGAGGGTCTCTGCAGAGGGTTTGGAAATGGAGGGAAATGTGGCCTGCAAGATTCCCTAATGGATTATCTTATATATTGCCTCCGAGGGCGGGCAGCAATCCCGGAGAGTGGATTTGCTCCACCCCCTTTTTAAAGCCGCCCCAGTTGGTGGCCACCTTGTGGCAGTGAGTTCCACAGTTTTTAACTATGTGCTGTCTGAAGAAGTGCCTCCTGAACCTTCTAACGTTCAGCTTTATTCGATGTCCCCGGTGTGATGAGAGAGGGAGAAAAACTCCTCCCTCTCTGCTTACTCTATATACCATACCTAATTTTATACATCTCCACCTTGTCCCCTCCCTCCCTTTCCTTCCCCACCTTTTCCCTAAACCAAAAAAAGCCCTTATCGCTGCAACCTCTCTTTGCAAGGCAGCTGCTTCAGCCCCTTGGTCATTCTGGTTCCCCATTTTTGTACTTTTTCCAGCTGTACAACATCCTTTTGGAGGGGGAAAAAAGAGAACTGGACATTTCTTTCCTACGTTTCAGAAGTCTCCAGCTGCCCCAAGTAGGTATGAAGTGCTCACGTTCAACGTTGGCAAGTTAACTTTCCCCTCCTGGCAGTCCTTAGACGTGGCTAAAAGTCCCCTCTTGAAGCACGGAATAGGAGCAGTCCCTTCTCAGTCTCCAATTGTTATTGCTTCGTTTAGTGCTCTTTAAAAGTATTTTTTTACCCTGCTCTTTAGCTTAAAAAAAAAAAAAAAAAAAGGGCTCCCTGAGCAGGTTTAGCACGATCGTCCTTGCTTTTTGATCCGCAATTTTTCTATTAAAAAAAACACGACATGAAAGGAAAAAGGATTGGGAGGGAGAAGGAAAACAAGCAGCCCAGGTACCAGTTCTTCGTTTGCAAAGTACTTCTAAGTGTTCTTTCTAGGAGGGTGAAGCTAGCTGGCAGACACAGCCAGGTTGCCATGATGTTCTCATTTCATTTCCACCTCCCAGCAGCCCTTGGCTCATAGCCCAGGCTTGTGCAGGCTGCCCAAATGGTGCTTCGCAAACCACAAGAGGGCCAGTCCCTGCCCCGAGGAGCTTACAATCTAAAATTCCATACGCGTGAAACCACAGATGGGAGAGGGAGGAAAGAACAATGGAAGTTGCATTTATGTAATGCATTTAAGACTTAGTCGCTATAGGCAGGGTGTATGGACTACAGATGAGGCGTGGAACCTGTGACCAGATGCTGCTCAGCTACAACTCCCATAATCACTAGCTTTCAGCCGTGCTGCAATTTTTCTTAAAAACAAAAAACACGACACGAAAGGAAAAAGGATTGGGAGGGAAAAGGAAAACTACAAACCCAGGAGCTGATGGGAGATGGAGTCCAATGAGATCTGAAGAGCCGCAGGCTCACCCTCTGGACCAGGCATAGGCAAACTCGGCCCTTCAGATGTTTTGGGACTACAACTCCCATCATCCCTAGTTAACAGGACCAGTTGTCAGGGATGATGGGAGTTGTAGTCCCAAAAAACATCTGAAGGGCCGAGTTTGCCTATGCCTGCTCTGGACTAAGGGGATGTTTCAAAGGTTATACACACACTACACATTCAAAGAAAATGACGCCTCTACAAAGAATTGTGGGAAGCGTAGTTTACCCCTCACAGACCTACAATTCCCAGCACCTGTAACAGCCTACATTTCCCAGGGTTCTTTGGGGGAAGCCTGTGTGCTTCAAACCTGTTTTCCATGTATGGTGTGTATGCAAACTTCAAAGCACATTCTCCTTGCCTCAAAGAATTCTGGGCATTGTAGTTTTCTTCAGCGCTGTTGGGGATTGCTCCTCTGTGAGCGGAAAACTACAGTGCCCAGAATTCTCTGAGGGAAATAAAGCACTTGAAACTTGTTTCAAAGGTTTATGTAGCATGTATACAGCCCCAAACTCCATGGAAAACCTTTTCCAAGAACAAAGCCTAATATTACAGGTATGGAGGCCTCCTTTGTCCGATCCTTACTCGCCACATCGAAGTGCTAGTGATGCAAGACACTCAACCGAGATATTGTGTAAACAGAGATACTGCAACTTCCTTCACACGAAGATCAGGTGGCTGCTCTTGGGTTCCTCTCTTCATTTTTCTTCTTTTATTTCTGATTCCATTTTCAACTGGAAAAAAAGAATGCCGTATAAAAATTTTATTCATACCATCAACAGGTAAAAGAAAACCATGCATGAGTATGTCATTTTAGGGGGTGAAATATAATTTTTGCTATTTTCTTCAGAGAATGGTCTTTAAAATATGTTTTTGGGTGTGAGCATACAAATCTGCTATTATTTTTGTGACTAGACAGCTTTTAGCTTGGTAATCATACCTCTGATGAAGAAGACCACAAGAAAAGCAAAGGATTTTAAATTTACCTTCTGAAAATGTCAGGTAATTCATTATTATTATTATTATTATTATTATTATTATTAAAAAAAATAATATTTATTATTTTCAGTAGGTAAACATAATAAAAAGAAAAACGTAATAAAACATAATAAAAAAGAAGAGATTAACAATAATAATGACAAACAAAAAATAGGAGAAAAAGAGAGAAAAGGAAAAATATACATACAACATATTGCCACTTAATTAATTAAAATTAAGTACCATACTATAATACTTTAATATTATTATTATTATTATTATTATTATTATTATTAAACTGCTAGCATTTGGAAACCATTTTTAACTATTTCTATGCAATTTTACACACATTTTACTTATCAGGCAAAACCAAATTGTATTAATTTAACCAATATATCTACCAAATTCCCAAATCATGTTAAAACTTTTTAATAATAGTAATAATAATAATAATAATAATAATACTAATAATTTATTTATACCCTGCCCATCTGGCTTCCAAAAAAGTACCCCTCATTTTTGGAATCTGAACGTTCTAGACACCCTAACACCCGAGTCACTGAAGCACATGCCTCATACAAAAAAGGTAAACAGGCCAACCTGTTCAACAATAGAAACCAGATACATTTTACCTACAAAGGTGTGGAGAAAGCAGACAGGGGTAAGCTTTTTCTCCCTCTCTCATAATACAAGAACTCGGGGACATCCAACGAAGGGAACAAAAGGGAACAATTTGTTCCCACAAGAGGCAATGATGGCCACCGACTCAGGACAGCTTTGACAAGAGGACTGGACCAGGGAAACCTCTGGCTTTCCAGAGGTTGCTGAACTACAACTCCCATCAAACCCCGCCAATCAGCATGCTCGCTGGGGCTGATGGGAGTTGCAGTTCAGCAGTGTCTGGAGGGGTAATAATAATAATAATAATAATAATAATAATAATAATTTATTATTTATACCCTGCCCATCTGGCTGCGTTTCCCCAGCCACTCTGGGAGGCTTCCAACCGAATATTAAAAACAATACAGCATCAGACATTAAAAACTTCCCTAAACAGTTGTCTTTTAAAAGTAAAATAGTTGTTTATTGCCTTGACATCTGCTGGGAGGGCGTTCCACAGGGCGGGTGCCACTGCCGAGAAGGCCCTCTGCCTGGTTCCCCGTAACGTCACTTCTCACAGGGAGGGAACCGCCAGAAGGCCTTCGGAGCTGGACCTCAGTGTCCGGGCTGGATGATGGGGGTGGAGACGCTCCTTCAGGTATACAGGACCAAGGCCATTTAGGGCTTTAAAGGTCAGCACCAAAACTTTTATATGCCTGTTGTCTTTGTCCATGCCAAAGAATTTATGCTTTTGAATTATGGTGCTGGAGGAGACTCTTGAGAGTCCCATGGACTGCAAGAAGATCAAACTGATCCATTCTGAAGGAAATCAGCCCTGAGTGCTCACTGGAAGGACAGATCCTGAAGCTGAGGCTCCAAGACTTTGGCCACCTCATGAGAAGAGAAGTCTCCCTGGAAAAGACCCTGATGTTGGGAAAGATGGAGGGCACAAGGAGAAGGGGACGACAGAGGACAAGATGGTTGGACAGCGTTCTCGAAGCTACCAGCATGAGTTTGATCAAACTGCGGGAGTCAGTGGAAGACAGGAGTGCCTGGCGTGCTCTGGTCCATGGGGTCACAAAGAGTCGGACACGACTAAACGACTAAACAGCAACAACCAACACTTTGAATAGTGCTTGGAAAAAGGCTCCCCACACCTGGATTAAGACAAATTCACGGAGTATATGTCCATCAATGGCTACCAGCCACGATGGCTGTGTTTCACGCTCACAGTTGGAGGCCACGTGCCTCAGAATGCCAGTTGCTGCAGGCCGCAAGGGAAGAGAGCGCTGTGGCCCTCGAGCCCTGCTTCCAAGCTTCCCACTGGGGCATCTGGCAGTGCCGGATTTCCAAATTGGCAGAGTATGTCTATGGGCCCTTTTAGGGGCCCTGCGACAACGGAGCAAGATAACATTGATGTGATCTTGAAAGAAAATTGCAAGCAATCTTTCTTAGTTCAGTGCTATACCACCAGAGCCCACGCATGAGAAGGGCCCGAGATCTCGACTACACAGGGTTAATCCGGCCCTGGCGTATGGTTAACCATTTCGAAAGCAAGACGAGGTGGGCCTCTGGCCTGATGCAGAAGGCAGGCTCTTCTTACAGACGTGTGGGGCTGGACAGGGATATGTGAGTGGGGTTTCTAAGTGGTCTTGGCCACACTGGCTGCTGACACCCAGCCTCAATGTCACCTGCAAGGGCTAGGGAATGTGCCTTCAGATATTAGGGACTGGACTGAGGGGGAATGGGGGAGACCGCCCCCTTCTCCTCCTGCACTTCCCAGAGAAGAGAGAGACAGTATAGATTCAGAACAGTGGTTTGCAGAAGGTCACAGTTCAAAGGCTGCAGAGGGTAAAAGCTGGGGGATACTGGGAGAGGAGCGGGAGGAAAAAGCAGAACCAGGGGAGAGACAGCTGACAGACTCAGTGTCTTTGGAAAGCATGCCAGACCTGACCCCACCCCCCACCTCTCCCAGGACCCAGCGGGCATTGAGAGTAGGAGAGCAGAAAGCTCAAAGGCAGAAAGTCTCAGTTTCTTAGTGCAGAAAGTATTGATCTGATGTGTAGAGATCTTTCCTATTCTACTTAATTCAAGAGGGTTCTGGAAGCTTCCGGAAGTTTCTGTGTGTGAAAGAACCAAGCAGAACTCCATGATGTTTGGGTTATTCCTTCAGAGAAGCTGAGTACAGCTGGCTTAAACTGGTCCTGTTCTCTCTTCTGTCAAGGTCATGCTGACTATAATAGTAAGACCAGAAACAGCTTGGGTTGCTCTCTTTCTTTCTGGTGTGGTGTTCTGTACAAAGTATGCTTAGTGTTAAGTTTAGTCTTATTATAAGTTAAAGTTAAGTCTGTTGCAACTGGGATTTCTTATGGACAGTGCCAATGCTGAAAATATTGGATTTGTGACCATGATGCTCATTTGCCTTCAGTAGCAATAAAGCTCTACTGGATGAAATATTCACTGCCTCTGGGCTATTTTGGGGGGAATCCCGCAATGTGCTTAAGTTTTTACTCTGCTAACTATACACTGGAATCTGCTAGGAATCAATATTGAGTAGAATGATCAATATTGAGTAGAATGCTGCAGCGAGGCTCCTCACAGGGTTCCTGCCATGGGAGCATATTCACCCAGTGCTTTACCAGTTGCACTGGCTCCCGGTGGAGTACTGGGTTAGGTTTAAGGTGCTGGTTTTGACCTTTAAAGCCCTTTGTGGCTTAGGGCCCTTGTATTTACGGGACTGCCTCTCCTGGTATGCCCCGCACAGGACCTTAAGGTCCATGAATAATCACAGTTTAGTTGTCCTGGGCCCTAAGGAAGTCAGATTATCCTCCGCCAGGGCCTTCTCAATGATGGCTCCGACCTGGTGGAATGCTCTGTCCCTTGAGACCAGGGCCCTGCAGGATTTAACTTCCTTCTGCAGGGCCTGTAAGACAGAGCTATTCCGCCTGGCTTTCAACTTGAACTTAGCCTGATCTTTTATTCCCCTTCCTTCCCTCTCCCTCCCCTTTTTATGAAGATTACCTGCTCTGGGATCCCACAGCTAATTCTCCCCTGGTCTCCTCACTGGCCCAAATAGAACTAATTTAGCCAGCTAGCCCTGGTGATCATCTAATGTTTATTGGATGGAATTTCCCCCTAAACTGATTTCTGAATTCAGAATTTATTGTTATTCATGTTTTATACTGTATTTTATGCTGTTTTTGGTTGCATCAATTAAGTGTTTTAAATTTGTTGTTAGCCGCCCTGAGCCCGGTTTTCTGAACCGGGAAGGGCAGGGTATAAATAGGAGAGATGGAAGGGGTGGGACTTTACTCGGAACAACACCATTCCTGGAAAGGAGAGGCACTTTTCAAAGCCTCTCTGTGAATAGTGAATAAGAGACTCGGTAAGAGCTCTTCTTGTCATCTGCCTCTTGGCTGCCAACCATGGGAAGGGTCGGATTCCCTGAAGCCTGACCCCAATGCCCTGTCGCAAGAGCCAGGCTGCTCACTTGCCTTGAGATAGAAAGAGCAGCTCTCATGATGAATCGGGTGCTGTACCACCGGGATGCCATGGATCCTGGAAAGTGGCCGCTTTGGCGCAAAACACACCCCGCACTCCAGACACTTGAAGCGTTCCTCTCCTGTGTGTGTCCCCTGGTGGTAAACAAAGGACGACCTGTCGGAATAAGACTTCCCGCACTCCAGGCACTGGTAAGGTTTCTCTCCCGTGTGGGACCTTTCGTGGCAAACAAGCGACGAGCGGAAGGAGTACGATTTCCCGCACTCCAGGCAGGTGTACGGCTTCTCCCCTGTGTGGACCCTCTCGTGGCATATGAGGCCCGACTTGTCGGCAAAGCTTATCAGGCACTCCACACACTGGTAAGGCTTCTCGCCGGTGTGGGTCCTCCGGTGGCAAACCAGAGATGAACGACTGGCAAAGCTCCTCCCGCACTCGAAGCAGTTGTACGGCTTCTCTCCCGTGTGGCCTCTCTCGTGGTACTGGAGCGACGAGCGGTCGGCGAAATCCTTCCCGCACTCCAGGCACTTGAAGGGCTTCTCTCCGGTGTGGCCTCGGTAGTGGTAGGTGAGGGACGAGCGGCCCGCGAAGCACATCCCACACACCGAGCACTTGTACGGCTTCTCCCCCGTGTGGATTCTCTGGTGATCGTCAAGGTTCGACTTCCGGGAAAAGTACTTCCCGCAGGCCAAGCACTTGAAAGGCTTTTCTCCCGTGTGGACCCGTCGGTGTTCGATGAGAAGGCCCTTGTGAGGGAAACACTTCCCGCACTCGAAGCATTTGAAAAGCTCCTCGTGGACTCTCTGGTGACCGACGAGCTTCGACTGCTGCGCAAAGGACATCCCGCACTCCATGCATTTGTGAGGCTTCTCGGTCATGTGGAGTCTCCGGTGACCGGAAAGGTTCCCTTTCCGAGCGAACGACTTCCCGCACTCCAAGCACTTGTAAGGCTTTTCCCCCGTGTGGATGCGCATGTGCGTCGCCAGGGTGGACTTGAAATCAAAGGACTTCCCGCACTCCAAGCATTTGTGAGGTTTCTCTCCCGTGTGGATTCCTTGATGGCCGACGATGACTGTTTTGATGTCCAAACCTTCCTCGGACTCGGAGGACTGAGAAGCTTTCTCAGCCACGTGGACTCTGTGGTGCGTCAAAAGCTCTGAAAACCCAGGGAAACATTTCCCGCAATCCACACATTTATACGGTCTCCATGTCGAGTGGCATCTCCGATGTTCAAGAAGGACGGACATGTCAGAGAAGCATCTTCCACACTCCGGACACGCGTTTTTCTTCTTCAAGTCTCCTGTTCGGAGAAAACACACCAGCAAAATTTACTCTTCACATCTGGAAGGAAATGCTTGACCTAAGGATTATCAGTATTCAGCTGAAATCCTTGGCACACTGAATTCCCTGAGGCTTCCTTCTCAGCAGTGGTGCTCGTAACTAACTTTCTGTTATGGACTTAATCTAGATCAGGGTTTCCAGATCAAGTCTCCAGCTGTTTTTGGACTCCAATTCCCATCATCCCTGACCACTAGCCCTGCTAGCTAGGAATGATGGGTGTACTAATGTGAGAGGCCTTTTTTCAGATGACAAATAAAAAGGGCACTGTTGAGATTGATTTATTGATTTATTGATTTATTGATTTATTTATTTAAGCAAGCACTGCATCCTGATTTGGTATTTTGTTTCCCTGCCACTCTTTTTTTCAAAATGGCTGGAGGGGGGGAGATTATTGCCATTACAGTGGTGCCTCGGGTTAAGTACCGTATTTTTCGCCCTATAGGACGCACTTTTCCCCCTCCAGAAATGAAGGGGAAATGTTTTGCGCCCAAGGGGCGAATGCAGGCTTCAGGAAGCTATCCGCAAGCCTGCGGAGCCCGGCGGGAACTCCCGCGGGCTCAGAAGGCTTGGGGATAGCTGCCTGCAGCCCGAAGCCCGGGGAGCGCGGCACTGTGCACCCCCGGGCTTAGGGCAGCTATCCGCAAGCCTGCGGTGCCCGGCGGGAGTTGAGCGCAACCTCGCCATCGCTCCCGGACCCGTTCTGGGGGCTGGGGTCGGGGGAAGCTTGGGCTTCCCCCACCCCCAGCCCGGCAAGCTACGGGAGCGATGGCGAGGTTGAGCGCCACCTTGCCTTCGCTCCCGGACCCCCAGCCCCGAGGCTAAAAACGAAGCCAAGACCATCCCACTCGCTGTCATGGCTTCTTTGTTCTTTGGGGCTCGGGGGGGAAATATTTTTTTTTCTTTATCCCCCCCCCCCCAAAAAATAAGTGCGTCCTATGGGCCAGTGCGCCCTATAGGGTGAAAAATATGGTACTTAATTCGTTCCAGAGGTCCGTATTTAACATGAAATTGTTCTTAACCTGAAGCACCACTTTAGCTAATGGAGCCTCCTGCTACCGCCGCGCCGCCAGAGCACGATTTCTGTTCTTATCCTGAAACAAAGTTCTTAACCTGAAGCACTATTTCTGGGTTAGCGGAGTCTGTAACCTGAAGCGTCTGTAACCCGAGGTACCACTGTATAGCAGATCTCAGAGCAGAGGTGTTTATGCAGGCAGGGTCCCACTCCTGCCACTCACTTGGATGCTGTCTCACCTGAGGTTGCCTTGAGTGACTCTTCGCCCAGGCGCCGAAGATTAGCCACCCACGGCTCTTTCCCTCGCTCCAGCTGGCAAATCAGGGCTGGCTTGGGGTCTTCAGATCCACCTTGGGAAATCAGAAGAAGGTAAAAAAATCAAGAGGGATTTGCCTGAACTCCCATACCTATCTCCGTTTTTAAATTTCATTCATTTGCTATGTTCACGCAGGTCAGGGGTGGGGACCTGACATTCCCAGGGCCACATGCCTCTGGTGGGCGTGGCCAGAGGTAAAAGTGGGCGGAGCAATTGATGGAAATTTCACTTTCGCACAATAGGCTAGTTGCGGCAGCTAGACTGCTGACTGGGAGCGGCCGCCGAGCCCACATAACACCGGTCTTGAAAGACCTACACTGGCTCCCAGTACATTTCCGAGGACAATTCAAAGTGTTGGTGCTGACATTTAAAGCCCTAAACGGCCTCGGTCCAGTATACATGAAGGAGCGCTTCCACCGCCATTGTTCTGCCCGGAGACTGGGGTCCAGCTCTGAGGGCCTTCTGGTGGTTCCCTCCCTGTGAGAAGCCAAGTTACAGGGAACCAGGCAGAGGGCCTTCTCAGTAGTGGCACCCACCCTGTGGAACGCCCTCCCACCAGATGTCAAAGAGAAAAACAACTACCAGACTTTTAGAACACATCTGAAGGCAGCCCTGTTTAGGGAAGCTTTTAATGTTTAATAGATTATTGTATTTTAATATTCTGTTGAAAGCCTCCCAGAGTGGCTGGGGAAACCCAGCCAGATGGGCAGGGTATAAATAAATAAATAAATATAATAATAATAATTTCTACACACAATTGTTATTCAGAGGCATTTACTGGCTCTGAAAGTGGAAGTGGGACACGGCCATCATTGTTTTCAACTATTAAAAAACAATTACGCCAAACTCCTTCTCTTAAATAAGAGGGGAAGGGGGAAGGCACTGATCAATATAAGTATCTATTTTACTTGCAAAAATTTCTCTTGCCCCAACGTTAAACACATATCATGGGATGAACAGTGTAAAGTCAACAACTGCACTCATAATAAAAGTACAAAACGCATCGCAGAATAATAGATCCGCTTGATGCATCAAACATAGCTGGATCCCTCCACAGGGAAAGTGTGGGTGAACAGGTGAGTTTTAAGCAGACACCTGGATTCCAGTGCTGCAAATGACTTCCAGCTGTCCATTTGGGAACGCATTCTAATTGGCCAGGTTAACTAGATCCAGAAGAGGCAGGAGGATTGGAAACCTTCTGCAGAATATTTAAAGCATCATTGTAAACATGTAAAAACACAGGTAGGATCTGAATGAAGAACTGCAGTAAAATGAGTATTTGGGAACAAGTGGAAAGCATAAGATACAGAATAGCTATAATATGCAGCGATATTAGAAAAGATAGGGAAACCCCCGAGGGGTGGAGGGGAAGTCAAACGGCAAGTGGAAATCAATTAGAAAGCATTATATTTGTAAACCTTCAAAACATACAAATAAGAATTGAAAAGGGTGGGGTCTGCATTCCAAGGGACAGAGGCCGCCACACTAAAAGCCCTGGACGTAGCAGACACAAGGCAAAGCAAACTTCTGCTCAATATGACATCAACCAAGTCTTCTGGCCGAAATGGGAAAGGAGGCTGCTTACCCAGCGAGGCGACGTTCCCATAATTCTCCAGCATGACCTCCTTGTACAAGGACCTTTGGGCTGGATCCAGCAAAGCAGCCTGGCCCTCCGTGAAATATACGGCCACATCTTCGAAGGTCACCGGCTCCTGCAAGGACAAAGAGAACTCAGCCAGGTAGCCAAGCCCCAGAATCCCTGTAAGTGGCAAATGCAGAAGAAAATCCTACGGGTATCAGAGAGGACCCGCAAGTGGGTTAAACCCCTGTTCGTAGAACTATAAAAAAGGTACCATTAGGTCCAGTCGTGACTAAGCCGCTTCTGGCGAACCAGAGCAGCGCACGGAAACGCCATTTACCTTCCCGCCGGAGCGGTACCTATTTATCTACTTGCACTTTGACGTGCTTTCAAACTGCTAGGTTGGCAGAAGCTGGGACCGAGCAACGGGAGCTCACCCCGTCGCAGGGATTCGAACCTCCAACCTTCTGATTAGCAAGTCCTAGGCTCTGTGGCTTAACCCACAGCGCCTAAAAAATCTATAATTCACTGTAAAACACAGGAAAATCGATGAGTGACACTGGAATCAATTGCACAACAGTCTCCAGCTCGCAAATCGGTAATAAAACTTTTTTTGTTCCATTTTACCGTATGTCTGTTTCAGCAGGGATATCGTAAAAGCCAAATTTGTAAGGTCGCAAATTTAAGCCATGCTTTAACTTTTCGCAGTCGGAATGTTTTTTTTTTGGGGGGGTGGCTTATATTGGGGCCAATAAAAGTACCTGATTTGCACTTCACACCCATCCTTTGAAGTTCACATTTCCCTGAATCTTGCATTGTAGTTCTCCAAGTAAACGGTAAGTACAAAAATGCATATATTGGAAGAAATTGTGCATAAAAATGCAGCTATTATTATTATTATTATTATTATTATTATTATTTACAACCACCACCTGCCATTCACCAGCAGGTCCCAGGGCGGGTTATGACAATTTAAGATCCAGAATGTGAAACAGCTAAAACAGATTGCGGTCATGGAAATAGACTGGGCTCCGTAGTCGCAAGGCTATTGATTGCGAAAAATTGGAAAAGTAATATTGTACCTACAAAAATAGAGTGGCTTGCCAAATTACCATATTTTTCGCTCTATATGACGCACCAGACCACAAGACGCACCTAGTTTTGGAGGAGGAAAACAAGAAAAAAAATAAATTCTGAATCTCAGAAGCCAGAACAGCAAGAGGGATCTCTGTGCAGTGAAAGCAGCAATCCCTCTTGCTGTTCTGGCTTCTGGGATAGCTGCGCAGCCTGCATTCGCTCCATAAGACGCACACACATTTCCCCTTACTTTTTAGGAGGGAAAAAGTGAGTCTTATAGAGCAAAAAATACGGTATTGGAGTACTACAATATATCCAAAACAATGGGAGAAATTGGAAGGATCTCAAAAGAGAAGATAGATAGGGACTGGAAGGTGTTTGAAAGATACTTGCAAAATCATATCGAAAAATCAGAACTCCTATTAGACTAAACAAGTTCTGTTTCAAATACCGAAATACTAAATAAGATGGATAACAATGTGTAATAGAGAAAGAAGTATGAAATTAGGTTAAAAGTGTGTGAAAGAAAGTAATAGAAGTGGAAAGAAATTGTAATTGAGTAGATTGGAAGTCTAACACAAGGGTGGGGTGAGGGGTGGTGGATGGTGATGGGAAAAGGAATTATCTGTGGGATTGAGTGTAGGCATGTTTGAACACTTTTAAGAATTGTATGAAATGTATGTTTGTATGCTTGTATATTTGTAACGTATGTGTATTACTCCTGAATTATTTTAACAACAATAATAATAAATTAATAATAATAATAATAAAAAAAGGAAATACAGTGGGCTCCAAAAACACCTCAGGTGTCTAAGGCCGGGGTAAAGAGGTGCATCTTCAGCATCCACCAAAATCTGAATACCGAGGTGTCGGACGCACCTCTGTGGGGAGGGAGCCCCACTATTTAGGAGCTGCCACAGAACATTGCCTCTCCTGGGACGCTGCCACTCTCAACTTCTCAGCAAGATGGAAGAACCAAGAAGAGGCAGGAATGCCTCTGGATACCAGTGCTGGAAATTCCATTGATTCCAGAACAAAATCTTGCGTGCACAGAGGCATATTATGATAGACATCTCTTACCTGAACTGGATCTGTTTCGTTCATTTTCTTTCCAGTGGAAGGAGAGGATAATCCAGTTTGAGTCTGGTCTATGGTTCTGTACCCTGTGGGCTGAAGAAAAGCAATGAATTTCGGAGCAATGCTTTCTCCCAACATCATATATATGGATTGATAAAGATTTCTTACACGGTGGGTTACAACAATGTAATACAGAGTTATTCAAACAAACATAACCGTGGAGTTGGAAGGGATCATCCAGTCCAATCCAACCCTCTGCAACGCAGGAATCTCAGCGAAAGCTTCCCTGATGGATGGATAGCCACCCAAACTCTCCTTTAAAACCTCCAATGAAAGCCAGTCCACCACCTTCCGAGGAAGTCCATTCAAATGCTCTTACCGCCAGAAAAGCTCTTCCTAATGTTTAATCGTAATCTCCTTTCTTGTTTTTTTGAACCCACTGGCTCCACCCTCTAGAGCAGCAGGAAACACGCTTGCTCCATGTTCCTTGCGACAGCCCTTCAGATGGCTATCGCATCACCCCACAGTCTTGTCTTCTCCAGGCATACCCAACTCCTTCAACCATTCCTCATAAGGCTTGGTTTCCAGACCCCTTGATCATCTTGGTTGCCCTCCTCTGCACATGTTCCAGCTTGTCAACGTCCTTCGTAAATGTTGCTGCCCTGAACTGGACACGGTATTCCAGGTGTGGTCTGACTAAGGCAGAATAGAGCGGGCCTATGACTTCCCTTGACGCAGGTGGCGCTGTGGTCTAAACCACTGAGCCTCTTGGGCTTGCCCATCAGAAGGTCAGCGGTTCGAATCCCCGCGACGGGTTGAGCTCCCGTTGTTTGGTCCCAGCTCCTGCCAACCTAGCAGTTTGAAAGCAGGCCAGTGCAAGCAGATAAACAGGTACCACTTCGGCGGGAAGGTAAACGGCGTTTCCGTGCGCTGCTCTGGTCTCGCCAGAAGCGGCTTAGTCATGCTGGCCACATGACCTGGAAGCTGTCTGCAGACAAACGCCGGCTCCCTCGGCCTATAGAGTGAGATGAGTGCACAACCCCAGAGTCGTCCGCAACTGGACTTAACGGTCAGGGGTCCCTTTACCTTTACCTTTTATGACTTCCCTTGATCTGGACACTAGACTTCTGTTGATGCAGTCTAGAACAGCAATAGCTTTCTTCACTGCTGCATCACACTGTTGACTCATGCTAAGTTTGTGTTCCACCTTTTCACATGTACTACTGGCAAGCCAGGCGTCGGCGTCCCCCATCCTATATTTGTGCATCTGGTTCCTCCTGCCTAAGTGCAGGGCCTTACATTTGTCCCTATTGAAAGAAGACGGCTACAATTATTTTTAAAAGCAAACCAATCTCTAGAATAAAGCCATTCCAACCAAACAGAAGTGTAGAGCTTCAGAAACAGAGGTCGGTCCCACAAAACAAAGTTCCTTAACTGTCCAACCGTCTCCAGTAACAAAACAAAACAAAAGCTGGTTCAGGCCGTCTGGAGTGAATGGGTGGTTTTCAACGCTAGTGGATTGTGCAACATGTTCCTTACACAGTAACAGCACATTAACGGTGGATTTGTTCTGCTTTTGTTTGCTCGGCAACGTTTTCCCAATGCTGCCCCATGACTGATGCCTGGAGGGGGGGCTGCAACTCCACAAAAACGGGAGCGGGAACATTTGTGGTGTGAAAAGGGACAGCATTTCAGCAGGAAGCTACGGAATATGCATCAACTGCAAAATGGAGCAGCGCAACCACCTCCAAACAATTGCAAGTGTATGCAGTTTTGGGAGTGGGGTTGTGTGTGGCCTTGCCCAGAGCATCAGGAGGAAAATCACCACAAATGCACGAGCAAAAGGGTGTCTTGCAAGGGGCCTCATATGCCAAAATAACTTGCGGAGCTTTGGATGCTATTCACTGCGACTTGGCTGAGGGGTTACCAATTGCCTCCCCCCCACTCAAGCAGATAATTATGCTTTATATATATGAAGCAAAATATAAAGACTCCCCATTATATTATTTACCAGATCTCAGTGAATAAAGCTATTTCTCTCCAGGTAAGAAAAATCAAATTAAAAAAAGAAAGAAAAAAGCAGATTTGGGCTAGAGTCTGTGAGCTAATATGGTTTTCTTTTCTTACAAAGGCAACAAACGAAACAACAAACTAAAATGCATAATGAAGAATAAACATAAAGGGAAGAGGAATAACAAGTTTAAAAAGCTGAAGAAATAATGTACAGTGGTACCTCGGGTTAAGTACTTAATTCGTTCCGGAGGTCCGTTCTTAACCTGAAACTGTTCTTAACCTGAAGCACCACTTTAGCTAATGGGGCCTCCCGCTGTCGCCACGCCACAATTTCTGTTCTCATCCTGAAGCAAAGTTCTTAACCTGAAGCACTATTTCTGGGTTAGCGGAGTCTGTAACCTGAAGCGTATGTAACCCGAGGTACCACTGTATAGCATAAAATATATTTCATGGCAGGGTACAAAGTTCAAATTTATTGCAAAATATATCAGGAATTCATAAAACGTCACCAGATAAAATCACATGTGCCAGCCATGAGATTGGTTGGTCCTATAAATCACAAACAGCCCCCCAACCTGAGGCAAAATATGAGGGTCCCCATTACTATTATTATGATTTATTAAATTTCTATACTGCCCTTCATCCAAGGATCGCAGGGTGGTTTATAATATAAAAACACAAAAAGGCGCTCCATAATAACAAGCAAAAACAATATGTGCTGCAATTGCCTTTGACAGCACATATCTTATAGGATCAGTTTTTCAGAAACGGCAATGGGCACAGCTTTTTAAAACCACATGCTGAAAGAGTAGCAAGATGCAGCCTTCCATTCTTGAGAGATCACTAAACAAGCGGCAGGTATCAAATTAATTAATTAATGCTGTGATTCCTGCATTGCAGGGGGTTGGGCTAGATGACCCTCAGGGACCTCCTGCCCAACCCTAACATACCAATTCTAACTGCTGACAAATAAGTTCAGCCTTAGCACCCTCAAAGATGGATAAAAGGCGTAACTGAGCATCCCAAGTGACCCGTTTGCCAGTAACAACGGGGTTTCCTTACCCACGGTGAAATACTGTGGTACAGTGTCTCTGACGGCAAGCGGCTTGCCTGCCCATACAATCACAGAATTGTACAGTGGGAAGGGACACTGAGGGTCATCTAGTCCAACCCGCTGCAATGCAGGAATCTCAGCTAAAACATACGTGACAGATGACCATAAAGTAAAAAATAAAATAAAAATCAGCACTTGATCGTAGCTTTGCTTTAAGGATCTCTCCCCGCTTCCTTCTACCTTGTTATCATGGATGCTTTAGCTGTGATTCCTGCATTGCAGTGGGTTGGACTAGATGACCCTCGGGGTCCCTTCCGACTCTACAGTTCTGTGATTCTGTGACAGGGTCCCCGTCTTCTTTTACGCTGATGTATATCCAGTCAAGTTTCGAATCCCCCCCGACGGGGTGAGCTCCCGTTGCTCGGTCCCAGCTCCTGCCAACCTAGCAGTTCGAAAGCACATCAAAGTGCAAGTAGATAAATAGGTACTGCTCCGGTGGGAAGGTAAACGGCGTTTCCGTGCGCTGCTCTGGTTCGCCAGAAGCGGCTTAGTCATGCCGGCCGCATGACCCGGAAAAACTGTCTGCGGCCAAACGCCAGCTCCCTCGGCCTGTAAAGCGAGATGAGCGCCGCAACCCCAGAGTCGTCCGCGACTGGACTTAATGGTCAGGGGTCCTTTACCTTTATATCCAGTCAGACCATGGGTCCACTGAGCTTCAGTGTTGCCTGCTCAGGCTGGCAGAAGCATTTCAGGGGGTTTCAGGCAAGTGTCTCTCCAGCTTTACCCAGACAGGCCAGAGATTGGACCTTGCACCTTCTGCATGCAGAGCAGCTTCCAAGGCCCTCCTGCTCCCCCAAGCAAGGTGGAGGCTCGTTATATTATTATTATTATTATTATTATTATTATTCTACTGCATGTAATTTAAGGCAGGCTCCTGCAAGGGTGAGCGCACCCCTCTCCCCCATTTATTCCAGGCACTTACAGCAGGACAAGCTCCCTCTCTCTCAACCCCCAACCTACCCCAGATCTGCCCCCCACCGCTTCCCAGCACTCACAGGCTGTGCAGGATTCAAGCAGGCAAGATCCAGAGCCTACTTCTCCAATGCACTCAAAGGAAGCCCCTGCAAGCAAGGAGGGTCCTTACAGTCCCGGGGTGTGGGGCTGCAGGGCCCCGATTTCCCAACAAAGCTGCTTCCCCTCCAGGAAGACATCGCCCCCCCCCCACCCCGCCAGTGACCTCACCGCAGCAGGATCCCTTCCCCTCCTTTGAAAATGGGGATTGAGAAAAAGGCATTGTGTGCAAGGAATGCTGGGACTTGTAGTGCTTCTCCCGCTACCACCCTTTCCTGACCCAAAGCTTTATGGGATTTGTAGTCTTTCCTGATGTATGGAAGTGAGAGCTGGACTATAAAGAAGGCTGATCTCCGAAGAATTGATGCTTTTGAATTGTGGTGCTGGAGGAGACTCTTGAGAGTCCCATGGACTGCAAGAAGATCAAACCTCTCCATTCTGAAGGAAATCAGCCCTGAGTGCTCACTGGAAGGACAGATCCTGAAGCTGAGGCTCCAATACTTTGGCCACCTCATGAGAAGAGAAGACTCCTGGAAAAGACCCTGATGTTGGGAAAGATGGAGGGCACAAGGAGAAGGGGACGACAGAGGACGAGATGGTGGGACAGTGTTCTTGAAGCTACCAGCATGAGTTTGACCAAACTGCGGGAGGCAGTGGAAGACAGGAGTGCCTGGCGTGCTCTGGTCCAGGGGGCCACGAAGAGTCAGACACGACTAAATAACAACAACAAAGTCTTTCCTGGCTTTCGGGGGGGGGGGGGGATTTGGAAAGAGGCTTATCTGCATTCCCTTTCAGAGCATGAACTGTCCAGGCGGTGCTTTGCTGTGGTTTCTTGTGCAAAATGCATTTTGGGGTGGATTTCTTTTGTTAATTTTAGCAATATTTCCGTACCGCTTTGGTCATGCATATTTTTCTTTTTTGTCAGTTTTCAAATTGCAAATAATAATAATAATAATAATAATAAAATTCTTACTGCATATGAAATTCCCTTCCTTGCAAAAGATGACTGTGACAAACAGAAGCAGGCAGCAATAATAGATATTTCAAGATAGGACGCTCACCTAGCTTCAGAGGATGACTGTGTCCTTCCACAAAAATATGCGCAACAGCACCGTCCAATATGATGGCTCATCTTCAGCCTTTTCCCCATCGCCAAGGGCCTTCTGGCAGTTCCCTCACAGCAAGAAGTGAAGTTACAGGGAACCAGGCAGAGGGCCTTCTTGGTGATGGCACCTGCCCCGTGGAACGCCCTCTCATCAGATGTCAAGGAAATAAATAACTTTTCAACTTTTAGAAGACATCTGAAGACAGCCCTGTGGCAGTGAGCTTTCAGTGTTTTTATATGTGCTGGAAGCCGCTCAGAGTGGCTGGGGAAACCCAGCCAGATGGGTGGGTGTAATAATAATAATAATTCTAAAGTTCCCAGGTTCAATCCCAGACACCTCCAGGTAGGGCTCATAAAAGGCTAAATCATTCTCAGGGTCCCTTCCAACTCTACAGTCCTTTTTTAATACACATAATAAATTTTTATTAGTTTTCAATTATAGTCCAATAATAGCCTCATTGTAACAATACCAATTTATAATGCAGTTATTAATACCAATCATTCAAACACCACATCCTATAAATGATGGTTTGATGAGTTTATTTATTTCTACGTTCCAAAATCTTATTAGTTTCCATTACATTCCAATCATAATAATAATCCCTTATAGAACAACTGCAGTATTAATAATTTCTATTTGTGTTGACACATTAAATGATTTATAAAACTGCAAGTGAGGAACTCAAACTATATCCTTGTTCTTCCTGTGTGTGGCAATTATTCTGTCCATGGTGTTTCTTGCTGTCCTAGTAAGATGTTACGTCTTTCTTTCCCCCGATTGTTGCTGTTATATGTCATGCCTCAGGCGGAGCTGATATCCTATTGTTCCAGAAATTTCTCCATTGCTTTGTATCCAAGAACTTTAACAACAGCTGCAAAAGTCACTCTGTCCCAGTAAATAAACTGTTGTCACCATTTTCCCTCTTAGCCTGGGAAGAAGAGCGGTCTGTCAAACTGCAGATGACTCAGTAAAGAACCTTATCAGTACTTGGCAGCTCATAGACTCCTTTCATCCTTCCTTCCAGCTGAAGATATATGAGCAATTATACTGTCAATTAAATTAAATTAAATTCCATCAAGCTATTTTCACCCAGAAGCATTGTGTCTGCCCATGGCGGGGTGTGTGTGTGTGTGTGTGTGAGAGAGAGAGAGAGAGAGAGAGATGAGAAGTAGTAGTTTTGAACAAGGGTCCCTGGTTGAAACAGGCATTCTTTAAGAGTTGTTATTTTTACTTCAAGTACTTTAAAACACACACCACAGGTGGCCTCTTCGAAGAGGCATCCCTCCTCCTGACAGACAAAGCCCACATTCACACTAGACATTTAAAGCCCTACGATACCAATTTAAACAGCCATGGCTTCCCTCAAAGAATTATGGGAACTGTCCTTTGTTCAGGGTGCTGAAGGCTGTCAGAAGACCCTTATTCTCCTCAACAAAGCTACAGTTCCTTGATTCCCTGTGACGAGGAATTGATTGTTAAAGTACTCTGGGAATTCCTGTGAGGGGAATTGGGGGTCTCCTAACAAGTCTCAGTCCCCTCAGCAAACTCAGGTTCCCATAACTCATTGGTGGAAGCTCTGACTGTTTAAAGTGGTACTTAGAGTTGCCATCTATCAAAAAGTAAAAACCATGACACCCCGAAAGTTGAACTTTTCCAATTTACTTGCTGAATATTCAGGAGAAACCGCCACCTCCCCACCCCCCAATGTCACTTCCGCCTTTGAAATCCCGGTAATATCCAGGAAAATCTGGACATATGGCATCCCTTAGGTACCATAGTGTTTTGAATGTATAGTGCGGATGGGGCCAGAGATCTTAGACGCTAAGCCATCATTAACACAAACCAAGGTTTGTAAGCCAGCAACCAACCACGGCTTATAAGCATGGTTTGTGGTTAAATGTATGTTCAGACATTCAAATAAACCATGGTTTAGTTTTCATCAGAAGCAGGCCATTGAGGGCTATTCCTCTCACAAAACTATACGTAATTCTCAATAGTTCCCGGGAAGAGGGATTGACTGTTAAACCATATGTATAGATGGTGGATGTTGTTATATGGAAAAGAATCAGAGAGAGAGAGAACAAGTCCTTTCCCGCCTTCAGAATGTTTCTTTAATTTATATCAAAATGCATACACATTTAATTGATCAGTCCTGCAATGAATCTACTCTGATTTATTTGAAGTGGACAAAAAGTTCACTTTCTATTCAGTCAAGTTCCCAGCAGCTGGCGAAATGGCAGATGGCAGCACATTCGGAGCGCAATTTGTTGTGACCAATGTAACGCTGTTTGGGGGCAGAAACACTTTTTTAATTAAAAGATTATTAATTATTATTAATGTTAATTTATATTTATATTAAATCATTTCAGCATATTACATTATACAGATAAAAATATGAAATGTCCCACCCTAACCCAGATGGCAATACATACACAACCAGTGCTTTTTTTTCTTTAAAAAATTGTTTAGGGGGTACTCTCAGTTTGGCTCAAGAAAATCACCATTTTATAGTTCAAATCTGGAAAAGTAAATACAGTAAATGGACAAAATTAAAAAGATTCACAAAATGTTTAAGGATATGCATACCCTTGTGTACCCGCAGGAAAAATGTACGTAACTGCGGCCTCATAACATTAAGTTCTTATCGCAAATAACTATTTGTGCAGAAGGCAACAGTTTAACCAAAATGTCTTATAACATGTGGGGAGTTCTATGTTTTTGTTTATAGCCACACGCGTTATAACAATAATTTATTACTTGGCCTTCACCGTAAGGTTCCAGGGTGGGTCACAACAATTTAAAATACAATTAATTCACAAGACCCTTAACAATTGGGGTCCAGGATACCTCAAAGACCATCTGCTCCCTTATATCCCTTCTGGGAATTATAGGGACAGAACTATTTAATTTGTACTTATGGAATATGCAGAAATGGCAAAACTTACTGGAAGAATAAGAAATCAAGATAACAAACTTTTTATAAAAGAATGGAATTTTTACGGATAAATTGCAAACAGATAAAAACATTGTAATAACCTGCAGTTTTAGAATATATATTTAAAGTAGATGAATAAATGAGCAAATTAAATGAATTTGGATATGCAGAAGATATTAAAAAATAAATTTAAGGAACCACAGAAAGAGGAGGAAGGAAGTCAAGTTTTGACATGTTAAAATGATTGTAAAATTAATGTAATGTATAAACCTGAAAAATATATCTATTTCATTTTAAAAAAAATTTTTTTTAAATGCTGCGCCATATCCATATCCATATGCAATGGCAGGATTCAGCCCCGCTTCTTAGCTAAATGACACAGCCGAGTCTCTCAGAGGCAGAAGTTGAATTACCATAAACAACAATTCCAACCAGCACTTCCTCTCTGCCAGCCAATCCCCGCCTCAGCCTCCCAATCTCAGCCAATCAGGCCCCTCAATTGCAAACGGGCGCCGCCCCCGGCGGCCCAAAGCGTTGCTGGGAGTTGTGGTTTTCCTTTTCCCCGGCAACCTTTCCAGGCTGCGCAAGGGTTGCTGGGATCCGTAGTCTTTGCCTTCGTCTTGCTCGCGGAGTCTGCGTTTCCTAGAGAGGCTCTACGGAGCGAAGAGCAGGCGGAGGAAGGTGCGTCACTTCCGGGCCTCCCAAGCCTACCGTGGGAAAGTGGCCCTCGCCTTTCCCACGGGTGCAGGATGAACGACTCCAGCGGAGCTGGTGAGTTGAGGGTGGGTTATATATATATATATAGTGGAAGTAGAATGAATGAATGTGTTATGTACTGAAGTTCACTCACAACTTAACAGAATGAATGAATGAGAGTCCTCTTGGCCAGTAGCCATTGAAAACCCTCCTTGAATTTGCCTAACACGTTTAAAGCCAGCCAAGATGGCAGCCCACCCCAATATTTTGTGGTAGCAAGATGGGAAGGTGCAAGAGCAGGGCACCCTTCTGAGGTCGGATCTCCCTTCTCCAGGTAGCACCAGACCCAGGGTGGCTGGGAGATGGTTGTCACAGACTCAGGGATGATGGGAGTTATAGCTCAATTGGTAGAGCATGAGCCTCTTAACCTGCGGGTTGTAAGTTCAAGCCGACATTGTACAAAAGATCCCTGTATTTCAAAGGGTTAGACTAGATGGCCCTCATGGTCCCTTCCAACTCTACAATTCTGTGACATCTGGAGAGCCAAGGGTTTCCATGCCTTTTGCTTAAAATGTTTCTGTGTCTTGAATGAATGAATTTGTGCCCTATTTTGAAGGTCCTGTTACTTCCTTGCTCTCTTAAAATGTCACTATCTATATGTATATTTGCCAGCAGATGCCGTTTGGGAGAACGAGGAGCAGAAGGACAGAACATCCAGGATGTCACAAGAAAGGATCACGACCATGGAGGTGGAAATGAAGATTGGGAACCCAGATGAACTACATAGACGGGATGAAACCCTACCAGAGGACGGCAGGAAAGAATCCTCCGCTTTTCAAGGTGGAGATCTCCCAGATGTTCAGGAGATGATAGACACTGAAGAGGACAGGAATAAATGTATTACATGTGGGAAGGTATTCAGAGATGACTCAAACCTTAAGCGACATCAGAGAACCCACACAGGAGAAAAACCCTATCAGTGTTTGTACTGCGGGAAGAGTTTTAGCCGGAACACGAACCTTGCTTCACATCACAGAACCCACACAGGGGAGAAACCGTATATGTGTTCCGTTTGTAGCAAGACTTTTTGTGACAAATCGAGCCTTAACCGACATCAGAGAACCCATACAGGGGAGAGACCGTATGAGTGTGACGAGTGTGGGAAGAGCTTTGATCTGAGCCAGTCTCTCATTAGCCACCAGAGAACCCACACGGGAGAGAGGCCCTATAGGTGCTCGGAATGTGGGAAGACTTTCAACCGGAGTCAGAACCTGCGTAGCCACAAGAGAATCCACACGGGAGAGAAACAGCACAAGTGCTTGGAATGCGGGAAAAGTTTCAGCCGCAGCCAGAACCTTACGAGGCATCAGAGCAGCCACACAGAGGATAAACTGTATAAGTGCCATGAGTGTGGGAAAAGCTTCCGTCTCAGCCAGTCCCTTATAAGTCACCAGAGAATTCACACGGGAGAGAAACCATATACGTGCTCCCAGTGTGGGAAAAGCTTCAACCGGAGCCAGAACCTTATCAGCCATCAGAGAATCCACACTGGAGAAAAACAGTACAAGTGTTCAGAATGTGGGAAAAGCTTCAACTGGAGCCAAGATCTCCTCCGTCATCAGAGAATCCACACAGGAGAGCAACCCTATCGCTGCACGGAATGTGGGGAACGCTTCAATCGGCGGGAGAATCTTATCAGACACATGAGAATACATCTGGGAGACACCACTTAAGTTGTAGTGAGTGGCAGGGGGAGGGGAGTGAACAGAAGCCACTTCCTTATCATTCATCTGGCAATCCACTTTTATTTTTAAAAGCATGCCATTAGAGAGATCTATGGTGTGACCACATTTCGAATAGTGTGTACAGTTCTAGTTGTCTCACCTCAAAAAGGATAGTGTGGAGTTGGGAAAATTTCCGAAAAGAGCAACCCAAATGATCAAGGGAATGGATTGACTTCTCCGCCCTGTGTCAGAATTTGGATTGTAAGCTCCTGGAGGACAGAGACCTATCTTCTTAATATTACTATGTAACGAAACATGCACAACAACATTTCTATTCAAATAATTTAAAAAGTTTACGTCCCCTAGAAAAGATGTGTTCCATCGTAAGGCAGAACATAACATTCACAACAGCGTGTTTAAGTGTGTGACAAGAAGTGGTTTTAAACATGCCTTGTTTTCTTGTTGGATAGTTTTTGCTTCACTTAATATTTATTAAACTGATATCCCCCCTTTATTTCTGAATGAGTCTATATGCAGTGCATTGCTAGCAACAGGAGATTTACTCAGGAAATTCTCCTATTCAGACACTGAGGTCCAGCTCCGAGGGCCTTCTGGCAGTTCCCTCCCCGCGAGAAGTGAGGTTACAGGGAACCAGGCAGAGGGCCTTCTCGGTGGTGGCTCCCGCCTTGTGGAAAGCTCTCCCATCAGATGTTAGAGAGATAAACAACTATCTCACTTTTGGAAGACATCTGAAGACAGCCCTGTTTAGGGAAGTTCTTAATGTTTGATGTTTTATTGTGTTTTTAATATTCTGTTGGGAGCCTCCCAGAGTGGCTGGGGAAACCCAGCCTGATGAATGGGGTATAAATAATAAATTATTGTTATTATTATTAAATCCCATTGTGCTTGCTTCTACACCTGTCTTTGCCAATCTGGTGGCATCCAGATGTTTCAGACTACAACTCCCATCAGCCCCAGGCAGCAGGTGAATCTGCCTGCTTCTTTATATGCCTGAACTCGTAAATTGCACTGTGCATTTAAAAACCACTCCTCTTCTCCTTCTCTTCTTCTTCTTCTCTGGAACGGATGCCATTCCGTAACACGAGGTTCCACTGTATGTTGCTTTGGGTTTCCTTGAGCAACATAAATTTAATTAATAACAACAACAGTAACTACAACCGTAGAGAGGCAGTGTGGCATAATGGTTAGAGTGACCAGGGTTCAAATCCTGCTCACTGGGCGACCTTGGGCCAGTCACTGCCTCTTGGCTTAACCTACTTCACAGGGTCGTTGTGAGGATGAATTGGGGGAGGGGGAGAGAGAAGCATGTACACTCCCTTAAGCGCCTTGGAAGAAAAATGTGGTCTATGAAGGTAATAATTAAATAACAGTTTTGACCTCCTCACGGCATTACAATTCCCAGCACCCTTAACAAACCACTGCTGCCAGGATTATTTGGGGGGTGGGGGTAGGGGACAACACTCTGTAAATGCCTAGCATGCAACTGAGTTATTGTTAGAAGGAAGTTTTTAAAATGAGAGGTGATAAATACAGGGTGCCATGGCCCCTATGGACTCTTTCACTGGTGTCCCTGGGCAGGTCACTCAGACCCTCCAAGTGCCCCTATTTTCCAGAAACAGTCCCAGATTTATAAAAGCCGTCCCAGTTGCTTATTTGATCCCGGAATGTCCTTCTTTTCAGTAGGACATCCCTATTTTCATCGGAGAAATGTTGGAGGGTATAGAGTCATGCAACTCGCAAGCCAAGAAGATAAGTACCTAACTATACAACCTTTAGAACTTGGGTAGGCAAACTAAGGCCTGGGGACTGGATCCGGCCCAATCGCCGCCTAAATCTGGCCCGCAGACATTCCGGGAATCGGCGTGTTTTTACATGAGTAGAATGTGTGCTTTTATTTAAAACGCATCTCTGGGTTATTTGTGGGGCATAGGAATTCGTTCATTTCCTCCCCAAAAATATAGTCTGGCCCCCCACAAGGTCTGAGGGACAGTGGACCGGCCCCCTGCTGAAAAAGTTTGCTGACCCCTGCTTTAGAAGATATCTGAAGGCAGCCCTGTATAGGGAAGGGTTTTTTAGAGCCAGTGTGGTGTAGTGGTTAAGAGCGGTAGTATCGTAATCTGGTGAACCGGGCTCGCGTCTCTGCTCCTCCACCTGCAGCTTGGGCCAGTCACACTTCTTTGAAGTCTCTCAGCCCCACTCACCTCACAGAGTGTTTGTTGTGGGGGAGGAAGGGAAGGAGAATGTTAGCCGCTTTGAGACTCCTTAAAGGGAGTGAAAGGCGGGATATCAAATCCAAACTCTTCCTCTTCTTCTTAATGCTTAATGTTTTATTATGTTTTATATATGTTGGAACCCAGTGAGATGGGTGGGATATAAATATGATGATGATGATGATGATTGAATAGGATGTCCCTATTGTCATTGGAGAAATGTTGGAGGGTATGTTAAGCATGTAGCTCTCCTAGAAAGAAAATTATGGGGGGAAATTTGCAGGCACCTGAGGGATAGCTCAGTAGATCAGAGCTTTCCAAACTTTTCATGCTGGCGACATACTTTTTTTTTTTTTTTAAAAAATAATATTTATTCCAAATTTAAAATCACAGAAAAAAAGAAAAGCCATACAGAGTACAAAGAAAACTTTGACCATAACAGAGCAAAAAATAAACAAGTAAAAAGAACAATAAGATAGAATAAAAAAGAAAACTTAACAAAAAAAAAAATGTATTAAGTTAAAAATAAAACAAAAGCAGGTTAAACCTTTACATATCCTTTTCCCTTTACTTATTTCCATTGACCTCCTCTCACCTCCCAATTTTGTATTCTAGTTCAAATCGTATTTCCAGCAAATCCCTCTAATCTTATTTTCATTTACGTATTTTAAAATTAAAGTGATATAATTAAACCTCCTCTATTTCATCAAATTCATCAACTCATCTTTACTTATTCCATTATATCGTATCTACCGAAACGACCTAATATTCTTTTTCCAACCTCCTTCTAACATTCTTTTATATTGCTATACTTTTGAAGATATATTTTGAATTTTTTCCAATCTTCTTCCATCGACCCTTCTCCCTAGTCTCGAATTCTGCCGGTCATCTCAGCCAGCTCCATGTAATCCATCACTTTCATCTGCCATTCTTCTCGGGTAGGCAATTATTGTGTCTTCCAGTACTTCCCGATGAGTATTCTTGCTGCTGTTGTAGCATACATAAAAAAGTTCTATCCTCCCTTCGCACCAATTGGCCGACCATGCCCAGAAGAAAGGCCTCTGGTTTCTTCAGAAAGGTATATTTAAATACCTTTTTCAGTTCATTATATATCATTTCCCAGAAAGCCTTAATCCTTGGGCATGTCCACCAAAGGTGAAAAAATGCACCCTCCGTCTCTTTACATTTCCAACATTTACTATCTGGCGAATGCTAGCTTGACTGGGGTTAAGTACCACCTGTAAATAATTTTCATTATATTTTCTCTTAAGGCATTACAAGCCGTAAATTTCATACCTGTGGTCCATAACTGTTCCCAGTCAGCAAACATAATATTATGTCCAAAATCTTGTGCCCATTTAATCATAACAGATTTAACCGTTTCATCCTGTGTATTCCATTTCAACAGCAAGTTATACATTCTTGATAAATTCTTAGTTTTAGGATCTATTCTGTTTCCAATTTTGATTTTTCCTCCTGGAAACCAATCTTTTTATCTAAATTATAAGCCTCCCTTATTTGATAGTAATGAAGCCAGTCTCGAACTTTAGTTTTTAATTTGTCAAAACTCTGCAGCTTTAGTTTATCTCCATCTTGTTCTAAAATTTCACAATATTTTGGCCAATTTGTCTCCATATTAGTTTTTTTCAGAGCCTTAGCCTCCATTGGTGACAGCCACCTTGGTGTTTTACTTTCCAACAAATCCTTATATCTCACCCAGACATTAAACAATGCTTTCCTGACAATATGGTTCTTGAAGGCCTTATGTGCTTTGACCTTGTCATACCATAAATATGCATGCCATCCAAAGACATTGTCAAAACCTTCTAAGTCCAAAATGTCCGTGTTTTCAAGAAGCAGCCAATCTTTCAGCCAGCAAAATGCGGCTGATTCATAATAAAGTTTAAGGTCTGGCAGGGCAAATCCACCTCTTTCTTTAGCATCAGTTAAAATCTTAAATTTTATTCTTGGCTTCTTGCCCTGCCAGACAAATCTCGAAATATCTCTCTGCCATTTCTTGAAACAGTCCATCTTGTCCAAAATCTGCAATGTTTGAAACAAAAACAACATCCTAGGCAATACATTCATCTTTATCGCAGCAATTCGGCCCAACAATGATAACTTCAATTTTGACCATATTTCCAAATCCTTCTTTACTTCTATCCAACATTTTTCATAATTATCTTTAAATAAATTCACATTTTTAGCAGTCATATGAACCCCTAGATATTTCACTTTCTTGACCAATGTTAATCCTGTCTCCTTCTGAAACCTCTCTTTCTCAATCTCTGTAAGATTTTTCTCTAACACCTTAGTTTTCACCTTGTTCAATTTAAATCCTGCTACTTGACCAAATTCTTGGATTAATTGCAATACTCTTTTTGTGCTGGATTCTGGCTCCTGTAGTGTCAAAACCAAATCATCAGCAAAAGCTTTCAGTTTATACTGTTTAGCTCCGAGTTGTATACCTTTAACCAATTGGTCTTTCCTGATCATATTAAGCAAGACCTCCAGGACCGATATAAAAAGCAATGGGGAGATTGGGCAACCCTGTCTTGTTCCTTTCTCTCTGGCGACATACTTTTTAGACGTGCATCATGTCGCGACACAGTCATCCAGTTTTACTAGCAAATCGGAGGACTCCCTTTCCAGTCCTGGGAGGAGCGTGGGGAGCGTTCACACAACACACCTACACACCATAGCTGTCAACTTTCCCCTTTTCTTGCGAGGAATCCTATTCGGAATAAGGGAATTTCCCTTTAAAAAAGGGAAACGTTGACAGCTATGCAACACACTGAAGCCGACATACCGAAGTGTCGCGGGACACATGGTTTGGGAAGCTCTGCAGAGGAGCATGGGACTCTTAATTTCAGGGGACTCTTAATTTCAGGGTCAAGAGTTCGAGCCCCACGTTGGGCGAAAGATTCCTGCATTGCAGGGGGCTGGACTAGATGACCCTCGGGGTTCCCTTCCAACTTCTGTGATGATGATGATGATGATGTGATAAGGAGTCCTCGATCCATGCATATCTGTCCATGCATTCCCCCCCTTTTTAAAAAAACTGTCAGAAATAATATGTTTATTTTTCTTCCATAGTGGTAATTATTCTTCAGTTACAATGTTAGTTTTTGGCCATAAAAATGTTACTTGACGAAACCTTTAAAAAGCAAACAAACAAAACCGGACAACTCAATTTCTTAGCACAGTTAAAAAACAACAACAACTTTCCCCCCCAAATAGTTATTCTCTCATTTCTCCATCTTCTTCCACACCCCTTATATAAAGGACATTATTGCACCTTATCAGAACTTGACCAAGGTGTCCAGATAATGCACCATCAATATATTCTGCTCTGTTTGCAAGCTGCATGTTCATGTAGCCATCGATGGAGCCGAGGTGGCCTTTGTATTCCGCCCCCCACTTCAGCTTCACCATCACTGGCTTCCCACTCAGCCCGTTTAGGAAGGGCTTTGGATGGAGAGGCAGCCTCATCGCAACCAGACCAACCTAAGGGCGGCTGCGGCAACAACAAAAATCACTCGCAGGCAGCACGTGTGCCCGCCGAAGCTCTAGAAAGAAGAAGCTGCCCATGCATTCCTAAAGAAAAGCCAGTCCTCCAAGGGGCGGCGAAAGGGGCGCACCCTCTGCGCCGGCCACCTTGGGAGCGCGCCCGCGCGCGAAGAGTTAAAATGATAGAGCTGCGGCGGCGGCGAGGAGAGGCTCCCGGGGAACGTTCTCTGCCCATCCTTAGTTCAGGAGAGGGAGGCTGGGACAGAGCGGAGGCCCCTCGCTGCTCCCTCGCCCTCCCGGCCCGGAAGACCCAGCGCCCGGCCAGGGCTGCTTGCAGAGCGGAGGCAGCTGCGCCCGGGAAGCCGCTCCGGGAGGTCAGTTGCCAGGAGGGACCGGCGGGCTTTTCCAAGCCGGGAGGGGGAGAAAGAGGGGCGGGGAGGGGCGCCCTTGACAGCCAGCCCGGCAGCTAAGCCAGATCCAGGAAGGTGGATAGCCCTGCGCCCCGCCCCCCCTCCAGGATTTTTGCAGTCCTGCTGCTTTTAGGAAAGAGGGGCTGGGTGGGGAGGATGTGGCCTTTGCATTCACGCACAAAACCTCCCTGCCGATTCTTGTTTCCCCGCACAAAACCTCCCTGCCGATTCTTGTTCCCCCGCACAAAACCTCCCTGCCGATTCTTGTTCCCCCGCACAAAACCTCCCTGCCGATTCTTGTTCCCCCCGCACAAAACCTCCCTGCCGATTCTTGTCCCCCCCCCACAAAACCCCTCTGCCGATTCTTGTCCCCCCCGCACAAAACCCCTCTGCCGATTCTTGTCCCACCGCACAAAACCCCTCTGCCGATTCTTGTCCCCCCCGCACAAAACCCCTCTGCCGATTCTTGTCCCCCCGCACAAAACCCCTCTGCTGATTCTTGTTTCCCCCGCACAAAACCTCCTCCTGGTTTCCCCGAGCGCCGTCCATTTGCGAGGACGGGCCTGTGGCAAAGTGGCAAGAGGCGACTGTGCAGGTCTCTGCCTCGATGAGCTTGCAGTGCAAAGGGGTAGGAGAGGGCAGAGGCAGGAAACGGACAAATGGACAAGAAAGCAGTCTGGGGAAATGCATTTATTTATTAGATTGCAGTCCCAGCTGCCCCTCCCTGCCAAAGAGTTTGAGGCGGCAGCATTTATGGTTTCCCTGCCATTTTTGTCTCTGTGGAATGGTAGAATTGTAGAGTTGGAAGGGACCCCTAGGGCCATCTCGTCCAACCCCCTGCAACAAACCTGCGTGGTAGGTCGTCCCACAACAACCCTGCAACGTAGGTTAGGCTAACAGACTGTGACTGGCTTGGGGTTACCTGGTGAGTTTCATGGCCAAGCAAGGATTTGAACGCGGGTCTTCCAGGTCCTGGTCCAGTGCTTTAACCACGATTCCACCACTGGCTCTCTTTCAGCTACATGTGTTTAGGCTTGGTTACAGTACGGCATGAGGACTAGGAGGTAAGAGGTGTTGTTCCCCTTTGCTGCTTTCCCCCTCTTCTGGAAAGAGCCTTTCTCCACCCGAAAGGTCCTACAATTTCAGAGCAGCCTTAGACTGACTTCAGTCTGTTATTGTTACTCTTTTCCCAAAACTGGAATCCTGTGTTATTCTGATACATAAAAGCTGAAGGGCCATAGCTCAGTGGTAAAAGTTCAGTCTTCAAGTGGAGCTGGGAGACATCCCTGCCTGAAACCCTAGAGAGCTGCTGCCAGTCTGGGTTGACAAAATTGAACCAGATGGACCGGTGCCCCCATTCAGTAGTAAGGTAGTTCCTAAGTTTCCTGGCCACATTCTCAGACCCAGTGAGGAAGCGAGCGAATATTCAGGATCTGTTTACAGTTGCTGTTAATTATTATTTTTGCTATATTTATTGTTTAACATGACAACACAGTCCCTGACTGAAAGCCTGCGGTCTAATAACCCACCTGAAAACTGGTGGGTTTGCCCAGGGGGTGGCTCTCTATGACCTTGAGGGCCCTGCACTAACCCTGCAACTTGGTCTGTAAAACGACCCAGAAATAGCAAGTGTAGAAGGAACTGGTTTGGCCACATCTTTGGCCAGGATTTTTCTCCTGTGTGTTGATGGATGGTTATTGGCTGAATGGCTACCTACTCTTGAGAAGGGCCCAGGGAAAGATGGGGCTGTGTGATGCCCTTATGTCTTCTGCCTGGCAAGGGTTTGGGGCAGAGGTTGGTGGTGGTAGGAGTGGGCACCATACATTTAAAGCACATGACTTGCCCCAAATAATCCTGGGAACTGCAGTTTTCCCCCTTGCAGAACTGAACTTCAGTTCCCAGCACTCTTAACAGTTCCCAGAAGTCTTTGGTGGTGGTGTTATAAAAATGTTAAGGTGCGCACACATAGTAGATACACACTCTGTTTAAAACCAATCCTTTAACCTTCAAAAATTAGGAAGCATTCCCAAAGAAAAATGCACTTTTTACACAGAGCCATCTTGGCTCATCTTGGAAAACCTCTCCCAATAGTTCTTTCCACTTGCAAATCCTTCAAATCCTGTGAATAGATAAACTTCTTGGAATGAATGGGCTTCCCCTTTGCAAAACCTGCCTGGCAAGTATATGTTAAAAGCAAAACTTTTTAAAGATGTCCAAAGAACATCTGTGTATCAGTAGGTGTAGGTCTGAGAAATGGATTCAAGAACTAAGGTGTCTACCATTTCTACGGACTTGGCAAGCTTGATCAGGTATCATGACAGACAGGAGATAAGCCATACTCTCAAATTTCTATTGTAAACCACCTCTAAGGCTTTCAGCTTTCAGCTGTACACAATTATTTCCCAAATAGTCAATAAACGTTTTCCAATCTTCTCTAAACGTATGTTCTTGTTCTCTTATTCTATATGTTAAGTCAGCAAGCTGCGCACATTGTCATCTTAAGTCGCCGTTCTTCTTTAGTTGGGACCTCCCTCGTTTTCCATTTTGGGGCTAACAAAACACGGGTCGCAGTAGTGGCATACATAAATAACCTTTTTTGACCCCTGGGAATTTCAGTCTGAATTATCCCCAACTGAAAGGACTCTGGGGTGTTTTTGGGAAAGTAATTTTGAACATTTTTTTCAATTCATTATGGATCATTCCCCAATATTCTTTTACCCTTTTACAAGTCCACCATGGAATCTTTCTGTTTTGGCTAATCAGTACTGTGCTACTTTTGTTTGGAATTGTTCTACTCATTCTACTTGTTTTTATAATTGCGTACACTGTTTTACTTGCTTTTAATTGTATGGTTATGTTGTTGTAACCCCCCAGGACCTTACGGTGAAGGGTGGGAAAGGAATCTCAGACACACACACACACACACACACACACACACACACAGAAATATTATTCCCAATAGCATCTTTCATCTTCAAGGTTTTGGGTTATCATAGCTTTGCCTTCTGTTGCTGTGGCATAATTTGTATTTGAGAGGCATATTCAGTGAGCATAGGCAGATATTTTAGCACTTATGTGACAACACCCACCGTGTTTGCACGGCAATGTTGTAAAGCAGAATCATAGAATCATCTTATTCACACAGAGAGAAAGCAAATGGTAACAGCAATAATGACAACAACACAATCATGAATTTGAAATGTTCTTTATGTTGTGTCCTTTAGTGCTTACATGGTTTTGATGCTGATTCTGTTGAACTTCTGGTGGTATAATTTTCTTTAGGCAGTTTTATTTATTACCGTATTTTTCGCTCTATAGGATGCACTTTTCCCCCTCCAAAAATGAAGGGGAAATGTGTGTGTGTCCTATGGAGCGAATGCAGGCTTCAGGAAGCTATCCGCAAGCCTTCGGAACTCCTGCTGGGCTCCGAAGGCTGGCGGATAGCAGCCTGCAGCCCGAAGCTGTTCTAGCTTTGGGATGGCTGCGTAAAGCCTCCGCAGGGCAGCGGGGTGAAGGCACCCTGCTGTCCTGCGGAGGCTACAAAGGATGTCCCCAAAGCCTCAAGCCTTTGGAGTGCAGCTGCGCTCCAAAGGCTTCAGGGATCTTTGAGGCTGGCGGTGGGGGAAAGCAGCGCTTCCCCCCACCGCCAGCCCCACAAGCTCGGGGGGCAGCAGCAAGGCTGTGCGCAGCCTTTGCGCTATTCCTTGACCTGCTCTTGAACGCACCTTGAACGCACCTTGTTTTTGAGGGGGAGAACAAGAAAAAAAAATTGTTTCCTGTTCCCCCCCTCCTATGGTCCGGTGTGTCCTATGGTCCGGTGCGTCCTATAGAGCGAAAAATACAGTATTTATTTCTTTATAATATTTATAGCCTGCCCTTCCTCTGTACGAATACCAGGGCGGGGAACGGAACATAAAATAATAACAGCCAACCGCGTCATGAAATGGACAACAATGCGTCCTAAAATACACCAAACAAAAAAGGGCCAGCTGAAAAGAGCAAGTTAAACAAGCATCCACTTAAAAAAAACACCTTAAACTTGATATGCTGTCGATTCAACCCGTTTGATTAATGTTATGCTGTAAATGCATCAAGAGCAATTTTAGGAGAATTAATCCACCACGGGAAGCATTTCAGTGCTACAATGCATTTTTAAAAATGCTGGTTTTAACCTTGTAAAATTTAAGATTTAAATTTGCCCCTTTAAGAGCTACATTTCTCCAACTTCCCAGGAGAAAGGGATTGTTTGTTAAACCACTTTGAGATCTGTGAGGGGAATAGGTGTCTCCTGACAACTCTCAGCACCCCAAACAAACTACAGCTCCCAGGATTCTTTGGGGGAAGCCAGGAGTGTTTACTGCCTTAAATGTATGGCCCAATTAATGTTTACTCAGAATTCAATCCCCCTGGGTTCAGTGGGGCTTACTCTAAGTATGTAAACCAGGGATGTTGTGGTAAGCTGTGCCTTCGGATCCCAGACTCCAACTCCCATCATCCCTGACCATTGGCTCGGCTTGCAGGGGCTGATGGGAGTTGGAGTCCGGCAACATCAAGAGGCCTCCTGGTAGGGGAAGGCCAATATATAGCATGAAACCTGCTCAACTGTTAAAAAAATTGTCTGCATTTTGCTCTTCTTTGCCTCCTCAAGTTCAGCTGTCGTGATTTAAGTTTCCAGTTGCTCAGCTGATATCTCATCCGGGAGATGCACTCTGTCACGCGCCAGAGTGACAAATAGAACTGCAACCCATATTTCCAGACATTTAACTTTGTTTATTTGTATTTTGTTATAAGAATTTTAAGGTCATACATACATATATATATATATATAATATAAATGTTCATAACTGTATATATAAACCACATGTCTGAAACCCCACATAAAAAATCCTGAAACCATTTTGTCCCTCCCAAATTGACCTCAAATATTTCTCTGCAAGGTCGAAGGAAAATGGAAAAGCCTCCCCTCTGTCTTTTCGTTCACAAATTCTGTCTTAAGGATATGTCTGTGTATGAACAGGGTGAGCCTGTGACCTGGCTCAGGAACTAAGTATTTATCATTACAAAAGACTGGCCAGGCTCCCCAGGAAATCCAATCAGGTGACCATTAACAGGTAACCTGCCAGACAGGAGATAAACAATGCACTCAGATTTCTGTTGTAGACCGCCTTTTCCGTGATGTAGGTATGATGTATCTGGGTGGTGGTTTTGGTCTACACCCCTTCTGTGATGTATGTATGGAAGGGTGGTCTGGAGCTCCAGGGCAGGGAATTGCAAAATGGATATATAAGGCCTTGTGCGCCATTGTTCGAGGTCCTCCTCATCCTCTCTCTTACGTGTCGGGGAGCACCCTATTGCAACAGTCAATAAAGATCAGGCTTACTAGCTGCTTTGCTTCTCAATATTCTCTGGTTGGCCTCTGTTATTTTCTCCTACCGATAGAGAATCTACAAAAGGACTCTATATGGGCTCTTGGGTACCCCATAAGGGAAAAGGAGCAGGTTTTTTTAAAAAACTTACATCAACCCTATTCTGAAGCAAGAAGCAGGTTTTCTTTGTTTTCAAATGATTTATTTGTTGCTTTACTATCGAGGGTTCCTTGCCTTGCCCTTCACTGCAAGGTCCCACAGAAAGGTTATAACAATACAATCCAAGGTTATAAAAACACAATTAAAAACTGCTCCAAGCAAAACACAGTACAGTTTATAGTTTCAATAAAAGGGGTAAACTGGAGGCTTCGCAACAAAGGTGATGGCTGGAATTGCACAATCTTGGTCAATAATGTCAGAAGAAACATTCTTACTGCAAACATTCTTACATCCTGATTCTCTAGGGGGTTAAATCATGCCGAAAATGTCTTTAAAAAGCTCCAAAACTCAAAAATTATTGTAGCTTTTACTAAAAAATGCCGCAACAATTTTGCTTCCCCTAAAAACACAACCCAAAAAATCTCATCAACTTTCGGGTTTTCCTTAATAAAGCTCAACAATTTCGGTGGTTTCCTTAAAAAAAGTCTTTGAAATATATATAATATAATAATATAATAATTTATTATTTATACCCCACCCATCTGGCTGGGTTTTCCCAGCCACTCTGGGCAGCTCCCAACCGAATATTCAAAACACAATATAGCATTAAACATTAACAACTTCCCTAAAGAGGGCTGCCTTCAGATTTCTTTTAAAAGTAAAATAGTTGCTTATTTCCTTGACAACCCTATCAAGGGAGAGTGAAGACGTGAAGCTTATTTTAAGATGAGGCTTGTCCTCTCCATTTCCCCATAGGTCTTTTTAACTGAATAAAAGTGACATTTCCCCTCAAAATATTCTACTGCCTGGAACATCAGGGTTCAAGAGATGGAAACTTTTAACCAGTTAAAGGGTGGGTTAAAAAGAAAAAGGTTCAAATTAAGCAGTTAATTGACTGAATGTTGCTCCCTTCATTTCCACAGGGTGTTTGCTTTATTTTATTTATTTGAAAATATTTGTATCCTGCCTGTCTCCTAAGGAGCTCAAGGTGGTGTAAACAGCCATCTTCCCCACCTGGTTTTTGGCCCTCATGACCATCCTGTGACGTAGGTCAGGCTGAGGACAATTGTGACTTGCCCAAGGTCTCCCAGCGAGCTTCATGGCTGAGTGAGGATTCGAACCCGAGTCTCTCGAGGACTTGACTGGCACTCTGCTGGGTACCTTCACCTGTCTCTCTGACACCTGTTTGTGTTTCCTTTCTTCAGGGAGAAAATTGCCAGCCACTTCCATATGACCTGCATCTCTCCCGAGACGAACAACAAAAATTCACCTCGCATTCCCTGCGGAACGGCCCGTTTCACCGCGATGTAACTGCAGGCCCCGAAGCCCAGGCCTTCCCAATTCCGTCGCAGCCGAGGGCAGAAGGAGGAGAAAAGGTCTGTAGCGAGACAAAATGGCGGCCCAGCGGAGAGACGCGTTGCCTCTGGATCTCCAGTTCCGGGCTGGGCTGGAACGAGGGGCGAATTTAGCCCTGAAAATGGAAGACGCGGAGCCGGCGGGCTTGAAGCAAGAGGTGGAATTGGAGGGGCAGGGTGCCAGCCCCAGTGCCGGCCAGACGGGGTCCGACAGGCAAGGCCCAAGATGGAGAGGACCGCAGCACATCAAACAAGAACCAGAGGATGGGATGTCGTCGCAGCAGTGGGAGGCACAATGGCAGGAGTTTCTGGGTGGGGTGCAGTCTCCTCGCTCGGGATGGGGGTCCCGACAGCTTCCGGGCACCACCTCGTGGGGGGACATGAAGGCACCCGTGGCGCATTTTGACGGGGGAGCCACGACCAGCCACCGGCCCGCGGAAGGGCACTTCATCCCCCCACCGGCCGGCTTTGACAGGACGGGGCCACCGGCCACCCGAGATCAGAGGAAAGTGAAGGAGGAGATGGAGAGCAGCGAGGACCCCACCGGCACCGAGACGAACCGCCAGCACTTCCGGCAGTTCCACTACCAGGAGGCCGAGGGTCCCCGCGAGGTCTGCAGCCGCCTCTGGGACCTGTGCCAGCAGTGGCTGAAGCCGGAGAGGCACACCAAGGAGCAGATCCTGGAGCTGCTGGTGCTGGAGCAGTTTCTGGCTGTCCTGCCCCCGGAGATGGAGGGCTGGGTCAGGGAATGCCGCCCTCACAATTGCGCCCAGGCGGTGGCCCTGGCAGAGGATTTCCTGCAGAGGCACCAGGAGGAGGGCAGGCAGGACCAGAAGGTGAGGAGGTCCGCTTCCAGATGGGGGGCCACATCTGCACAATACATTCAAAGCCCTCTTATACCACTCGAATCATTGTGGCCTCCTCCAGAAGCGCCCTGGGAACTGTAGTTTGTTCAGGGTGCTGAGAGCCGTTAGGCGATCCCATACCCCTCACAGCGCTACAGTTCCCAAAGTTCTCTGGGGAAAGGGATTAAGCCACTCTGGGAATTGTAGCTTTGTGCGTGTGTCTCCTAACAACTGTCAGCACCCTTAAGAAACACTGGTTGTCATTTTCTGTTTTAAAGCGCCGGGTGAAAACTTTCCGTTTTACCTCAGTCCCTTGGTTTGAAAGGTTTTTAAGTATTTGTGGCCTCTTTTAGTAGGGAAGGATCTGTAAGACCTGTCTTTTACTTGTGCAGATGTGGGTTTTTAAGCTTTGGCTGTGTTTTATCATAATTGATGTTAGCATTTCTGTTGCGCCTGTAAGTCACGGAGCCATTTCCGCGAGGAAAACGACTAAATGACAACAACAAACAAACTACAGTTCCAAAGAGCCTTTGGGGGAAGCAGGACCATCCTAAGACATTTTGCTGCCCAAAGTTAATTTAATTTTTTTTTTTTAAAAAAATAATAGTTAAATTGATAATTAATGGTTTCGAGTTAACTGTGGGCCTTAAGGTGAGCATGGTTTCTGATTGTACTAAATTGCTAGTGTTAATGAGAACGAAAAGGGATTGTGGAGATGTCTAATCTCTTCAAACTGAGTGAACGGGCAATAAAATGTCAAATGCAATTCAGTGCAAACTATATATACTCATTGGGGCAAAATGTTGTTGTTGGTGTTGTTGTTACAGTTTATTACCTGCCCCTCTCCTTAAGGTCCCAGGGTGGCTTACAACAAATAAAACACACCATTAATATTGAAACACAAGATTGCACAACACTAGAAACCCGTTTAAAGCAACTTAGAATTACAAAAATACAAAATACAAAAATAAGGATGCTGACCGGGAACTGACCAGGAGCATTTACAGTAAATAGCTCGACGAAGGGTGCGGCAGCTGTGGGGAAAGGCAAATTCCACCTAAGGGATCATGAAGAGAAATTGGAAATAAAACTGCCGCTCTCATGACACTGTTAAACAAATCCGTGGCAGTTCTGGTCTCCTCACCTCAAAAAGGATATTGTAGGTCCAGAATAGGGCAACTGAAATGATGAAGGCGATGGAGCAAAGATTTTGAGGAAAGGGTACAAGGTTTGGGGTTTAGAGAAAAGCTGGCAAGTAATAGGAGACATAGTAAAGGTGTAAAAACTTATTCATGGTGTGAAGAATGTGGATGGGGAGACACACATATGCCCCAGTAGCACTAGACCTTGTAGGTCAGGCATGTCCAACTGGACGTCTGTGGTAGATAGTGGTAGATCTCAGCTACCCTAAAAAAAGCTCAATAACTTTGACCTGATCTGACCTGATCACTGCCAGTTTTTAATTCTGTGAGTACCGGATTTTTCGCTCTAGAGGACGCACCGGACCATGGGACGGAGCCCTCTGTCTCGCTGTTCTGGCTTGGGAACAGACTTTCTAGCCTCTGCAGGGCAGCGGGGTGAAGGCACCCCGCTGCCCTGCAGAGGCTTTGCGCAGCTAACCCCAAGCAGTGCTCCGTCTCCCTGTTCTGGCTTTGGGCTTAGCGGCGCAGCCTGCATTCGCTCTATAGGACGCACACACATTTCCCCTTAATTTTTGGAGGGGAAAAAGTGTGTCCTATAGAGTGAAAAATACGGTAGATTGCAGTCTCTTGGGAGTTGGCCACCCCTGTCGCTGGTGGACCATGAAGCTAAAGAAAGTCCTTCTTCACACAGTGAATTTGCTGCCCCAAAGGCAGCAATGGCCTGGGAATAATTCGGCCACTTGCTCGTTGAGGCACTCTCCCTCCATCTGGGCTCCATCTGGGGAGGAAGGGCGGGGTATAAATTCACGAAATAGTAACGATCTTGACAAAGCAAAATAAAATGCTCGCTGCTATTTTCAGGGCCCAGGGATGTTCCATGTGGTGACCGTAAATTTCCCCGACGCTGAGCACGCGGTGAGCAGGAGCGCAGAAAGGCAGCTTGGGAGGCCCGTCAAGGAGGAAGTTGAAGAAGACGACCACTCCGTGGGTAAGGGATTCTCCTGACCGAGGAGCAAAGTGGCTCACCTGTAGCCTGTCAGATGCTGCTGGAGCACAGCTCCCGTCATCCCTGAACAACAGCCAGGCTGGCTGGGGGCTGAGAGGAGTTGGAGTCCCGGAATGAGGAACCCAATGTCTTCCAGGCACTGCTGGACTACAGCTTCCGTAAACTCTGGCCATCTGAAGTGCTGCTGTTAAGCCATTCCTGCTGTGTAGATTTGCAGAGTCGGAAGGGCCTTCAAGGGCCATCTAGTCCAACCCCTTGTGATGCAGGAATCTTTTGCACAACATGAGACTCGAACCCATGACTCCGGGATTAAGAGTCTCAGGCTTTACCGACTGAGCTAACCCAGCAGCTGCATATGTGTGTGTCAAAACTCAGGAGTCTTGAGACCTGGTTTATACCAAACGTGCAGGTGGGTTGTATGTTTATTTCGGAGCAAACACTTCGAGCTACAGAGGGGTTCAGATGGGCACGTTTTCCCCATTTGTACATCGTTCATGCCCGTCAGGGATTAGCCCTGCCCAGACCTTGACCCTTAAGAAGAAGCAGATCTCCACACTGCCCTGAGAAGCCATTGGATTTAGACGTCGCTGCACCCAGTGATGGACACTGGGGTCTCCAGTTTCAGCAGCGCCCTGTGCAGTGCCCAAATTCAGTGCTCCCTTAAAAGGGTAACAGGGCTTAGTGAGCGGGGAGAGTCTGTGGCAGAGAGTAGCCCAGAATCAGGCAGAAGCTGAAGCAGGAGAGGAGGAAGGACAAGAGGCAGAGATGGGTCAGGCTGATGAAGAGGCACATGTATCTCCCGCTCCTGCTGCCAGAAGCTCCCCTCTGATTCCCAGAACCAGGAGAGGCATGAAGCAGGGGAAGCAAAGGCTGGCACGCAGGCACAGTCTCCGATTGCTTAGGGAGAACCCTGGAGAGGAGGCACAGACCTTCAGCCTCGGCAACTGCTTCACGGGGCCAAGACCTGCGTTGCTGTGCTCATTAGGCTCAACACTCATGTGTGGATCCTGTTTTGCTAATAAAAGGTTTTGCTAATATAGGGACTCAGGTGGCATTGTGGTCTAAACCACTGAGCCTCTTGGGCTTGCTGATTAGAAGGTCGGCAGTTCAAATGGGTGAGCTCTTATTTCCCTATACCGGCTTCTGTCAGCCTAGGAGTTTGAAAGCGTGCTAGTGCAAGTAGATAAATAGGTACCACTGTGGCGGGAAGGTAAACAGCGTTTCCATGCGCTCTGGCTTCCGTCACAGAGCTGCCTGTGGACAAACGCCAGCTCCCTCAGCCTGAAGCGAGATGAGCGCCGCAACCCCATACAGTGGTACCTCGGGTTAAGAACTTAATTCGTTCCGGAGGTCCGTTCTTAACCTCAAACTTTTCTTAACCTGAAGCACCACTTTAGCTAATGGGGACTCCTGCTGCCGACGCACCACCGGAGCACGATTTCTGTTGTCATCCTGAAGCAAAGTTCTTAACCCGAGGTACTATTTCTGGGTTAGTGGAGTCTGTAACCTGAAGTTTCTGTAACCTGAAGCATCTGCAACCCGAGGTACCACTGTAGTTGCCTTTGGCTGAACGTAACTGTCCAGGGGTCCTCAGTGTGATTTACTGCTGACTCGCTCCTGTCAGACCCCGAGGGACATCTAGTCCAACCCCCTACGACGCCTGCTTTCTGCAGGGGTACACAAACCTAACTTGTGTTCGGATTGTCTTTTTTTCTTCCAGCAGATGATGGGCAAATCAACGAGAATGAGGCGAACAGGTGGAAAACCCTTCAGGGAGCTGAATCTCACGGGCTCTCGGCAGATGGGACGGAATCCGCCGGCCGTTTCCGTGAAATGGAAGAGAGCTACAAGGGTCAGGGCGGGCCCGAGGGGCATCACGAGAACGGCCCAGAAGGGGCCACCACGGAAGGGCCCCCGCCGGGAGAGAAGCAGTCGCTGTGCTCCAACTGCGGGGGGAGTTTCAACCCCAGCTCGGGGTTCCTCGGGCCGGAGGGCTTCCCTCCGGGGGCCAACCCCTACAAGTGCTCCGTGTGCGAGAAGAGCTTCTGCCAGGTGGCCAAGCTCATCGCCCACGAGCGCCTGCACACGGGCGACTGGCCCTACAAGTGCTCCTTCTGCGGGAAGAGCTTCAACCGCAGCTCGGACGTCTCCCGGCACGAGAGGATCCACACGGGCGAGAAGCCCTTCAAGTGCGCCACGTGCGAGAAGTGCTTCAGCCAGAGGTCCAAGCTGATCGTGCATGAGCGCTTCCACACGGGCGACAAGCCCCACACGTGCTCCTACTGCGGCCGGAGCTTCCACCAGAGGTCGGACCTGGTCAAGCACGAGAGGATCCACACGGGCGAGAAGCCCTACAAGTGCTCCGACTGCGGCGGCAGCTTCCACCGCAGCTCGGACCTGGTGAAGCACAAGTGGATCCACACGGGCGAGAGGCCCTACAAGTGCTCCACGTGCGAGAAGAGCTTCCGCCAGCGCTCCGCCCTCCTCTACCATGAGAGGACGCACACGGGCGAGAAGCCCTACACCTGCACCGCCTGCGGCAAGGGCTTCAGCTGCAAGGCTCACCTCGTGCTCCACAAACGGACCCACACCGGCGAGAAGCCCTACAAGTGCAACTTCTGCGGGAAGAGCTTCACCACCAGCTCGTACTTCGTGAAGCATCAGAGGATGCACCTAGGGCAGGAGGCCTTGCCCGTGCTCTGAGCTGCTCTCGGAAGACTTCCCCAGAGCAGAAGCAGGAGGACCACCGCGGGACGTGTCTCTCAACGGGGCTGGACCAAGGATCAGGCCGCAGGTGGGAAGCTTCGTCTTTGAATGCTCTCACCGTTTGTTTATTTTTTAAGGACATCACCCCGTGTGTAGAAAGCTAGCATCTCAGGGCCTTTCCCCTGACATGCTAGGTTTCTTACATGCAAGAATTGAAAGAGAGGGAGAGAGGAGCAGTCAAGCATTCCATCCACTACCTGCAATCAGAAATGGTGCAGGAAAGCTGCTGGTTGTGAAGACTGGATTTTATGTTTTGCGAGAGGCGAGAGATTATTTGAGGCCAGGCAAGGTGGGGGGAACTGCCGAAGCCTTGCCGCTCGTGGGAAAATTAGCCGCATTTGCTTTCCTGAGGAGCAGAGAATATAAATAAAAGCACATGCCTCATTGAACGGACTCGTTTCATAAAGACAGTGGAGAGAGGGAGAAATGCTACTCAGTTTCCCCAGGATATGAGGTTCAATTTCAAAGTATGATCCGTTAGCAAGTGGTGTAGGAGAGACACCTACCCCCACCCCGCTTGAGAGCTGCTGCCAGTTAACACCACCAAGCAAGACGGAGCAGGTGTAAAGCAGAACCCTAATAAATTATTTGCCAAGCACCTGAAAGCCTAGGCAGTGTACAGAACGCAAAAGAGACCCTGCCCCAAGCAGGCATGCCATCTTATGTAGGCAAAAGAAACACTATACCAAAACGAACATCCAGATTGGAAGGACAGAAAGAAAAGGAGGATCTTGGGATTTAAACCTAACTTTAAAGGCAATTCCGATAGGTTCAGGACTGGCAAAAAAAAGGAGACACTTACCTTCACGAAGGAAATCATGAACGTGTAACGGAACCAGCTGTCGAAAAGAGGCGGTGACGCTTAGATGGATTTTAAAGAAGAATGAAAAAGATCAGATGGATTCATGGAGGTCAAGTCTGCCGATGAAGGCGACATCCGGAACCTCCGTTTTCAGTTGCCGTATACCAGATGCTGGAGACAAACCCCTGGGGGTGGGGAGGTGGTGTTTCCCGCCCGGCTTGGTGAGCTTCCCAAAGATGCCAAATGGGTTTCTTAGGGGCTGATCTGGAAATGAGCCCAAAAGCTTTAACACTCAGGACTTAGCCCCAAGGTTCTCCTGGGCTTGGTGAGCCCTGTTCTTAGGGGAGAGTTGCAACCCGTAAACATGTAAATAAGGTGTTGGCGTGCGCCCCTTCTTTCACTGCAGCTCAGAAGCAAAAGGCAGCGCTTGTGCGCTTCCTGGAAGTGTCCGATTGGCCGCTTTGGGGAACAGGACTCTGGGAGAGATGGGCCCTTTGGTCTGGCTGGCAGCTTCTCCTTCTGCTCTGGCTAGAGAGAAATTTGGGGGGGCGAGAGGGCTGTTGTGAGCCGTGAGCCTCCAGGTCCCAAAGCAGTCTACCTCTAAAAACCAGCAGTTGCGGGGTGGGAGGGGAACAGCGAGGAAGGGCTGCTGCTTCTGGTCTTGGTTGGCCACAGCAGGACTGGGTGGATCTTTGGCGTAATCCAACAGGGCTCCTAAGTTTTCTCCCTCCTGGTGTTGGACACACAGTTTCAAGTGCTCGTCCCCTACATTACGGGCTGCGTCGGGGTAAGGAACCTTTTCCAGCCTCACGTTCCTTTCTAGGCAACCTTCTGGGCTCCACCTGCCAGTGGTGGGTGAGGCCGGAAGCAAATGAGGCCGGAGCAGCAAATTCACATTTTCCCCTTTGTACAATAGGCTAGTTTCTTCACACCTTCACAGACCCTTCTCCTGCTCCCTGTCCAGAGGCAGTTTGGGGATGATGTTCCTTGTCCAGCAGAAACTCTCCAGAAGGGTGTGGAGTGAGGCTGGTGTTGGTCTAGAGAGACTCCCAAGGGCCACATAATGAGGCCTCAGGGGCCACATTTATCCCCCTTTCCCTTCACCCAGACTCCTGCTTGTCATCCCTGGGATATGGGACTTGGCCCCGAATCCTAAAAGAGAGAGGTCTTCCTATCTGAGCTGCACCATACATTTGGAGAACATGGCTTCCTTCCCCCAAAAATCTTGGGAGCTAGTTTGTTAAGGGTGCTGGGAATTATAGCTCCGTGTGCTTTAAATATCCAGTATGGCTATTGCCTTTATCTCAGCTTGCAAAGATCCTGCCACTGTTTATCCTGGGGGAGAGTCCTTTTACAGTGCAATCCTACATCATGTCTACTCAGAAGTAAGTCTCAGGCCCCAGCTGCACCATACATTGGAGACTCTGTGATGCCACTTTTAAGCAGTTGGGGATTTTCCCTAAGATATCCTGGGAACTGTAGCTCATTAAGGGTGCTAAGAGTGAAGGCAGTCAATGGATTGAGGTTGAATCCTGACAAGACTGTTTTTGTGGGATGGGGTGGGTGGGTGGGGGGATTCCTTGGTCCTGAACAGGGTGACTGTCCCCCTGAAGGACCAGGTGCGCAGCCTGGGAGTCATTTTGGACACGCAGCTGTCCATGGAGACGCAGCTCAGTTCTTTGTCCAGGGCGGCTGTCTACCAGCTTCATCTGGTACGCAGGCTGAGACCCTACCTGCCCACAGACTGTCTGGCCAGAGTGGTGCATGCTCTGGTTATCTCCCGCTTGGACTACTGCAATGTGCTCTACGTGGGGCTACCTTTGAAGGTGACCCGGAAACAATTAATCCAGAATGCGGCAGCTAGACTGGTGATTGGGAGCAGCCACCAAGACCATATAACACTGGTCCTGAAAGGCCTACATTGGCTCCCAGTATGTTTCCAAGTACAATTCAAAGTGTTGATGCTGACCTTTAATGCCCTAAACAGCCTCAGCCCAGTATACCTGAAATAGCGTCTCCACCCCCATCGTTCAGCCTGAGGTCCACCTCTGAGGGCCTTCTGGCGGTTCCCTCACTTTGAGAAATGAAGTTATAGGGAACCAGGCAGAGGGCCTTCTCAGTAGTGGTGTCCACCCTGTGGAACTATTTCCGTGTGGAAATAAACAACTATCTAATCCCCATGACAGGGTGAGCTCCCGTTGCTCAGTCCCAGCTCCTGCCAACCTACCAGTTTGAAAGCACGTCAAAGTGCAAGTAGATAAATAGGTACCACTCCGGCAGGGAGGGGAAATGGCGTTTCCGTGTGCTGCTCTGCTTTGCCAGAAGCGGCTTAGTCATGCTGGCCACATGACCTGGAAGCTGTCTGCAGACAAACGCCAGCTCCCTTGGCCTGTAGAGCGAGATAAGTGCGCAACCCCAGAGTCATCCATGACTGGACTTAACGGTCAGGGGTAGCTTTACCTTTACCTTTAAGACAGCAGCTCTGTATAGGGAAGTTTTTAATGTTTGGTGTTTCACTGTGCCTGGTGTTTTAATTTGCTAGAAGCTTCCCAGGGTGGCATATAAATTATAAATTATAATAATTATTAGGAGACACCTCCCCCTTCACACTATCCCCCTCACCGAGCAACATTTCCCATGATTCTTTGGGGGAAGCCATGACTGCCTCAAGTGGCATGATACTGCTTTCAATATACAGTGGTACCTTGGTTTAAGAACAGCTTACAGTATTTTATGAAAAACTTGGATTAAGAATGCTGCAAACCCAGAAGTAGGTGTTTTGGTGCAAACTTTGCCTTGGAAGCAGAACATGTTCCGCTTCCTGTTGCGTGTGTTCCATTTGTAAATTGAGTCCCTCGTTGCTATGGGAAAGCACGCCTTGGTTTAAGAACGCTCTGGTTTAAGAACGGACTTCCGGAACAGATTCAGTTTGTAAACCAAGGTACCACTGTATAGGGCAGATGGCACCTGAGTCTCCAGGCTGCTGGTTCTTAACACTAAACATGTATACAAATCATAGCATTGCTCCGAAAAGTCATTTCATGTGATCCTGAATGCCTTTCGTTTGCCAAATTGTCTGTTTTAAAAGGCCATAGTAGGTGGGTGATGTATTGTCTAAGCGGAATATGTACGTGTCTTTATATTTTGTTTAGTTTTTTCTTTGCAAATATGCATGCGTAAAAAAAAATTTTTTTTTACTGTCCTTGTGGTTTAGGATGCTATGTTTATATGCCTGTATATAGTATATGCTTGTGCACTTATGTATGCCTTGACGGACTCCGTAGGTGTTAAATTGTCAACAATGCCATTCAGGTACCCATGATTTCTTCACCTGCGGCTATGCAACTCTGGAAAGTTCATTTGCAGCGCTCTCCATTCCACCACGCCCCTGACTTTGCCAAAGAACTCTTTGCCTTACTCTAGACTTTGCAACTTGTCTGCAAAAGTTACTTGTCCTCATCAGAGGAAGAAGGAATAAGCTGTCCAAGCAGGCTTGTGTTAGCCGCACAGTACCAATGGCCTAGATTGTGGGGGGTTTTTGGAGGGGAATCTCTTCTAATTTTACAAAAGCTTCCCAGTCTATTTGCCCCAGGCAAGTAGTTATTTCTTTATCCTTCCTTAGTTGACACCCTATTGAATTTTGCTCACGTACTTTGGACTATGAACTCTGTCTGGCTCGGAGGGGATTCTGCAGTCACTCCACCAGGAACCATTTTCTGGCGCCCAAAATATATTTATGTGCAATGCATGAATACCTCTGTAGATTTCCTGCATCTTTTGGCTGTGTGTGTGCTATTTTATTTTAGCAGCTGGTCCCGGTAAAGGATGCCCTTGTTTAATGGATATCCATCAACGCTTCTTTCCAGGAGAGAAAATTTGGACCTTTTCCTGTTCTTGCTTTGATATCAATGCTTTATTTTGCATTGCCTTCTTAACCAAACCGAAGCCATCGTGTTTGCACCAAGCGATTCCATTTTGAGGCCGCAAAGTTCTGTTTACAAAAGGAGGCCATCGATTTTAGAGAAGGGATCAGCTGTTGCTTCTCCAAGCCTTAAGTCATTTTCACTTTGATTTCCGGCGGGTCGAATCCTGGCAGAACAACGGCACAAGAGCTGCCACACACCTGTTGTCTGGCTGATCTTCCTTACCTTTATTTTTAATCCCACTTCCCCACCCCAAGAAAGAAAACTATATGCTTGATGTTATTCCAATTCTGCATGATTAATTAAGCCATTGAACTCACGGGAGGGGAGGGATTTTCTCGGGATTTTCTAAATGCCATGGGGGCTTTGATGCCACGTGGCCCCCAGCCACGGATGCTTTAGCTGAGAATCCTGCCTTGCAGCGGGTTGGACTAGATGTTCCTCGTGAGTCCCTTCCAACTCTACAATTCCGTGATTCTGTGATCGCAGGCACCTACCCAGCTGGAGTTTATTGACCTTAAGCGATGGTGTTTGGGATTCTTCATCTGGCTCTTACATGGCGGGACTTTGTCTGTGAAACGCATGCAATGTGGACAGCCCGTCTCTGCTTTCCGACTCGAGTGGTAAATTAACACTCCAAAGATCCGATACCGTGCCATCTCTGGCTGGGAACAACCGAAGGCAGCGCTAGCTAGTGGTTTCAGTGTTGATGATTATCGTCTCGTCTGCCAGTTGTGTGTGCCTGATATGCTGTATTTCTTAAATAAATATTCTTTTGATTTAATAATGCTAGAGAGTTTTTGTCCCGGGTGTTCAGGGGCTCTGCCCCAGGTCTCTCTATAAGAAGAGTACTAGAGCCATCTGCTACATTACATTGATATCTCGCCTTTTCTCCAATGAGGTCCTCGCAGCAGCAGCAGCAGCAACCCTGTGAGGTAGGTTAGGCTGAGAGTGAGTGAGAGGCCCAAGGTTACCCAGTGAGCTTCCTGACTGAGTGGGGATTCGAACCCTTATCTCCCAGGTCCTAGTCCTGCACTCTAACCACTGCACCACACTGGCTTTTTAATGCCGTATTTGTCCTAATTAACTTGCAAGCTTACGCAGTGGTGCTTTTTTCCTATAAGGTCATCGTTGCAGAAAAACAGTGCATTGGGGGTGGGTTTATACAGCACCATTTGCACATCGTTCCGTTTTATTGTGTTATTGGGCTATTGCCATCTGAAGGGGCCCTCTTGCGCCAGAAGCAACAGTGGAGTCTTATGGACCCTCCAAGTGTCCGTATTTTCCAGGGACAGACCTGGATTTACTGAAGCCGGCCCAGTTTTGGATTTGATCCCAGAATGTTCCGCTTTTCCTTGGGACGTCCCGCTTTTCGTCAGATAAATGTTGGAGGGTACGGAGCTTTGCAACCCCGGAGCCAAGGTGATAAGGTGATACAACCTTTAGAAGACATCTGAAGGCAGCCCTGTATAGGGAATTTTTTTAATGTTTAATGTTTTATTATGTTTTATATATGTTAGAAGCTGCTCAGAGTGGCTGGGGCATCCCAGTCAGATGAGCGGGGCATAAATATTATTATTATTATTATTATTATTATTATTATTATTATTAGAATAGGGCACCCCTATTTTCATCAGAGTAATGTTGGAGGGTATGCCACCCCCTCTGGCCCAGCCAGGTGTCCCTGTTTTATATCAGCCAAGGGGGCGAGGGTTCAGAGACATAAGCTGTTTAGGAAAGCTCAGTTGGTAGAGCATGAGATTCTTAAATCCCAGGGTCATGGGTTCTAATCCCGTTGCCTTGATGATCCTCGTGGTCCCTTCCAATTCTTATGCGTCTTTCTTTTCTTTTTTAACAAGTTCTGCTTCACAACGCAGAAAACCACTTTTAACAAGGGGCGCCTAGAATTCATGGGCCCTGAGCACCCGTTTAATATTAGCTGGGAATTAAAACAGTTAAAGACATTGTTCGGGTGCCTGATTATTGTCTTCCAAAGCAACTACTCTATTCCAAACTTTAAAATGGAAAGCGTAATGCTGGTGGTCAACAAAAGAGGTTTAAAGACTCACTCAAGGCAATTTTTAAAAAATGTAGTATAAACACCAACAATTGGGAAACACTGGTCTGCGAGCGCTCCAATTGGAGAACAGCCTTTACCAATGGTGTCACGGGCTTTGAAGACATTTGAACTCAGGACCCAAGGGAGAAACGCGCTAAGAGGAAGGCACATGATTAACTCCCGCCCGGAAACCAATGTCCCCATTGTGGAAGGACGTGTGGGTCCAGAAATGGCCTCCACAGTCACTTACAGCTTATTGTTAAAAACGTGTTTATGGAAGACAATCTTACTCAGCTACAAGTGATCGCCAAAGAAGGAGGAGGAGGAGGAAGGTCAGCACAGACTTAATAAAAATAATAATCATAATAATAATAATCATAATAATAAATATAATAATAATAATTTATTTATACCCCGCCACTCTGGGCAGCTTCCAACAAAGTATTAAAATACAATAATCCATCAAATATTAAAACTTCCCTAAACAGGGCTGCCTTCAGATGTCTCCTAAAAGTCTGGTACAGTGGTACCTCGGGTTAAGTACTTAATTCATTCTGGAGGTCCGTTCTTATCCTGAAGCACCACTTTAGCTAATGGGGCCTCCTGCTGCCGCCACACTGCCAGAGCACGATTTCTGTTCTTATCTTGAAGCAAAGTTCATAACCTGAGGTACTATTTCTGGGTTACCGGAGTCTGTAACCTGAAGCGTATGTAACCTGAAGCGAATGTAACCCGAGGTACCACTGTAGTTGTTTATTTTCTTGACTTCTGATGGGAGGGCGTTCCACAGGGTGGGCACCACTACCAAGAAGGCCCTCTGCCTGGTTCCCTGTAACCTCACTTCTCGCAGGGAGGGAGGCCCTCGGAGCTGGACCTCAGTGTCCGGGCAGAATGATGGGGGTGGAGATGCTCCTTCAGGTATAATGGACCGAAGCCGTTTAGGACTTAGACCTAGCCAATCTAGGTCTTTCAAGACGGGTGTTATGTGGTCTCGGTGGCCTTTCCCAGTCACCAGTCTAGCTGCCACTTTCTGACTTAGTTGTAGTTTCTGGGTCACCTTCACAGGTAGCCCCACATAGAGCACATTGCAGTAGTCCAAGCTGGAGATAACTAGAGCATACACCACTCTGCTGAGACAGTCCATGGGCAGGTAGAGTCTCAGCCTGCATACCAGATGGAGCTGGTAGACAGCTGCCCTGGACACAGAATTGACCTGTGCCTCCATGGACAGCTGTGAGTCCAGAATGACTCCCAGGCTGCACACCTTGTCCTTCAGGGGCACAGTTACCCCATTCAGGACCAGGGAGTCCCCCACACCCACCCACCCCCTGTCCCCCCAAAACAGTACTTCTGTCTTGTCAGGACTCAACCTCAATCTGTTATCCGCCATCCATCTTCCAACCTCCTCCAGGCACTCACACGCCTTCACTTTTTCTGATTTGAAAGAGAGGTAGAGCTGGGTGTCATCTGCATACTGATGAACACCCAGCCCAACCCCCCTGATGATCTCTCCCAGCGGCTTCATATAGATATTAAAAAGCATGGGGGAGAGGACGGAACTCTGAGGCACCCCACAAGTGAGGGCCCAGGGGTCTGAACACTCATCCCCCACCACCACTTTCTGAACACGGCCCAGGAGGAAGGAGCGGAACCACTGTATGACAGTGCCCCCAGCTCCCAGCCCCTCAAGACGGTCCAGAAGGATGTTATGGTCGATGGTATCAAACGCCGCTGAGAGATCCAGCAGAACTAGGAAACAGCTCTCACCTTTGTCCCTAGCCCGCCGGAGATCATCAACCAGTGCGACCAAGGCAGTTTCAGTCCCGTGATGAGACCTGAATCCCGACTGCAAGGGATCCAAATGGTCCGCTTCTTCCAAGCGTGCCTGGAGTTGTTCAGCAACCACTCGCTCAATCACCTTGCCCAAGAATGGAAGGTTTGAGACTGGGGTGAGTTGGCCCTATTGGCAGCATCTGAAGATATTTTTTTTCAAGAAGCGGTTTGATAACCGCCTCTTTCAGCAGGTCTGGGAAGGCTCCCTCACAGAGAGAAGCATTCACTGGTTTGAACATTTGACAGGTTTTCATTATTTTCTCCTTTTGCAAGACAGTGGGTACATTTTACACTTAAAAAGTTACATTTAGTTCAGAGATACAAAGTTACATTCAGTAGGGAGACAACATAAAAGTAACATTAAAGAAATAACATTAGTACAGAGACGGTGAACACAATTATAATATCTCACAGTGGCTGGAAAAGGAAGCAACACAGCAGACTATGCCGTGGTTTTGAGCATCACAGGGAGCAATGCAGGGGGGCAGACAAGGGGGGATCCTTTACTGATAGCAAATATTTATTCCCTTATTGATACAGAGGAAAAGAAACCTTGATTCAACTCAAAATTCTTATAACACAATCAAAAAGCATTCGCTGCTCCTTGAGAAAACATTCAGGAACTGCAAAGACCTGGAGACATTTTTTAAAAGGGGGGGGGGGAGATCACGTGGTCACTGAGTCATTTCCAGGAAGGGAAACTCCCAGTGGCTGAAAACCGAGAAAACGAAACTTAACTCGGCTTTTGGCGGGAGGGAGCCATGGCTGCTTTTGAGGGTCACATCCAGCGTCTCCGTGATGAAGCCACTTGCTCCATCTGCCTGGATTACTTCAAGGATCCAGTGACCATCCCAGAGTGTGGGCACAACTTCTGCCGATCCTGCCTGATCCAGTGCTGGGGGGAATCGGAGGCAGAGGCTTCCTGCCCTCAGTGCAGAGAAAGAGTCCAGAGAAGGAGCCTCATCCCCAACCGGCAACTGGCAAACTTCGTAGAAATAGCCCAGAATCTCAGCCTTCAGGAGGGAAAGGAGGAAGGAGGGAAAGGAGGAGTCTGCGAGGATCACCAGGAGCCCCTGAAGCTCTTCTGCAAGGAGGATGAAGCCCCCATTTGTGTGGTTTGTGACAGATCCAAGGAGCACAAAAACCACGAGGTGATTCCTCTGAAGGAGGCTTTTGAGGAATACAAGGTAGGAGATCCCTGCATCTTGATGTAGAAAAATAGCTGTGGATTCTTCTTGGGAGGTTTTCTTTTTAATTCTCGGAAAAAGGTAAAAGGCGGATCTAGACGGATCCTCGTGAATTCATATGATTTTTTCATTCAAATTAAATAAAACCACCATGATACTGTAGACCATGTCTTACTCTGTAGACAGCATCAAAAAAATCATGCATCCACTATTTCGTGGGGCCGCAGGGGCGCAAAAACATGGTTAAAAAACACGGATCCTCATGGATCCTCATGATTTTTGCCCAAGACCAGCCCAAAGTCACCATCAGATCAAACATCATGGCCAGGGGCACAGCATCCACCACAAAAATCACGGATCCACGGCTTCCTGGACATACAGTGTCCCAAAAACGTGGTTTTGAAGCACGGATCCTCACGGATCCTCACGTTTTTTGCATTGGGCCACCCCAAATTCACTGTCAAATCACACATCATGTCCAGGGACACAGCCTACACCACAAAAAACTCGGATCCACGGCTTCCTGGCCATACCGTGGCCCAAAAACGTGGTTTTGAAGCACAGATCCTCATGGATCCTCATGCTTTTTGCATTGGGCCAACCCAAACTCACTGTCAAATCACATATCATGGCCAGGGGCACAGCATCCACCACAAAAATCACGGATCCACGGCTGCCTGGCCATACCGTGGCCCAAAAGCGTGGTTTTGAAGCACGGATCCTCATGGATCCTCACGCTTTTTGCATTGGGCCAACCCAAACTCACTGTCAAATCACATATCATGGCCAGGGGCACAGCATCCACCACAAAAATCATGGATCCACGGCTGCCTGGCCATACTGTGGCCCAAAAATGTGGTTTTGAAGCACGGATCCTCATGGATCCTCACGCTTTTTGCATTGGGCCAACCCAAACTCACTGTCAAATCACATATCATGGCCAGGGGCACAGCATCCAGCACAAAAATCATGGATCCCCGGCTGCCTGGCCATACCGTGGCCCAAAAACGTGGTTTTGAAGCACGGATCCTCATGGATCCTCACGCTTTTTGCATTGGGCCAACCCAAACTCACTGTCAAATCACACATCATGGCCAGGGGCACAGCATCCACCACAAAAATCATGGATCCCCGGCTGCCTGGCCATACCGTGGCCCAAAAATGTGGTTTTGAAGCACGGATCCTCATGGATCCTCACGCTTTTTGCACAAGATCAGCCCAAAGTAATCATCAGATCAAACATCATGGCCATGGGCACAGCATGCAACACAAAAATCACGGATCCACGGCTTCCTGGTCATACCGTGGCCCAAAAACGTGGTTTTGAAGCACGGATCCTAACGGATCCTCACACTTTTTGCATTGGGCCACCCCAAACTCACTGTCAAATCACACATCATGTCCAGGGGCACAGCCTACACAACAAAAAACTCGGATCCACGGTTATCTGGCAACGCCATGGACCAAAAACGTGGTTTCGAAGCACGGATCCTCATGGATCCTCATGATTTTTGCACTAGATCAGCCCAAAGTCACCATCAGATCAAACATCATGGCCAGGGGCACAGCATCCACCACAAAAATCATGGATCCACGGCTTCCTGGCCATACCGTGGCCCAAAAACGTGGTTTTGAACCTTGGATCCTAACGAATCCTAATGCTTTTTACATTGGGCCAACCCAAATTCACTGTCAAATAACACATCATGTCCAGGGGCACAGCCTG